AATTATGGTAATACATGCAAAAATATTTACCTACATATCTAATACAAGATAGGTAAATAGATAAATACATACTTATTTTAAAAACAAAAACAAAACAAAAGGTACATTATCTATAAGAAAAATCTAGGTACATTATCTATAAGTAAAATATAGGTACATTATTCTTAAGAAAAATTAGATACATTATTACGTTATCCTATTATTACTATTAGGTACAATTTTCATAGAAAAAAAGAAGGATGGTAATTAGATGACAAATAAATAATTTGAGTAAGGCACATAGGAATATTTGTGTGTGCATTAACATATAGACACTAACGTTTTTATATATATATATATATATATTTGTGTACATTAATATGTGCCAAACGTTTTGAAATTTAAAACAATAGTCAAATTTGCAATAAATTCCAAATTTAGGAGACCAACATTGAGGAAACCAACATTTAATACAATCACATAATAGGGTAAACTCTAATTAAGGGTACTTTATTTTGGAATATAAAAACTATAATAAATCAGATTTTAAGCTTAATTAGGTAACTTGTTAAGTTGGATCCTAGTTATCGAGTTTTACTTATAATAAATTGGATTTTCTTCAAAAAAAAAAGATGATAGGTTGTAGGCAAGAAAAAATTAGTTGAAAGGGGAAAGCTACATTTACTATAAATTTAATTATCTCATGCATATACATAATAATATATATTTGCTTGCAGTGGAGACCCACTTTTCTTGGAGCCATTTTGGATGCAGCATGCAGCCAAAAGTGCAGTTGTAGTAGCAGGCTGGCATCGAATGAGCTATACCTTTGCTGATCAATCTCGCATCTCAGCAGAGCTTGAGAGGCACATTCGCAAACTTCATGCCATTGTTGGAAATGCGGTGACTCAAGGAAGATACATTGTTTTTGGTGCTGGCTCAACCCAACTTCTCAACGCTGCACTTCACGCACTCTCTTCCAATAATCTCAGCTCTTCCTCACCTGCAAGTGTCGTGGTTTCAGTTCCTTATTACAGGGTTGAATCCTCATTCTGAATTTACGGCATACAAAATTTGGAAAGATCAAAACAATTTGTACCATCTCAATTGTGTTACTATCTCTCATAGAGGCGCATGCATATGATCCGTTGAGATGATACAACTCCTTTACAAATAAATTAATTTTAGTTGTCGAATTTTCGCAGCTTTACCAAGAGCAAGCGGAGTTCTTTCGATCAGTGGACTACAAGTTCGAAGGAGATGCAGCCGTGTTGCAGAACATTTCAGATGCAAATACAAACGTCATTGAGTTTGTAACCTCCCCAAACAACCCTGATGGGAAGTTGAAAAAGGCCATTTTTCAAGGCCCAAATGCCAAAGCAATCTATGATCGTGTGTATTACTGGCCCCATTTTACAGCAATTCCTGCTCCAGCTGATGATGATATCATGATATTTTCTATTTCTAAGCTCACTGGCCATGCCGGTAGTAGATTCGGGTAACACCCTAAATATCATTTTCCATTTTCTTGCATATCTTTCTCTTTTCTCATATAATTTTTTAAATCTTTTAAAGTTAAAACCAATGAAAAATTATTAGAGTTGAACCAAGAAAAATCCTTTTTCGTAGTTATAAAATAATAATGTTGTGCCTTATGCAGGTGGGCAGTGGTGAAGGATGAGTCTGTGTACAAAAGAATGAGTGAGTATTTACAGTTAAGTAGCATGGGTGTTTCTCGGGATGCTCAGCTCAGAGCTTTGAAGCTTCTGAATGTAGTGCTTGAAACTGGAGGCAAGGAAATCTTTGAATTCGGATACAACAAAGTGAAGAGCCGCTGGGAAAAACTGAGCAACACTTTGGCTCTGTCAAACCGATTTTCTCTACAGAAAATTGCACCCCAATACTGCACTTATTTCAAAAAAACCAGAAAACCTTCACCAGGTATAACGTCCTCATCACTCTTATGTACTTCTCTTAGTCTAGTGATACTTCTCTTTCCAATGTTGGAGGAGGTCCCGAATTTGATTTTTCCCTAACTTGTTAAGTAGTAGTGAAGTATAAGGACGGAGTGGGAAATGATCTGGCAACACCTAGTTAGAACCATAATTATGCGATCCACGTCTTATCGTTGGCCAACCCATAGATGTTAGATGTGCCGATGATACATTAACTGGCACATGTTTCTGCAAATAATATTCTTAAATTTGAAACATTTTTTTAGGGCCATACATGAGCAAACATCACATAAATACACACACACACACAGAGATATATATATATATATATATATATACATGACAAACTTCATTTTTTATTTTGTGTCTAACCTCATCATACAAAATTAATTCTACCCTACCATATTTGCAAAGATTAATTGATGATTTTGTTGGGAATTTCCACTACTTCAATTTGGTTTTTCTCTCAAGTAATTTAGACGTTATCAAAAGAACGAAGCCTTTGCTGACTCAAGAATTTGTGCAACTAAAAACTGATAAATGAAAAGAATAATCATATTGAAAACTACTAAATTAAAGGCTCCATTGGGTCAAATTCTGAAGCAGTTTATTCTCATGGCAGGTTATGTGTGGTTGAAATGCGAGAGGGAAGAGGATAAAGATTGCTATGCAGTACTCCAAAAAGAAGCCAATGTTTATGGCCGTAGAGGTAGCTTGTTTGGTGCTGAAGATCGACATGTACGTCTCACTCTCTTAAGGAGCCAAGATGATTTTGATATATTGCTTCACCGGCTCAACCAATTAGTCTTGAAAGAAAGTGAACTCCAAAAGTTATTTGTCAACGAGATTTGATGAAAAATTAATCACTTGTGTATTAGAAGCCAATAATCAGTACACTTTTATTCAATTAAGGGTCATATGTGATTTGACCTTCTACATGTATATTGAAACATTTCGAAAAATAGCAGAGCGTCACTCGTGCTCCTCTATGTATCCCGTGCTTATATATGTAATACTAGTCAATTAGTCTAGTTGTATTCACTTTTTAAATGTTGAAAGATATAACCCTAGTTCGAGTTTATTTTTCCTCATTAATGAAAACAATAATACTATAGTATGTCTCTGATGGCATCTTGGTTGTATGTGTGTGAGATATTCTCTACTTATGTAATTTAGACTATCGCTTGTACTGAAAAAAAAAAAAAAAAAAAAAAAAAAAAAAAAAAAAATACCACTAGTTGGCTTTGCTGAGTGGTGTTACGGTTTGGAAAGTTTATCGATATTGCTATACGCCTTGTCTCGGATGTGAAGGATCTTCTTAGGTTCCTGAGGAATCTGTTTCAACACTATAAGGAAGTCAAATGCAAGGCTTCTACAATCGAAGGTGGATGCTTTCGTTCGAAGTTATTTCGGTGGTTTCCTTGAATTGTTTCACACCCATTTGGGTTAATGAATGATTGATGGTTGGCATTGTATTTGTTATTTCTGATACTATTCTTTAAGACGCTGCTCCTTATTAGATATGTAATCATCTTGTTTCTTTGTCATACGACGCTCTGACCTTGCGAGCGACTATTAAGTTAGTAACAGTTGGGAGCTGGTAGAGGGTTATCCCATTAAAAGCAAAACTTAGGATTATTTAGACCACTAATGCTAGATTGTCCATGGTTGGACCTTTCATTAAATGCATTCCTAACCAACACCAGGTGTCAATCATTCGCTGGTTGCCTAAAACAAACATCGCCAGGAGGCACCAACACTCACTCTGATTAGGTTATGGGACGGACACTCCTCTCTCCTTAATCAGAAGGATTTGTTCTTTTCAAGCCCTCTATAAATACCCTTCACCAATACTAGGATCAAGATGATAAATACTTACACCTAGACACCCTCCTACTCTCCAATCTCTCCCAGCTTAGAGCTTGGACGGTCGGTGGAATCAGGAATTTTTCAACGAGTGGGTTAGCTAAAGTTATTAACTTAAAATCTAATGATCAATTTTTTTTGTACTTACCTTTTTTATATTCTTTTATACTTACCTTTTTTATATTCGTTCTATAAATAAAAGTATACATTTGAAATTGGTACATAGGTGAGGGGCTAAATTAAAACCCCAATTGGAAAGATCAATGACAACAATGATCAAATAATCTTGGAGACAATATGACTAGTCAAATACTAGTCATAGACTTATGAATAAACAAGCAAAGTAAAAATTCATCACAAATCAAATATTCTTATGCAAGTCTAGAAGATAACTACGTGACAACCTAGAAACTCAAAAGCACCCATCAAAGTTTGGCTAGTAACAACCAGAGTGATAGGTGTGTAAATATTCATCAACATTCCAGAGATAATAGATACAATACAGCTAGTCATAAAACACTACAAGAAAATAGGCCTTCTGTGACCAAATTTTACGTGACGCTGAAAATTCCGTCACATTTGGCTTGTATAAGTGAGAAAATTTTGCAAGTCGTCACCTAAACGTCTTGAAAGGACCTAACAAAATTTTCGCTCCATCTTCGTCACATTATAATTTCGGTGTCGTCACAAATTTCATAGCGGAAAATCTTGGCGCCCAAGTTTTTTACTAAATGTGACGAATAATGCATATTCGTCACAGAACATGAAAGTGAGGACTGAAAATTTTATTGAGTGAAGATTGGTAGCATCACTTATGGCCCGAAATAAAAAAATAAAAAAGTAAAAACAAAACCCAATGCTTCATTCAACCTAAGTCAAATGCTTCATCGTCATCTACACTAGCCCAAGAACAAAACCCAACGCTTCATCTACACTAGCTGCGCTCTCATCCACAAACCACCGGCGACGACGACCGCTCCTCCTCTCTGGCAATGACGACCACTAGTCTTCCCCTCTCTCTCTCTCTCTCTCTCTCTCTCTCTCTCTCTCTCTCTCTCTCTCTCTCTCTGTCTCCCCCTTCGCGTGACCTATTGTCTCCCACATTCTATCACAAACAAATTCTCATTTCAATCTATTCCCTCGACAATAACCACGGCTAATTAAGTCCACCTTCCATTTGTAATCTCTCATCCCTTTGAGATGTGTTCTTGGTCGAAGGAGGGTGTAGCAGTGGCAAGTGTGGGTCTGGAAATGTGTTCTTGGTGGGCGCAGGGCTTGGGGACCCTGAGCTCCTGACATTGAAGGTTTATAGAGTTATTTAGAATGCTGATCTGTTGTTGTATGATAGGTTGGTGTCCAATGATGTGTTGGAATTGGTTGACTCTGGTGCTAGACTTCTCTATGTGGGCAAGACTGCTGGGTACCATAGCAGAACCCAGGTAAAGCACTAATCTTTATCAGCATTTCTTGTATTAGCTGAAACAACCTTTCAAATTTTATTTTGATTTTCAATTGAGTTTCTGATATGGGTTCTCTCTTACTATAAATTTGAAATCTTTAGGCAATTTGGTGAATTGGGTATTTGGGTTTGTGTTAATTTGTATCTGGGTTAGAGAAGTGAATTGGGGCTTTACTTTGGGGTCTTGGGAAAGAGCTGAATCGTTTTTTCCCCCTTTCAGGAGGTGATACATGAATTGCTACTGAGTCTTGCTGAAGCTGGAGCTAATGTTGTGAGACTAAAAGGAGGGGATCCACTGGTGAGTTCCTACATTGAAGTATGATAGTTTGTTACTTGTGGTATTGTGGTGTCCTGTCAAATTTGTAGTGAAACATATTTTTTGTCTTTAGGTGTTTGGTAGGGGTGGGGAGGAGATGGATTTTCTGCGATAGCAAGGAATTGAAGTGAATTTTAGTCCAGGTACAATGATAGATTAGTCTGGTAAACACTCTTATTTAGTGGAGACTTTTTATGATAATATATGAAAGGTACCAGAGATACCAATGGCTGTACAACATGGCCATTGCTCTTGTGTTGTTTTAATTCATGGTTTAATTTGTAATCTGAACATGGCAATGACTACAACGTTTTCCTTTTGTATTTTGACAATTTGACTCTTCTATGAATCCAAGCAATTTTTTTTTCAGTACTTAATACTCTTATGTCAATGACAATGGTGTAGATTTTTGTTTATATATCCCAAGTATTCAATTTGATATATGATAATGTTGTCATATGTTCAATTGGTTATTTCCCTGGACTCTGCATTCACCATTTTTTGAATTAATTCACTGTTTTTCTTGTTAGAGAAATTAATAGTCAAAGAATCATGACAAGGAGTTTATTAAAGTTAACTTCTTCTTATTAGGATTTGAAAAGAAATGGATGAGAAACTCTTGTTTCTTCATATTTGGCTGGCGGCACTTGCAATTGCACAGAGGCTGTAGACTTACACTTCAAATATAAATATTATTTCTTCTTTCATTCTTCACATCTTGGCTGCACATCACGTGGGCTGCTATTTGCTTTTCATTCAATGGCATGGAGGTCTGGCTCTTTATTTGCTGCCAACCCATGTGCTGCCAGTCTTTGTTGCTGGCTTTTCATATGGCTATTTGGTTGGAGCTGTCGCTCCACTCTCCTTGCTCATCCTTTCTTGCACTTGCCTCTGTGATGCTCCCAATCTTCCTTCTTGTTGATGCTCTTTTTCGGAGAGGGTCAACTTAGAGATAAGGGTTTGTCTTCAGCAAGAGGAGGGCCTGGGCCTTCAGTAAAGAGCTAGCCTGCAGAAGACAAAAATAGGAGAAGCAGTCGTTAAGCTTCGGACACCGGTGTGGTGCCGGCCGAAGGCTCTCCGATGCCTGAGTCAGCTAGGGATAGTGACTATCGCAAAGTAATAGTAATAGTGGGAGAGAAGTTACCCTTTTTCTTGGTTACTGTTCCCTACTTATAGGGAAGTAAAAGTAGGAGGTTTGCACAAAGTTCCGATGTGGGACTTTGTGCAAGTTGCTGTGATGATGACACGTGTCTCCTGTGTTTTAGGTTTGGCAGTTCGGAGCTTCGGCAGGTGGTTGTCCCTTCGGAAGAGCATCTCCCTTTGGCAGGGAGGAAGGCATGTCTACCTTGGTGTTCAATCACGCTTGGTTAATTATGGTGTAAACAGTAGTCCCCCAAGTTGTCAATCAAGAAGTGGCTTCTGGTTTGGGAACTTGTGAAGAGATTGTGTAATTCAACCAAGCGTGTCGGTGTGGCGGGCGCTGAAGGTAGTCCCCTAGTCCTCCAAGTTTGAAAACTAGAAGACACCTTTTTTTTTTTTTTTTTTGGGGGTGGCCGAGAGGGTGGCCTTCCGAAGGTAAGGTATGACGTCATCGCGAGGTGTGAGGTCCTTCCAAGCTTCGGAAGGGAGCCTGCCGAAGGGAAGGTGTGACGTCATCATGCCTTCCGAAGGGAAGGTGTGACGTCACCGCGAGGGCTCCTTCCAAGCTTCGGAAGGGAGCCTGCCGAAGGGAAGGTGTGACGTCATCATGCCTTCCGAAGGGAAGGTGTGACGTCACCGCGAGGGCTCCTTCCAAGCTTCGGAAGGGAGCCTTCCGAAGGGAAGGTGTGACGTCATCATGCCTTCCGAAGGGAAGGTGTGATGTCACCGCGAGGGCTCCTTCCAAGCTTCGGAAGAGAGCCTTCCGAAGGGAAGGTGTGACGTCATCATGCCTTCCAAAGGGAAGGTGTGACGTCATCGCGTGTCACGAGGGGTCCTTCCGAAGGGAAGGTGTGACGTCACCGCGAGGGCTCCTTCCAAGCTTCGGAAGGGAGCCTTCCAAAGGGAAGGTGTGACGTAATCATGCCTTCCGAAGGGAAGGTGTGACGTCATCCTTCCAAGCTTCGGAAGAGAGCCTTCCGAAGGGAAGGTGTGACGTCATCACGAAGGCTCCTTCCAAGCTTCGGAAGGGAGCCTTCCGAAGGGAAGGTGTGACGTCATCATGCCTTCCGAAGGGAAGGTGTGACGTCACCGCTTCCAAGCTTCGGAAGAGAGCCTTCCGAAGGGAAGGTGTGATGTCATCATGCCTTCCGAAGGGAAGGTGTGACGTCACCGCGTGTCGCGAGGGGTCCTTCCCAGCTTCGGAAGGGAGCCTTCCGAAGGGAAGGTGTGACGTCATCATGCCTTCCGAAGGGAAGGTGTGACGTCACCGCGTGTCGCGAGGGGTCCTTCCGAAGGGAAGGTGTGAGCCTTCCGAAGGGAAGGTGTGACGTCACCGCGTGTCGCGAGGGGTCCTTCCCAGCTTCGGAAGGGAGCCTTCCGAAGGGAAGGTGTGACGTCAGCACGTGGTCTACTTCCAAGCTTTGGAAGGGGGCCTTTCGAAGGGAAGGTGTGACGTCATCACAGGGGATCCTTCCAAGCTTCGGAAGAGAGCCTTCCGAAGGGAAGTTGTGACGTCACACGAGGTCTCCTTCCAAGCTTCGAAGGGAGCCTTCCGAAGGAAAGGTGTGACGTCATCAGTGCCATGTGGCAGTGGTATAGAAACGTCTGTTCGTGGAAATCGAGGTGTCCCAACGGTATGATGAGTTATTGCTTGGAGCGAGAATCGAGGGGTCCTTCGTATGCCTTTAAAAGATTGTGGAGGGCTGAAGGAGTGAGCACTTTGATTTTTCGAAAGATTTTAGTAGACGAGCAAGGGCGATTTCTGAGAAGATTCAAGGACGGCGGAGCGATTTCCGGCGAGGCTTGAGAAGGTACCTTCGTGAGCCAGGCGATTTCCGGCAACCGTGGACGGTGGTGATAACAAGGTATGCCTTGTGCTCATTCACCCTTTCTGGATTGAAATGCCTCTTTTGCTTGAGTTTTGCTTGAATTTGGTATGAACGTAGATGAACGTCCATGAACATATTAAGAACATGCCTAGGCTCTTGTTTTCAATCTTCGCATGCCCCTTAGTTTCCCTTTTTGTGTTTGTAGATGTCTGATAATTCTGAAAGAGAAAGTCAAAGCTCTCCAAGTCCCTATGCCTTCAGTGGGGAAGAGTTTGAGAGTGGTAGCCCTAATGAAGACTTGGGTACTGATGGGGAAAGTACTGAGTCTGAACGTTTGGTGGAAGGGCTGATAGTGGAGGGAAATAGGGTTGGGGGAGAAAAGCAGTCAAGGAGTTCGGGGGGGAAGCTTATAGGGAGATGCAAAGGAACTATGTGGCCCTAGAAGCTTGTGCAAACCGGGTGTTGGGGATAACCCAGGCACCAGAGGCTAGTGCAAGTGGGCGGGCTGGGCCATCGGGGTGTGGTACGGTGGTAGTAGCATCCGCTGATGTGGGTATTCCAATAGGGGTTCCACTACCGAAGAAAAATATGATGAGTTTGTATGATCTAGAGTCACTGAAGGCAGATTATGCTATACCTGATTGTGTGGGGCTGAGGTTGCCCATACCTACTAAAGCGGCTAGATACCCTCCCGAGGGTTGCGTTATGGTGTTCTCAGCTATGTACAAACATGGATTGAGGTTACCATTGCATCCTTGGGTGCAAATGATGCTTTCCAGATTGGGCTATGCCCCTGGGCAGTATAATCCCAACTTCTGGTGTATACTGCACGGGGTGTACATAGCATGGTGGTTGGCGAAACGAGGGGAGCCCTCCTTTGAGCAGTTCATGCATCTGTACTCAGTGTCCAGGCAACAGGGCAACTTTGGCTGGGTGCAGGTCAACTGTCGAAAGGCGAAGGAGAGAGGATACTTTATAGGGCAACCACCATCGTCGCAGAAGACGTGGCGAAATCGATGGTTCTTTGCCTTTGGTGATTGGGAGTGCTGGCCTGGGACGACCGTCAGCAAACATGTGCCTACCCATTTTCAATCTATAGGTCTTTGGTTATAACTCCTGTCTTTGTGTTTGAATGTGTTGGTATGAATATGTAATGTTGTCTGAAGCTTGTGAGAACTAACGCCTTTGTCCATGTGCAGGTTCTGTGAAGTGTAGGCCAGTGTCCAGGGAGGAAGAGGAAGAGATAGAGCTGGTGAGGAGACAAGTGACCCAGGAGGCGCGTGAGCTGAAGAATATTGTGACACCAGCCCTTCTTCTACAGTCGGGGTTGCTTCAAGGAAGTAAGTATTGGCCCACTCCCTCCCTTTTATATGTTCGTTGTTGTATATCTTCTCACCTCTGCTTCGGTGTTGTTTTGCAGTGGCTGAGGTACCGAAGAATGTGGTGACCGTGGTTGAGAAGTCACCGAAGGTAGTTGTGGATCCGGAGGAGAGGCAACGAAAGTTGCAAGAGAGAAGAGAGAAAGATAGGGCCAATAGGGCCAAGAAGCAGGCAAAGGGGGCGCCCAGTACTGCCGAGGGGACAGCAGCCCGGGCTGTTGGGAAGCGGCCTCGGACGGAGGAGGATGAGCAGTTGGCGGAGCTGGAGAAGAAGCGAAGGGGACTCGAGTCCTCGATCCATGACGTCATGGGTGGGACAGTGTTGCCGCCGTTCGACCTAGATCCCCCACCCAGGCTGCCGCTCGAGATGGAGGAGCTATTCCCTGCAGGTACCGAGGATATAGACTTTGCCTCGGTCCGACGGGAGGCGAAGGAGGTAACCCTGGCCATGCATCGCCAGGAAGTGCCTCTTGTCAACGCCTTCCTGACTGGGGTAAAGATTGATGCGGGGGAGCTCGCTCGGACCAAGGCCACGGACTTCTCCGATCGGGTCCAGAAGACGGTGCTCTCTGCCGCCAATGTAAGTAGTCCTGTGCCTTTAACTTTCTAATAGTGCAATTATGATCTGGCTTATGAACATACCTTTCTTGCAGGCTTTTGGGGATATGTACCTCACCCTAGCCAGGGCGGAGAGAGAGGTGGACTTGGCTAGACGCCATTCCGAGACAGCCAAGGCTGCTACCGCCAAGGCTCAGGCTGCCATCCGGGAGAGGAATGTGCTGCAGCTGAAGGTGGGGAGGTTGGAGCGGGAGCTAAAGGAGACGACCCGGCAGCTGGAGGCGGTGGAGGAGGCTAGGCTCGAGTCTGAGAGGAGGAGGACCGAGGAGTTGAGCATGGCTCGTGCCGAGGCTGTGGAGAAGTATCAGGGCTCAGACAGGTTCAAGAGCCTTGTGCTGGACGCGATGGTCGAGGAGCAGTATGGGTGGGAGAAACTGGTTGCGAGGTTTAATCCAGGGTTGGATATAAACTTTGACACTAGTGGTGTTCCCCCTCCCATTCCTTCGGTCGGGAGTCACTGTTTGCGGCCACTCCGTCTGCCGAGGCCAAGAGTCCTTCGGAGGCTGAGACGCGGGGAGGTGCCGATGCTAGCGGAGGGGAGTCGACCGTGGATCCTGACACAGCTGCCGAGGAGGAGGCGGACGACCATGCTGATGCCTGAGGGCTTGTTTGTATTTTTGCTATGATGTACCCAGTTATTTCAGACGTAGTCTTTTGACATGTATGGATATTGCCCTGCCCTAAGGCAGGGTTACTTTGATTTTTATGATAGCTTGGTACCCTTTTACCTTAAGCATTCTGCCAAGTTCTGAAGTAGAAATGGGGCCCAATTGGGTGCTTCTATTAGATGGGTGCCGAAGGGCAAAAAGTACAATGGTGGGTTTGAGTCGAGGCTCAAGACGAAGTATAAGAAAACACAATGTCCTAGGGTCTAGGTATGTTTACTTGTAGTAGCACTTGAGATGGTCAGCGTTCCAAGGGTGAGGCAACGTTTTGCCCTTGTGGTCCCGAAGCTGATAAGTCCCGGGGCGGCAAACCTTGGTGATCTCATATGGACCTTCCCACGTAGGGCCCAGGGTACCCTCATTAGGATTCTTAGTGGCTAAGGAAACCTTGCGCATGACCCAGTCCCCAGTTGTGAAAGCTCGAGGTTTAACTCTGGAGTTGTAGTACTTGGCAATACGCTGCTTGTATGCGACGTTGCGCATGTTGGACTGGTCACGAAGCTCGTTAATGAAGTCGAGGTTGAGGGCCAGCTGCTCGTTATTAGCCTCGGCCTCGTAAGTGGAGGTTCGGTATGTTGGCTGGCCAATCTCCACTGGTGCCACCGCTTCGGTACCAAAGGAAAGGGAAAACGGTGTTTCTCCCGTTGAGGTACGAAAGGTGGTGCGGTAAGCCCAAAGAACCTCTGGGAGTAGCTCTGGCCAGCAACCCTTGGCTTTGTCAAGCTTGGTCTTCAGGGTCTTCTTGATAATTTTGTTCACGGCTTCGACCTGGCCATTGGACTGAGGATGGGCTGGAGAAGCGAAGCAAAGTTTTATCTTGAGGTTGGAACAAAACTGCCTAAATTTTGCGTTGTCAAATTGCCGGCCGTTGTCCGTGACGATGGCGTGGGGGATGCCGAAGCGGCACACGATATTTTGCCAAACAAACGTCTCAATGCGAGCCGCAGTGATGGTGGCCAGGGCCTCAGCTTCAGCCCACTTAGTGAAGTAGTCGACGGCCACGACTGCGTACTTAACCTGGCCTTTGCCCTCGGGCATAGGTCCGATGAGGTCAAGTCCCCACTGGGCGAATGGCCAAGGACTGACCATGGCTGTTAAAGGTTCAGCTGGGAGTTGAGGGATATTGGCAAACCGCTGACACTTGTCGCACTTCTGGGTGAAGGCTTGGGCATCAGTGTGAAGTGAGGGCCAGAAGTATCCTTGCCTAATGGCCTTATGCGCAAGTGAGCGGGCGCCTGAATGACTACCACAGATGCCTTCGTGGATTTCCCGGAGGACATAGTGGCCTTCCTCTGGGGTCAGGCACCGAAGGTAGGGTAAGCTGAATCCGCGCTTGTACAGGGCGCCAATAATGATCAGGTATCGGGCGGAGCGATAGCGAACACGCCGCGCCTCAGCAGGGTCAGCGGGTAGAGTATGGTTCTGCAAAAATTGGAGGATGGGGTCCATCCATGTTGGGCTGTGATCGATGGCGCAGATAAGTGGTGCATGCGTGGTTGGCTGATCCAAGATTTCCATGTGGATATTGCGGCCAAGGCCCTGCTCTATGGCTGAGGCTAGTCTAGCTAGGGCATCGGCGTGGCTATTCTCTGAGCGTGGTACCTGGTTTATGAGGTAAGCGTTGAAGGTTGCAAGCAAATGGCGGGTATGTTGGAGGTAGGCTGTCATGGACACGTCCTTGGCAGTGAAGTCCTGGTTGACTTGGTGTACAACGAGCTGTGAGTCGCTGAAAATCTGAATTTGCCTAGCGCCCATCTCCTTGGCTAACCGGAGGCCAGCTAAGAGTGCTTCGTATTCGGCCTCATTGTTGGAGGCGTGGAATTGGAAGCGAAGGGCGTACTCCAGGACAGCCTTGTCTGGAGAGATGAGAACAAGGCCAGCTCCGCATCCCTGGGCGTTGGAAGAGCCATCCACATACAAAGTCCATAAGGGCTGTGTTAAGTCTAGGGTGCCGTTGCTGGCGACGTGGACCTGGCTCGGGGTGGGAGTGGGCTCCATCGTGATCTGTGGACTGGCCACGGCATGGGGTTCGGTGAATTCAGATATAAAGTCAGCCACGGCCTGGCCCTTCGTGGCTGGGCGGGGTTTGTAGTGGATATCAAATTCGCCAAGCTCAATGGCCCACTTGACTAGCCTCCCAGAAGTCTCCGGCTTCTGCAACACTTGCCGAAGTGGTTGATTGGTTAAGACATTAATGGTATGAGCCTGAAAGTACGGCCTGAGGCGCCGAGCCGAAACCACCAGGGCGAATGCCAATTTCTCGATGTCTGGGTACCGAACCTCGGCGTCCTGTAACGCTTTGCTGACGTAATGCACTGGGTGCTCAGCACCGTTCTTTATCTGGATGAGCACAGAACTGACCGCTGTAGCCGAGACCGAGAGATAGATCTAGTCCTTGTATTCTTCAAAAGGTACTCCGATTCAGTGCACTAAGCAAGTAGGACCCTATCAGGGTCACGCAACGTCGGACTTCCTGTGAGTGGACTTTGTTTTAAAATAGCGTTATTTTCAACGATTAAATTACCATGCCTTAGAATTTCTGGCGTGGTGTGTTGTAGAGTTGTAGTCCCCCAGTTAGACAGCTCATCCCTAGACGCAGGGAAGAAACCCTACGAGCTAGTCAAATAATCCCCATACTGGATTGTTTCCCTAGTACTCGTGTTGGTGTGAAAATATTATATATATATATATATATACTTATAAATTATATGATATGTATAGTTATGGATTACAGGGTGTATATATCTATACAATTTCAAGATTTTTCGTGTCTATATGTATATGGCTATCTATATGTTTATGCACTTAACTATTTCAAAAGCTTTCTTTACATATTTCATTTTATTTTGATAGTATCATATTACATCGGGGGTGTGAGAGTACATCAATTTCACATTGAATACATATGAATGTTTTCGATTGCATGTTTTTAGCATTGTTTAGTATGTTGTTTTGAATTATAATAAAACTTTGTTTTGTCCACTCACAAGTTTTCTATTTTACGCCTCCCAGGCAGTAGCTAGACCTGAACTGAGCGGCCGAGCTTAGACGTGAACTGCCGAGCCCCGAACTTTTGTAAGATAACTTTTTTTTGTCTCGATTTCGGTTGAACTTTGTTGCCGCTCGTAAACTAAATTTCTCTAGATTTGCTTTGTTATCACCCATGCTAGGGTTGGATGTAAGGCCGAAGGTTGATTATGTAAATTGTGTGTTTCTACATTGTGCATGCTATTGGTTGGGATTTATTAATGTGTTTTGGCATGTTAAATTTTTTTGGGAAAGTCCGTTTTTCAGGGGAGACTATCGAAATTTCGGCAGAAAGTCTCAACCCTCTTTTCCTTTGATTTGGAGAATAGGCTATGGATAGTAAATGGGCCCGACTTCAGTTTGATGTCAGAAATATCACAGGATCTATCACGAATTCTGAGGAATTCAGGGTGGGTACTATCACATACAATCCTACCTCCGTCTTTGATCTCAGCCACAGTAATCATCTTCAACTAGACTATTCTATTATAATTAACCTAGAGCTTGATGAATTATACGTGCAATTACAAAGTTGTCAAGGGAAGCTAAAAAGCTTAGCTAAACATAACCTAACAACATTAAATCATACAAAACACGCAAGTTTTTAAGTTCATTTTGACTAATTTTCATTAAACTTTAAACATAAAACAAATACATATTAAATGCGACAAAAAAATACATATTGTCAAAATTAAAATATGCTCAACAATATAATTAAAGTGACATATTCAAGTTGTGGCTTGCAATCCTTTGCGAGAATTGATATTTTTTGTTATTGCTTCTAGAAACTCGTTCACCATTTTGTTGCCAAGACTGTTTTAACAAGTGGGTGAGTTAGGGCTAAGGACTTTACCATTTAGTTGAAGTCGAAGTGTTTTGGTTGGGATTGAGAAAACAAAGTCATGATCTCCGTAAGCGGAGAAGGTTGTCAAACCGATAGTTCTTTTATTCTAATGTGTATATTTATTGTTGCCCTACAACTAAATTGAAAAAGAAATAGACTTTTTTTTTATAACTTTAATAGATTAATACATATTGAACTATATTTAAAATAACTCATTTATAGGGCTATATTTTCTATTTAAACCCCACAATTCTCTTTGTTCACCCCAATACTTAAATCATTAAGCTGTAAGTTTTATTATTGTGTAAAAAGACAAAAAAGGTCATCCAACTTAATATTTAACCCTAGTACATCTATACACACACCCCATACACCCCACCACTCTTCATATTAAGTTTTAGAAAAATACAAATTCTTCTACATTGTATTGCCAAAGACGTAGAACATTGAAGAGCATGTCTCTTTAAAATCTACGTGGGAGCTAATGGAAAAACTTGTTAATTGTTTGGCTGTAATGATCTTATTCTCTTCCCTTTGTTGATTGCTTTTGTTTTTTTGTTTTTGTTTTTTTAAAATACCTAATGTTTTGGTAAAGCTGTTCTCTTTCTCTAGAAAATATTAAATTTTGGATTTGGGTTTGTTTGTGTGTTTTTTTTCTGCTGGGAACAGTAATATTATTATCACTTCTGGCATTCCAATGTGCATCTAAAATCATAATCTTATTGCTACAACTTCAATAGTTGAGTAATTTTTCTTGTTTCTTTTCCACTCTGATAAAAGCTTCAATGTATTCTCCATTGATGGCCGATCAGATGGCCTGCTCCTAGTGCAAAGTGTAGCACCTCAAGTACCAGTTTTATCTCCTCTCGCATCGGAACGTTCGTACTAACTTCATTCTCATTGTAAATTTCTCTCATAACAACTTCCCTTGACTTACTCTGTATGCTTGCTCCTGAATTCATCAACCTGCCATTGCTTAAAATTTCCAGCATGATCTCCCCAAAGCTGTATACATTCCTCCTCTAAGGGTAGCTTGTGGGGTTTAAATAGAAAATTTCTTTTCTTTCTTATTTTTTCAGATTGGGGTGTATTTAAGGGTAGTTTGGGAAGATAGTGGGGTTTTCTTAGAAATTGTGAAATTTTAAATTAAAAGTTGGGATGAACTTAGAACATGGGGTGAACTAAGAGAAGTGTGGGGTTTAAATAGAAAATCTCAATTTTTTTTCCCTAAAAACCTCCGTGGGGTACAGCCCACCACTGCCATTGAAGTAGTTAATTTAATCAACATGCAGTGCAGCCTCCGTAATATTATATACCGTGTAGATATATATGTAATATTATATACTACGTATATATATATATATGGTCGACTGTAAAGTCGTCAAATATATATATATGGTGGACTGTAAAGTCGTCAAGGCTTTGCCTCCTAACGCATATTAAATTTACAAATTTATAAATAAACCCAATCCTAGACATGTATTTATAAAAAAACCCAAGCACTATTTAAACATAGAAACACACCCAAAATCAACCCCAAAATCAACAATTGTATATTTTTTGGGTGTGTTTATAAATGGGTTTGAGTGTGTGTAATGATGGGTTTTGGGTGTGTTTATAAAGTGTTTGGGTGTTGGGTTTTTTTATAATTTCAGCCCCCATTTTGGGTGTTTTAGTGAAACTCCCTATTAAATTTGTCATTGCTCTCCTATTTCTAGATCTGTTTTACATACATCATTAAGGCTCCTATATATATCTTCATTAAGGCTCCTATGCAAGAGCCTGAAAAGAAGAATTAGACGTATATGGCTAAGCCACAAAGCACCTACCTTGTGTGCCTAGCATTTTCTTTAGTTTTCAATCTATTATTGATCTCTAAACTATATGTGGGTAGAGAGTGGGAACTGAGTTGGAGCAGAAGGGCTGCAGAAGAAGTGAGTATGTGGTAGCCATCTCTTGCTCGGGGCATGGAAGAGCCTACTTGGATGGGTTAACTCTTGATGGCAAGGAGCCTGTTTGTGAATGCAATTCTTGCTATGGAGGCCCTCATTGCTCTGAGTTTTTGACTGGTTGTGCAGCAAATGCTGACAGGTCTCTCTCTCTCTCTCTCTCTCTCTCTCTCTCTCTCTCTCTCTCTCTCTCTCACGCGCGCACACACACACACAATAAACACACTATTCTTAGCTGGTTTGGGAGCTTGGGAAATTCGGAGGGCAGAAAGGTTGTACTGAAAAGAAAAAAAAATTAGCCGAGAAGTTGTTAATAGGGGTGGGCACGGTCCGGTTCGGCCCGGTTCTCCCTTAAATCCGAAACCGAAACCGGTACTGTTCATTCGGTTCGGTCCGGTCCGGCTTTTCATTAAAATGCCTTAGAAAACCGGACCAACCCGGACCGGTTTATATCCGGTTCGGTTTCCGGTTTTCCAGTTTGGACCGGCTCTTGAGCCCAATTATTTTTTGTTGTTGAATTTTTAGAAATTTAAGCCCAACTGATTTTTTAAAAACTTTTGGGCTTACAAATTCATAGCCCAATTCCCATCCAATCATCCAAAACAAAATCTAGCAAACATTAAATTTAAAATTACAACCCAATTACAAAACAAAAACACATATATCAAATAAAATTACAAATAAAATTACAGATAAAATTACAGAACATTCAAACTATTCCATCTTCTAGTGAAAACAAAAACCAAAAAATGCTCCATCTTCCCCTTGTTCTTTCCCCTTGGCAACACGAAGAGGCATCTTCTTCAAACCTTCTCTATTAAGATCCTCTCCCAGACCCTGCATGCAGAAAAAGAGAATTCTTGGTGAAAATTTAAAATTACAACATTCGATTTTATAACATCAGATTTGACCTTTGATGAATTCTTGGTGAAAAACCACCTCAGTCTCAAATTCAAGAGCAATAATGCAAAGAATAGAACAAGATGGCAAGAAGTCCATTAGGATCAACAGTGCATCATAAGTATGAGATCGTGATTATCAAAAACAATATTACACAAGGAAAATTAGGAGGAGAATTCACCTTGCTGTTCATAATATTTGTTTAGAAAATTTATGCAAGTCAAACATAAATTCTTTTGAAATTATATATTCAATAAACCTCTAAGAAATTAATTAATGACAAGAGAAGGATTAAAACCCACAACAACTTGAGAGAAACATTTTTAGGCCTACAACTGTTACTTACACAGAGACATACCCCAGAAAATAAAAAATAAATTTTAAAAAGATTTTACCCGATCTCTTCCTTGTTTACCACAGCAGTCTCCATGAATTGGTATAGATCTGATCTGATCCAAGTGAAACCATGAGATAGATATTAACTGAAAGACAAACCGCAGAAAGAGGAAGAAGAGAGAGAGAGAGAGAGAGAGAGAGAAAGAGAGAAGAAAGAGAGAATTGGAAGAAGAAAGAGACAAAATAAAAGAGAGAAGCGGCGGAGAGAAGTAAAGATGAGGGAGAGAGGAAGGAAAGAAAAGAAAAAGTGGCTTTAGGGTTAGGTGTTGGTTGATGGGCTTTGGTTGTTGGGCTTAGGTAAGGTTAGATGTTGGTAGTTGGGCTTGGGAAGAGAGAAAAATTATGGGATTAGTAGTTGGGCCACCAAATATATTCATTTTTTTATTTTTATATTTAATTCCGGTCCGGTTCAGCCCGGTCCGGTTTTTATAGATGTCAAACCGGAACTGGAACCGGTCAGAACCGGTCAGAACCGGTCCGGTTCGGTTTTTGGTCAACTCAACTCGGTTTTTGGTCAACTCGGTTTTTTTCCGGTTTTTTTCGGTCCGATTCGGCTCGGTTTTCCGGTTTCTCGGTTTAAATGCCCACCCCTAGTTGTTAATTCAGAAAATTTGAACTAGGAAGCTTAGGAAAGTCCAGCAATAAAAAATACCTAACTGAAAAGTCTAGGGGATGTGAAAAGCAATGTTTAGTTTAATTATTAATATATTTAGTGCATTTCTAGGGACTTGGTTTTTTCCTTTTATTATGGAATTTGGAGCCGTAAAAGATTCCAAAAACAAAACTCACATGACATATATTAGTAATGTAATGTTTTAAAATAAGGGTCTTTTAGATCACGAGGCTTATTCCTAATAAACTCTAATATTTTTGGATTTATATCTAATTTTCTAATTTATATTTAGAATAAAATATTCCCTCATATAAACAATGACAAAGAGTAGTGGATGATAGTTACACGTATTTCTCTGAAAAGAATTATACCATTCATCAACAAGGGATCTTTTTTGGCACCATCTCCTCATCATGCTTCTTAGGACTCTTTTGGTACACCGTATTAGACTTTAGATATGAGTAAATAGTTCATGTCAATTATTTGGTGTCAACTTTTATTATTTAATTACCTGACTATTTTAAATGGGTTGGGCTTTTAATACTCTCCTTACCTGACTAACTGATACAACCCACACACATCGGTTTAGATAATACACATTTAATTATACGGTTAGGGAAAAATAACACACACGTTCACGTGAAAAATTCTACTTTCATCTTCTTCTCCCTAGGGTTTTTCTCTGCTATCTTCTCCATATGTTATTCTTTCCACTCTTCTTCCGGTATCCATCTCTCTCTCTCTCTCTCTCTCTCTCTCTCTCTCTCTCCAACTTGCTTCTTCTCTCTTATCCTGTCTTTATCTTCTCTTTCTTTATATATTTCCTCTTTTATTAAATCTTGTGGAAATTAAGTTATGAGTTTTTATTTTTGTGAAAATTAGGTTAGAAATGTAATTGCATCGTTGAATTATTTATTTGTCTATGTTTTGCATTGAATTGAAACTCAATTAATGTTTCAGAGAGCAACCAAAAAGCTTGGGTTTGGTTGCTGGGAAGTGGATGAGTTTGGATGAGTTTGGTTCATAATTCAGTTTTCCAAAATTCAAGCCTTAGTTTGGTGGACGAGTGGATTGTTCGATTTAATTTGGTGAATGCTGGAAATTAAATTTTAGTTAACTAAAATGTATTTAGGCAAATTCATGATGAGGGATGGATATATGGGATTAATGGTAAGAAGCAACATGTAAATTAAAAGCCCTTTTAACTTCCCACTAAATTACTCCCTTTCCCTATGAATTTAAATTTTCATTAAATTATCAAAGAATTTTTATTTTTTTATTTATTTTTTAAGTCTGATCTGATGTTTTCCGAAACAGCACCAAACACAATATAACTTATTCAAACTATTTATCCGAAACAACACCAAAAGCCTTATAATATTATAGATAAACAATCAGTACTTTCCAAAACATATTAATACTATCTGACAGAAATTAGTCAATATAGTCTGACGTACCAAACGAGCCCTTAAATGCTTCTACTAGCTTTCAAATGAACTATTGCTCTTCAGTCTATATCAAGTCAGTCATACAACACTACGTACTGCATGTAAGGATAATGTTACAGTGTAGTACTTTTTCTTTACACAAACGATATCGAAGGAAAGGAATTCAAACACAAAATCTCACATGCAAAGGTGGAGCCAAAAAAATTTGGTAGGACGGGTTCATATTTCTTTTTTCTTTTACTGGATAGATTAATTACTTCCATAAGTGACCACCAAGATTTCTGTCACCATGCCAAGAATAGGGTATTACAGTGGCTTGACAAAGGGAATATCCAAAAAAAAAAATTTGTGCCAAAAGCTGCTCTACCTAAGTCCACCTTTTCACTATTAAAACTTACCTCCAAATTGAAAGCTCCGTTCAATTTCTCATCCTATTGAACGGAGCTTCCAATTTGGATCTAAGTAATTTAATGGTGAAAAAATTTAAATGGCACATCTAAACTTTATGATCATCATCATCAGCTCATGTGTGTTGTTGGATGCAGTGGGGATCCATATTTCTTGGAGCCATTTTGGATGCTTGAGAGGCACATTCGAAAACTTCATGCCATCGTTGGAAACGCCGTGACTGGAGGAAGATACATTGTTTTTGGTGCTGGCTCAACCCAACTTCTCAATGCTGCAGTTCATGCACTGTCTTCCCATAATTCAAGCTCCTCCTCCTCGCCTGCAAGTGTTGTAGCTTCAATTCCTTATTACAATGTGGGATCCTAACTTACTACTTGCATATTTTACATACTAAGAATAAATAAATAAACTTGTATCATCTCAAGAAATCATCTTCTGTATTATCTCTCTGTAGTATATAGATAGTATTACCACGTGTACGTGTGTGGACCTACTTCTGTGGTGGGTCACACCTGTATACATAAAATCACCAATAGAGATGGTACAAATAGTACGCAGTACTACTAAATATACTGATGACTGATATATACCGTTTTGATGTTCGATTTTCCCAGCTTTACCAAATACAAACGGAGTTTTTTCGATCGACAGACTACGTATTCGAGGAGATGCATCCTTGTTGCAGAACATCTCAGATGCTACTAATGTTATTGAGTTTGTTACCTCACCAAACAATCCTGATGGCCAGCTGAATAAGGCAAATGTTCAAGGTCCAAATGCCAAAGCAATCTATGATCGTGTCTATTACTGGCCACATTTTACAGCAATTCCTACTCCAGCAAATGATGATATCATGATATTTTCAATTTCTAAGCTCACTGGCCATGCTGGTAGCAGATTCGGGTACGTAACAACCTAACTATCATTTTCTTTGCATATCTTTTCACTTCTATTTATTTTATTTATTTTATTTATAAACTTTATCACCTTGCTATTATTGGGGACTTCTTTCCCTTCTATATCACAACATATATCCGGAACCAAAAATGCAGAAAATGCACTGCATCTATGACTTTTTTTGACATTTTCTATTGATTGGGGCCATATATATTGTACTAAACTCACACACTACACAGATGTTAGGACTCAAACTCAAGACATTTCATGGGGGGAGCAATTGCTCCAAAACACTACACTAGTAACTAGTAAGTCCTTTGCTAGTATATGTTCTATACAAAAAGACAAAGGCCCCCCTTCAATTTTCCATTTAGGCATCGAGTTGAAAACAAAACCCTTTGCGGTAGCTATAATATTTGTTCTTGTGGCTCTTGCACAGGTGGGCGGTGGTAAAGGATGAGTCTGTGTTCCAAAAGATGACCATGTATACGCTCATAAATAGCATGGGTATTTCTCGAGATGCTCAGCTGAGAGCTTTAAAGGTTTTGAATGTAGTCCTTGAAGGGGGAGGAAAGGATATTTTTGAATTCGGGTATAACACTTTGAGGAAGCGTTGGGAAAAATTGAGCAACATCCTCTCTGTATCAAATCGCTTTAGTCTGCAAAAATTTGCACCCAAACACTGCACCTTTTTCAAGAAAACTAGAGGACCTTCACCAGGTAACATTCTCACCACTACTTGTGTATGTTCTTTTATCAAAATAAATCAATCAAGAACAACATAAAAAATTAAATTAGTTTCGGTCGTCAAAGGACTTCACCACTTGAAGCCTTTTTCAGTGAAGATTTTCTCTCCTTGATCTAAATTTCGTTGCTCATTTCATGTTGAAGCATTTATAATTTCCTTTTAGCTAATATATATACATACCATTTAACACTACTATGATTCTGACCAATTGTTGCGTACCGGATATGGCTGTTGGATGTTCCCATGATCATATGATTCTGATAATATTATTACCCCTGAAAATTAAATTAATTAAGTGATCAAAAGAGCTCATTTATGAAAAATTAATAAATTTCCTCACTGCAGCTTATGCATGGGTGAAGTGCGAGAGGGAAGAGGATAAAGATTGCTATGCAGTCCTCCAAGAAGAAGCCAACGTTTACGGACGTAGAGGTTCTCAATTTGGCGCTGAAGATCGATTTGTGCGTCTCACCCTCTTAAGGAGCCAAGATGATTTTGATTTATTGCTTCAACGACTCAACCAATTAGTCTTGGAAGAAAGTCATCGGCAAAGCTATTTTGTCCACGATTTGAAGAGAAATTAGCCACCTGTTTATTAGAAGCCATTTATATTCAACACTTCTCTTCAAGTAGGGACAATATCTATGTGATTTGAACTACTACAGAAAATAAATAATCAAAATCTAAAAATAGGGAAGTGCTACTCATGGTTCCGTAGGCTTTCTCCAACTATAATGGGACTAAACCTAAATTTTCAAGTTCCAAAATACAGCTATTAATGTATATATTCTCCGAACTCTATCGGTTTCACTTGAGCTCTAATAGTTGGTTCTGCTCCCAATAAGCAAGGAGTTTCTTCAATAGACATTCTTCGCATGGTTGAATGGACTAGAGGTTGCACTTGACACAATATATAGGACATGACATATTCTTCACAATAGGACATTCTTCATTGGATTCCTTTATCATCCTTCAATTATTTTTTTGAACCCTTACCCATCGTCACTTGTCTTCTTCAATTATTTTCTAAATCATTACCCATCTCCTATTGTCTTGTTTCAATCATGTTCTAAACCCTTGTCCATCTATATCTTTATATCACTTATTGGATTCCCTCAATTTTCCCTATCTTTTCTTATCTTTATATATAGGCCATCTCGTTTTGTCATCTTGCCATTATTTCATGAGTGGGAATTTTTGTTTACCCTACACCTTACCCCTTTGAATAGGCAGGCAGCTTATTAGTGGGTGAAGTATGAGAGGGAAGAGGATGAAGATTGCTATGCAAGTGCTCCAAGCAAAAGCAAATGTTTATGTGCATAGAGGTAGTAGCTCTACCAATAAATCTTGAAAGTAATGTACAGGCACAGCCCCAAGACTATGCAAATGATTTGATGAGAAATAATGCAGAAACATTTTGAAAATACTGGAGCGCTACTATGTGCTTCATTGTATCCCCATGTTCAAAATAATTAACTTTTCAGTATAGTGGTATTTCTTTTCCCAGTGTTAGAAGAAGGCGTAAGTTTGAATCCAAAATTACATGATGGTTTTTAATGTTAATTCCAAGTTCTACAGGGCACTTAGGACTCGATTAGTGTTGGATAATAACGTAACTCAACCCAGGGCTTTACGATTTAGGTTCGCTCTCAATCTTGGGCTCTGGGGAGATTTAATTAAGACACCCAAAGAAAATAAGCATTTATTTTTCGTTTTTGCACACCAGAATTAAATCAGTAACATATTTAAATATTCATAAAAGAAATAATAATAATACATAATTACTAATTAAAGTGATTCAAGAAGGCTAATCACATATATAAATTAAAGAAGTTGGCGAAAAAAAAAGTAAAGAAACTAATATTATATTTTTATAATTTTTTTTTATAAAGAAACTCTCCCGACGAAATTTCGTCAGTAGAGGAAATATCCATCGGGCGAAGTCTAATCCAACAAACATTTACCGACTAGTCCTGTGCCGATGAACATTCATCGGGAGAGGTGTTTTCATAGTTTGCAGGGTATAGCCGGGCGGCAATACGTTAAAATATTCTTTTTCGGGGTATTGCCATACGGATATACTGTTAAGATATTATATTTTTAAAGTATATTAGTGCGGCTTTACTATTTATATATTTAAAAAAGGATGTGCCCAACGCATAGGTGCCACGTGTCAACATTTTTTTTTAAAGTATAGCCGTACGGCTATACTATATATATATGCATATAAAGACACGCCAAGCGCCTACGGACCACGTGTCAAACAAGTACCGCCCTGCGGCTATAATATTTTTGTTTTAAAATTTTAAAAAAATGAGCATAGCCGCCCGGCTATACTATTTTTAAAGACAATTAGGAAATACTGGGTATAGCCGTGCGTATATACCATTTTTTAAAAATATATATTATTTTTATTAAAAAATATGTGAGAATTATGTGTATAATACGTGAATTTTGTGTGTCTTATTGAAATTTTTGTAAAAAATAGGTTTATTAAACATGAGAAATACGTGTGTACGTTTATAATACATTATTAAACATGAAGGTGCTAGAATCTACATACGGGTAATAACTCTGAAAAAGTAAAAAATGAAAAAGAGACAATAGATACTCGAGTAATGGCCTAATAGTAATGAATAGGGCTCTTGGACTATATAGAAATTTAATTAGGACACCCAAACGATTACACAAAAGACTTGTAAATAGAAATCAATTATTTGTGGACTTTTTCTAGAATTTTTTTATATTAAAGTATAATTAATAAGTGATTCAAAAATGCTAAGGTATAACTTAATTACATATATAAATTAAAGAAGTGATTCAAAGAAACTCTATACATGTTTTTTTCAAACAGTATAGCCGCGCGGCTATAATATTTATATTTTAAAAAACAGGACGTGCCCAACACATAGGTGCCGGATGTCAAAACAAATTTTTTTTTAAGGAAAACGCGTATAGCCGCACAGCTATACTATTTCTTTAACAAATTCAAAAAGAATCTAGTATAGCCGGCCGGCTATACTATTTATATATGTATATAAAGATATGCCAAACGCCTATGCACCATGTGTCAAACAGGTACAGCCATGCGGCTATAAAAATGAGTATAGTCACCCGACGATACTATTTTAAAGACAATTAGGGAAAAATTAAGTAGTCGTGCAAATATACCATTTTTTAAAAGATATATATTTTTATTCAATAGTATGTGAGAATTATGTGTATAATACGTGAATTTTTTGTAAAAAATAGGTGTATTAAACATGAGAAATACATGCGTACGTTTATAATACATTATTAAACGTGAAGGTGCTAGAATCTTATACAGGTAATAACTCTGGAAAAGTAAAAAATGAAAAAGGGACAATAGGTACTCAAGTAATGGCCTAATAGTAATGGATAGCGCTCTTGGGCTATAGAGAAATTTAATTACGACACCCAAACGATTACACAAAAGACTTAGTAAATAGAAATCAATTATTTTGTGGACTTTTTCTACAATTTTTTATATTAAAATATAATTACTAATTAAAGTGATTCAAAAAGCTAAGATATTACTTAATTACATATATTAAATTAAAGAAGTATACCGAAAAACAAAAGTAAAGAAACTATATATATGTTTTTAAAATTTTATTTAAAAGAAGTACAGCCGAGCGGCTATAATATTTATGTATTAAAAAAAGGATGCGCCCAACGCATAGGTGCCATATGTCAAAACAGTTTTTTTCAAAATGGAAAACGCGTATAGCCACACGGCTATACTATTTCTTTAAAAAATTCAAAAGGGATCTAATATAGCCAACCGGCTATACTATTTATAAATGTATATAAAATTACGCCCAGCGCCTATGCTCACTTGTCACACAGGTACAGCCGTGCAGCTATAATATTTTTGTTTTAAATTTTTTTTAAAAGCGTATAATCGGCCAGCTGTACCATTTTTTTTAGATAATAAGGTAAAAACGGAGTATAGCCATGCGGATATACCATTTTTAAAAAAATATATATTTTTATTTAATAGTATGTGAGAATTATGTGTATAATACATGAATTTTGTGTGTCTTATTGAAATTTTTGTAAAAAATAAGTTTATTAAACATGAGAAATACGTGCGTACATGTATAATACATTATTAAACATGAAGGTGCTAGAATCTTTATACAGCTAATAACTCTGGAAAAATAAAAAATGAAAAAGGGACAATCGATACTCGAGTAATGTCGTAATAATAATGGATAGGGCTCTTGGGCTATATAGAGAAATTTAATTAGGACACCCAAATGATTACACAAAAGACTTGGTAAATAGAAATAAATTATTTTGTGGACTTTTTCTACAATTTTTTATATTAAAATATAATTACTAATTAAAGTGATTCAAAAAGGGTAAGATATTACTTGATTACATATGAATCACTTAAAAAAAGAATGCCAACGTTTACGGGAGTAGAGGTTCTCATTTTGGTGCTGAAGATCGATTTGTGCGTCTCACCCTTTTAAGGAGCCAAGATGATTTTGATTTATGCTTCAACAACTCAACCAATTGGTCTTGGAAGAAAGTAATCGGCAAAGCTATTTTGTCCACGATTTGAAGACAAATTAGCCACATGTTTATTAAAAGCCAATTATATTCAGCACTTCTCTTTAGTAGAGACAGTATATATGTGATTTGAACTACTACTGAAATAAATAATAAAATCTAAAAATAGGGAAGTGCTACTTATGGTTCCTTAGGCTATCTGCAACTAGGGGTGGAATCGGTTCGGTAACCGATGTTGAGCCTTTTCTTAACAACTAAAATGAGTTATTAAAAACAGCAACTTTAATTCTCGCAAGTGCACGAACCGTTTATAGTATAGCTTATGTAAATACGAGGTCGATCCCACGGAGAATGGTAACTTGGTTCCAAGTTAAATTACTTAGAATGCTAGAAAAAACATAAAACAAAGAAAACTAACTAACTAGCTAAAGGCAAGTTCGAACTCAACAATGCCTCTTGCTAATTACTCAAGGTCTAGGACAGAATCCTAGCACCACACACGCACTCGAAATGGGGGGGTTTTGTTGTTGAAATGAAAAGAAAAACGTGAAATGAAAGTGCTCGAAAATAAACACTGGCAGCAATCAACAAGTTGTGAAACAAAGATTGAGAGGTGTTAGAGCCTTGGAATCTACCACTAGTCTTCCTATCCAAGTTATGAATGCATAGAAATTGACTCAAGCTTCATCAACAATAGATTATCGCATACAAGCCTATGGTATCTAGGTGCAGGATGCATGATTCTCCTAAGGCATGTGATTGTGCATGGTATCTACACAACACTTGATCTCTAATATGCAACCTAAGCATGGTATCTACTTAGAATAAAGCATACAAGAGTCATTAAGCTCCTTGAGAATATGATAATCACACAAGTCCTAGAACATGGTATCTGTCCTAGTCAACTTATGGTTATAAACCCCTTGAATGATTCTTAGGCCATTCATGTGTTGCTTGTGAAAGGAGAGTAGAATTGGTGAATCTAAACCCCTTCCCAACCTGTGCTAGATGCATAAAATCCTAGTTAGCTACTCTAAGCAAACATACATCAAGCACATGATAAACTGGAGATTAACAACTTGATAATGAAATCAAGGAAATCAATTAACTATAAAATCATCCATAACATTGAATATTCATGACTAGGGCTTCATCCTAAGCCCTAACTAAATGGATTAGTTAGACATAACTATGAATACAGAAAATAAGAAATACATAGATAGGATAAAGAGAGGAGAAGAACTAGATGATGGCAGCAAGGAATTCCCAGGACAGCTCCAAGCTCTCTTCTCTCTTTGTGGTGAATCTGAATTTGTGTATGAGAGTAATGGGTGAAGTGAAAATGTGTATCTGACTCTCCCTCCCTTGAATGAGTGTGCAGCCCTCTATTTATAGAGTGCAATTTCGTCCTCCCCTTTGGCTGGTGAGGCACACCTCTCTTAGCTGCTCCCAACAACTCCAGCAGCCCATACTTGCCACTTGCTCCAGATGCCCATACTTGCCACCTGCTCCAGCTGTCAAATACATGCTTTGGTATGGTTTTTTAATGGAAAACTTGACTTTTGTTCATCATTCTGAGTTTCTGAACTGATTTGACTCCCATGTATGGCTGCCCATGCTTAGCACATGGCTCTAGGGATGTAGATGTGATGGCAGCCAGTCATGACATTTCTGTGAACTTGATTCAGTCTTTGACGTGCTGAGGGCTCCAGATTTATCCAATTGGGCTGAAATTTGGATATGTTATAATAGACACCAATTGGAACAACTTCTATCAAGGATGTCTCCTCATCCGACCTGTGTAAGTTGCTGAAATGAGGACTGCAAGATGACCCACGAAACTGGACTGACAAGGATTGTGGCCCCAAATTGGGTTTGTCCTTAAGCTCATATTCCTCTTATCCCAATCAGCCCTTATCAAGCATGGATTGCATCAAATGTGATCTCTTGCTGTCTTAACCTACAAAACACACAAACATAGGTAAGAGACTCAAAATAAAGAGAAGGTAAACAAAATTACTAAGCAAAGAAGGCATGCAAATGTGTGAAATTATGACCTTATCAAATACCCCCAAACTTAGATTTTGCTAGTCCTCGAGCAAAAACAAAGGAAAAATACCATTTAGAAAATAGGAAATAAGCTGCTAGCCTTCCAAACAATATCCTCAAAGAATCACCGAAATATATGGTTCCAAAGAAGCACAACAATCACAATCTAAGTTCCACACATGATTCAAGGGTAACCAAGGCTCACAATGACATCCTTAAGTGTAGTGTGTGAATGCCAAATCAGAACAACACCTGCAACTCAAATAAGTACATGCGCACACACTTAGAGCAAAATCAAAATTCCGAACCCCATAAGCTCATTATCCAATCTGCTCTCCACATAATACCATGCAACACCAAGGATCAAAAGGACTTTACAAGGGTAGTAATGAGGTTTAGGGTAGTGGTTGAATGAAAGAAGGGATATGAGATATACAATATTTTGAGCATAATTAAAGCATAGGTAAGAGCAAAAGAGATTACTGAATTTTGTAACAAGCAAGGAACACATACATGAGCAGATTTTCAACATAATTTCAGCACCTTCATATCTGTTTATTTGGCCTAATTTTGTGGCTCTTTACCCTAGATCACCATGATCTTCTCTTTTATAACACCCTAGGGCCGTGACTACATTGGTCACACTTCATTACCTCTTTTGATTAGTTACCAATACCCCCAAACTTATTTCTTTTCAACACTTGGGTTATGGCACTAATGATTTTTTTGCTCCAAAACCTTGCATTCTTATAACTCTCTTTTGAAGATAGCTTTAATGCTTATAGAATAAGTAAGAATAAGAAAACAGAGGTTCATTATGGTAGGAATGGTTTACACAAAGAAAGGCTTAACGTTGGCTCAAATGGGTTGACTAGGGATGAATACATGTAGAGGGATGGTTAGAAAGGCTCAAACGGTTCAAACATGGCCTAAATCACTTCCTAAGCATTGTATGACAACAAAATGTCTCAAGAGATATTCAAATAAGTTCTAGAGTACAAAACCAAGATCATGAGATAAGTAGAATTGCATAACATCTCTAAGTAACAAGAAATTGGACTAACTTGGCAAAGTGCTCAATAAGTGCAAGGATGGCATGCAAGACAGAGTTAACTCAGAACCACACAAAGTCCTTAAACAATGACTATCAATTTCTGAGAAACCATATTAGTATTAGATCCAAGTCTTATCATAGGTGTTTGGAAGGATAACGAAACAAGACACAAAATCCTGTGTTTTTGGCCATTAGACACACTCAAAATTTTAAAATTTGATAATTTGAAACAACATAACTAAATCCTTCCCCCCAAACTTAAATGAAACATTGTCCTCAATGTTTAGAGTGTAAGAAAAAGCAATGCCTCATAAATGAAAGGAAAGAAGATAAGGGAAAGACATAAGCAAAGGTTAGAGTTCAGAAAAACTCCCCTTTGAAGCGATTAGGACAAGCAGGTTTCCTTGCATGTTCTGTCTTCTCCTCGTCACCTTGGGTTGCCTCCCAAGAAGCGCTAAGTTTTATGTCTTCAGCCGGACGTCCAAACTCTGGTGAACATCAAGAGAGTGGTAGAGGCTCCTTGAGTGCTTGAGACTCAATATTGGCATCAAAGTTGGCATCAAAGTAAGGTTTCAACCGATGTCCGTTCACCTTGAAGGTGCTGCCATCCTTAATATTTTGAATCTCCACTGCGCCATGATCAAACACATTAGTAATAACAAAAGGGCCAATCCACCGAGAACGAAGCTTACCTGGAAAGAGCTTAAGGCGTGAATTGAATAGGAGAACCTTCTGCCCTTTCTCAAACGTCTTCCTAAGAATTTTCTTGTCATGATATTGCTTTGTTTTCTCCTTGTAAAGCTTAGCATTCTCATACGCTTCATGTCGCAACTCCTCCAACTCATTGAGTTGAAGCCTCCTCTTCTCACCAGCAGCTTTCATATCAAAATTGAAGGCCTTGATTGCCCAATAAGCCCTGTGCTCAAGCTCCACTGGTAAGTGACAAGGTTTACCGAAAACAAGCCTATACGGAGACATACCTATAGGTGTCTTATAAGCAGTCCTATAAGCCCACAATGCATCATCCAAACGCATGGACCAATCCTTCCTTGTGGTGTTCACCGTCTTTTCAAGTATGTGCTTAATCTCCCTATTGCTTATCTCAACCTGCCCACTAGTTTGGGGATGATAGGGTGTTGCCACCTTATGCGTGATTCCATATTTCTTCAAGAGTGCTGCAAAAGCTTGGTTAACAAAGTGGGAGCCACCATCACTAATGATTGCTCTAGGTGTGCCAAACCTTGTAAAAATATTTCCTTTGAGAAAACCGATCACAACCTTAGCATCATTAGTTCTAGTGGCAATGGCTTCTACCCATTTAGAAACATAATCGACAGCAACTAATATATATTCAAATCCATAAGAGGTAGGAAAAGGGCCCATGAAATCAATTCCCCAAACATCAAATATTTCAATGATTAGGATATTGGTGAGAGGCATCTGATTTCTAGCATGTAAATTACCCATCCGTTGGCATCTATCACATGAAGCACAAAAAACATACGCATCCTTAAAAAGGGTAGGCCAAAAGAAACCTGATTGTAGCACTTTGTTGGCAGTCTTCTTTGCTCCAAAATGTCCTCCACATGCATGGGAGTGACAAAACTCCAGAATGCTCTTAAAATCACCTTCAGGCACACACCTTCGAATTACTTGGTCTGGGCAATGCTTGAATAGATATGGATCATCCCAAAAGTAGTATCTTGCTTGCTTCCTAAGCTTGTCACGTTGGAACGTAGATAACCCTGTAGGGAGTTCATTAGTGCACAAATAGTTAACAATATCAGCAAACCAAGGTAATGGATTGAGAGAATTCAAAACACAAATGGAGAAGAGTTGCTCATCAGGGAAGCTTTCACGCAATGGCAATGAATCCTCCTCTTCGTTAGACACATGCACCAATCTACTCAAATGATCAGCCACAACATTCTCACTTCCTTTCTTATCTTTTATCTCCAAGTCAAACTCTTGCAACAAGAGAATCCATCTAATGAGTCGTGGCTTGGCATCCTTCTTGGCTAACAAGTATTTTAATGCTGCATGATCAGTGTAAACAATAACCTTGTTAGTAATCAAATATGATCTGAACTTCTCTAAAGCAAATATGACAGCTAATAACTCCTTCTCTGTGGTGGAATAGTTGAGTTGGGCATCGTTGAGGGTTCTACTAGCATAGTAGATGGCATGTGGCTTCTTATCAACTCGCTGTCCCAAAACAGCTCCAACGGCATAATCAGAGGCGTCACACATCAATTCAAAAGGCAAGCTCCAATCTGGTGGTATAATGATTGGGGCAGTTGTGAGCATCTTCTTCAAAGCATTGAAAGCATTCTCACAGTTTTGATCAAAGACAAAATCCATGTCCTTGGCAAGGAGATTGCACAAAGGCCTCGCAATCTTAGAAAATTCCTTAATGAAACGCCTATAGAAACCTGCATGGCCAAGGAAAGAACGTACTTCTTTGACAGAAGTAGGTGAGGGCATGGAGGCAATCAAATCAATCTTAGCTTTATCTACCTCGATTCCTTTACTAGAGATGACATGACCAAGAACTATGCCTTGGTTAACCATAAAATGACATTTTTCCCAATTAAGCACAAGGTTAGTCTGTTCACATCTAGCCAACACCTTGGATAAGTAATGCAAGCATTGATCAAAAGAATCACCAAAGACAGAGAAGTCATCCATGAATACCTCAATGAACCTTTCTACCATGTCGGAGAAAATGCTCATCATGCACCTTTGAAAAGTGGCTGGGGCATTACAGAGACCAAAAGGCATCCTCCTATAAGCGAAAGTACCAAAGGGACACGTGAAGGTTGTCTTCTCCTGATCCTCTGGGGCTATGGCGATTTGGTTGTAGCCTGAATATCCATCAAGGAAGCAATAGTGGCTATGGCCAGCCAATCTCTCAAGCATCTGATCAATGAATGGAAGAGGGAAGTGATCCTTGCTTGTTGCTGTGTTGAGCTTCCTATAATCGATGCAAACTCTCCAGCCCGTGGTCACCCGTGTAGGTACAAGCTCATTTGCTTCATTCTTCACCACTGTGATACCTGACTTTTTGGGAACAACTTGCACTGGGCTCACCCATTTACTGTCAGAAATAGGGTAAATAATACCAACATCTAAAAGCTTCATTACCTCTTTTCTTACCACCTCCTTCATGTTCGGATTGAGACGTCTTTGGGCATCCCTCTTAGGCATTGCATTGTCTTCCAATAATATCTTGTGCATGCATAGTGTTGGACTTATGCCTTTGATATCTGCAATGCTCCACCCAATTGCAGTTTTGTGCTCTTTTAGAACTCTCAAAAGCTTCTTCTCATCATTTGGTTCGAGGTGTGAGGCAATGATAACAGGTAGAGTCTCATTTTCACCTAAATAAGCATATTTAAGGTGTTTTGGCAATTCCTTTAATTCCAACTCTGGTGCCTGCACAATAGATGGTAAAACCTTATTAGTAGGTGGGGGTAATGATTCAAATTGATTTGCATACCTCTTTCCAACTTCTATGTAGCTATCCATGCTGCAAACAAGCTCAAGAAGTAAAGGAGAGATCACAGCCTCTAAGCTGTCCACTTCTTCTTTCCTTATGCTTTGTGTGATGCATGCTTCAATGGGCTCCAAATAACTCATTGGCAGTGCTTCTTTCACCATAGTATCAATTGCATCAAGCTGGAAAACTTCATGCTCATCACTTGGAAACTTGGAGGCTTCAAACACCTTGAATGCTATTGTCTCATCAAACACGTTCATGGTCAATGTACCCTTCTTCACATCAATAATAGCACCGGCAGTTGCCATGAATGGCCGACCTAGAATGAGTGGTAACTGATTGTCATGAATTGGTGCTTCTTCCATTTCCAACACCAAGAAATCTGCTGGCAAAATTAGCTCTTCCACTTTCACCAAAACATCTTCTAGAATGCCCTTAGGGTACCTAATAGTTCTATCTGCCAATTGAATGCTCACAGATGTGGCTTGCAACTCACCAAGGTTAAGTTTCTCATAAACATGATATGGCATAAGGTTTATAGAAGCACCAAGATCAAGCAAAGCTTTTTGAAACTTAAAATCACCAACTATGCAAGGTATAGAAAACGAACCTGGATCCTTTAGCTTTGGAGGTAGCTTTCTTTGTAACACTGCACTTACCTCTTCACTCAATGCAACTTGTTCATGCTCTTTGAATCTCCTCTTGTTAGTGCATAGATCCTTCAAAAATTTTGCATACTTTGGAATCTGAGCAATGGCATTGAGCAATGGGATGTTGATTTGCACCTTCTTGAATGTTTCCATTATCTCATCCAAGCCTTGATCTTTCTTTGACTTTGATAACCTGCTGGGAAAGGGTGCAATAGGCCTAAAAGCATTAGTTGAAATTGGAACTTGATTAGCATTAGATGATACCTTAGGGCCTGTGCTCTTTCCAGGAGCATTGAGGGGCTGTTTGTTGGAAGCTGTGGGCTGCCCATGTGGTGGCTGAATGATCTCCACGTTTTCTCCATCTTCTTGCTCTTCGTTGACATCTCCAACCTTGTTATCAACTTGTTTACCACTTCTCAAGATGTGTACTGCTTTAGCATGCTCTTGATGCCTTGGATTCACCTCTGTTTGGCTTGGAAATGTTCCGGATGCCCTATTGCTCATGGAGGATGCAATCTGCCCAACTTGCACTTCTAGTTTGTTCACTGCATTTTGAAGATTCTGATTGGTTTGCATCTGTTGCCCCATGAACTTCTTGAACATGTCTTGCAATTCTCCCATTTGATCACCCCTTTGCTCTTGCACTTGTTGGGGGAGCTTGCTGGAATTGCCTTTGTTGTATTTGAAATCCTGGGGGAGGTCCTTGAGATTGTTGCACATTTGGGTTATTGCTCCACTTGAAATTAGGATGATTTCTCCACCCCGGATTGTACGTGTTTGAGTAAGGATCATTATTAGGATTCCTTGCTTGAAGGGCATTTGCTTGTTCTAGCATGTGCTCTGCAAAAGATTGATCTTGAACTTCCACTTTGCTTCCAAGAGGGCCAGTCACTGCCTGTTGAAGCAAAGAACACATAACATCAAGTTTTGCAGCAATCTCATTATTAGTACTTACCTCAGAGACCACAGCTTTCATAGAAGCTCCTCTTCCTTTATTGTGGCTCCATTGTTGAGAGTTAGCACTCAAGGATTCAAAGAGAGTAAAAGCCTCATCTGCTGTTTTGTTCATCAGTCCTTCTCCACTTGTTGCATCTACCATCATCCTTTCGGAATCAAGCAAACCTTCATAGAAAGATTGCATTTGCATCCAACTCTCTATGTTGTGGTGTGGGCAAGAACTTATCATCTCCTTGTACCTCTCCCAACATTCATGAAAAGCTTCTCCTTCCTTTTGTGTGAAACCAAGGATTTCCTTTCTAATCTTGTTAGTCTTTTGAGCCGGGAAGAATTTCTGCAAAAACTTATTAGAAAGCTCTTCCCAAGTATGAATTGAAGCATTAGGCAAAGAGTATAACCAAGACTTAGCCTTATCTTTTAAACTGAATGGGAATAGCCTCATCTTAATCTGCTCATCATCAAGGCCATGAATTTTGATCGTAGCACATATTTCAAAGAATTGCTTAATATGCATGTAAGGATCCTCAGTGGTATTACCATAATAAGTTGGAAGAAGATGAATCATACCACTTTTAAGCTCAAACCTGTCAACTGTGAGTTGAGGATAGACGATGCACGAAGGTTGATCGGTGACTTTGGGAATGGAAAACTCACGCAGGGGTTTTCGAGGTTGGACAACAAGCGCACCACCTCCTTCAACATTATTGTTGTTGTTCGGAATCTCTGCCATCGTGCTTGAACCTTCAGATTCGGAACTTTTAGAATCAGCGCTTGAAGAACTATAATTCCTTCTCAAACCAGCACGTACAGCAGCGGTTCTTGGTGAAAGTGGCTCAGGTGAACTTTGCTCCTGATCAGATTCGGACATGCACACACCAAGGAACTCAATTCAGTGCTTTCAGTGGAGATAACAACTAAACACAAAAACAGAATACTAAAAGAAAAACCAACGAAAAGAAACAAATGAAACAAACAAAAACAAAACAATCAAAGTAATCTAACTATAGCACCATCGTTACCGGTTCCCCGGCAACGGCGCCAAAAACTTGTTGAGCCTTTTCTTAACAACTAAAATGAGTTATTAAAAACAGCAACTTTAATTCTCGCAAGTGCACGAACCGTTTATAGTATAGCTTATGTAAATACGAGGTCGATCCCACGGAGAATGGTAACTTGGTTCCAAGTTAAATTACTTAGAATGCTAGAAAAAACATAAAACAAAGAAACTAACTAACTAACTAAAGGCAAGTTCGAACTCAACAATGCCTCTTGCTAATTACTCAAGGTCTAGGACAGAATCCTAGCACCACACACGCACTCGAAATGGGGGGGTTTTGTTGTTGAAATGAAAAGAAGAACGTGAAATGAAAGTGCTCGAAAATAAACACTGGCAGCAATCAACAAGTTGTGAAACAAAGATTGAGAGGTGTTAGAGCCTTGGAATCTACCACTAGTCTTCCTATCCAAGTTATGAATGCATAGAAATTGACTCAAGCTTCATCAACAATAGATTATCGCATACAAGCCTATGGTATCTAGGTGCAGGATGCATGATTCTCCTAAGGCATGTGATTGTGCATGGTATCTACACAACACTTGATCTCTAATATGCAACCTAAGCATGGTATCTACTTAGAATAAAGCATACAAGAGTCATTAAGCTCCTTGAGAATATGATAATCACACAAGTCCTAGAACATGGTATCTGTCCTAGTCAACTTATGGTTATTAACCCCTTGAATGATTCTTAGGCCATTCATGTGTTGCTTGTGAAAGGAGAGTAGAATTGGTGAATCTAAACCCCTTCCCAACCTGTGCTAGATGCATAAAATCCTAGTTAGCTACTCTAAGCAAACATACATCAAGCACATGATAAACTGGAGATTAACAACTTGATAATGAAATCAAGGAAATCAATTAACTATAAAATCATCCATAACATTGAATATTCATGACTAGGGCTTCATCCTAAGCCCTAACTAAATGGATTAGTTAGACATAACTATGAATACAGAAAATAAGAAATACATAGATAGGATAAAGAGAGGAGAAGAACTAGATGATGGCAGCAAGGAATTCCCAGGACAGCTCCAAGCTTTCTTCTCTCTTTGTGGTGAATCTGAATTTGTGTATGAGAGTAATGGGTGAAGTGAAAATGTGTATCTGACTCTCCCTCCCTTGAATGAGTGTGCAGCCCTCTATTTATAGAGTGCAATTTCGTCCTCCCCTTTGGCTGGTGAGGCACACCTCTCTTAGCTGCTCCCAACAACTCCAGCAGCCCATACTTGCCACTTGCTCCAGATGCCCATACTTGCCACCTGCTCCAGCTGTCAAATACATGCTTTGGTATGGTTTTTTAATGGAAAACTTGACTTTTGTTCATCATTCTGAGTTTCTGAACTGATTTGACTCCCATGTATGGCTGCCCATGCTTAGCACATGGCTCTAGGGATGTAGATGTGATGGCAGCCAGTCATGACATTTCTGTGAACTTGATTCAGTCTTTGACGTGCTGAGGGCTCCAGATTTATCCAATTGGGCTGAAATTTGGATATGTTATAATAGACACCAATTGGAACAACTTCTATCAAGGATGTCTCCTCATCCGACCTGTGTAAGTTGCTGAAATGAGGACTGCAAGATGACCCACGAAACTGGACTGACAAGGATTGTGGCCCAAATTGGGTTTGTCCTTAAGCTCATATTCCTCTTATCCCAATCAGCCCTTATCAAGCATGGATTGCATCAAATGTGATCTCTTGTTGTCTTAACCTACAAAACACACAAACATAGGTAAGAGACTCAAAATAAAGAGAAGGTAAACAAAATTACTAAGCAAAGAAGGCATGCAAATGTGTGAAATTATGACCTTATCAACCGACCCGATGAGCTCCAACCGATAACCGATCGAGGGTAGTCAGTATACCCAAAATTGAAACCGCTGCCGACTCCGACTCCATCGGTTTACCGAATTTCGGTTGAACCGAAACCATCGTTCGGAATGGTTCGGTGACGGTAAGAAACTTGATAGATCGATAGATAGATAAAAAGAGGTGGAGGAGAAGAGGAAGAAAGATGAGCCATGAAGATGAAGGCCAGCGGTGAAGAGGAGAGAGAGGGAGGAGGAGGAGAAGAAGAAGAAGAAGAAGAAGGGTTGTGATGGGGACAAGAAGAAAGATGGAGGAGGAGGAGGAGGAGAAGAAGAGATGGTGAGATGAACTTCGAAGAAGAAAGGTGGCAGCGAAGAAGAGAGAGAGGGGGGAGAAGAAGAGATGAGCTCGTGAGGGGGATGAAGAAGATGGCGGCTGGAGAGAAAAATAAAAAGATAAAGAATAGGATCTGGAATTGAAGAGATGCTAGGGTTAAAAACCCTAATTTTTTTATAATATTTTTTAATTCTCTTTAAAAGCTCTTAAATACTCTTGTTGTACAAAGATTTAATAAGAAAGCCAAGTAGTCCAGAAAGATGGAATAATTTGAAACCCTAGGTCAGGGGATCGAATCCCCTAGAAGGCGTATTTTTGCACAATTTCGCAAGAATCGGTTCGGTTCGGTTCACCGTCAGTTTGGGATTTCCTCAACTGTGACCAGTCCGATTTATGGCTGTTCGGTTCGGTTTGCAAACCGAAAACTGAAATTTGAGTGACAAATGCTGAACCGATCGGTTTGGTTCGGTCCGATTTGGTCCGTTTTTCGATTTTTCGGTAGAAAATGCCAGCCCTATCTGCAACTATAATGGGACTAAACCTAAATTTTCAAGTTCCAAAATACAACTATTACTGTATTCCCTGAACTCGATCGGTTTCACTTGAGCTCAAATAGTTGGTTCTCCTCCCAATAAGCAAGGAGTTTCTCCAATAAACATTCTTCGCATGGTTGAACAGACTAGGAGGTTGAACTTGTACACAATAGGACATGACACATTCTTCACAAATGAAATTCTTGATTGGATTCCTTTATCATCCTTCAATTATTTTTTGAACCCTGTTGAGGCCCAAAAACGTCACGAGAAGTCCAAAGACATTTGAAGCCCAATATAACATATAATGTTGGTCATGTGTTAATCCAAGCTGTATTTTGGGAATTAATTCATTAAATAAATATAGAAATAGAGTGCATGCCATTCCAATCCAATAATAAATTTTTCATATGTCAATCACCTATCAAGCTCACATGAACCCAAGTCATGTGGTGACTTGCACGAGGGATTGTGGTGTGGAAGGTTACGGAGGTCCACAAGACCCACGGAAACTCTTGGATAATGGAGACTTTGGGCTAACTACTTGGGAGCCCCAAAGTCCAAGCCCATTACTTGGAGTTCTCCAATGTGGGTGAGCAAATGAGATATTTTTCAAGCACTTCCTTTTACTCATTGGAAATGTTAGAATTCAATTTAAGTTTCATTACTTAGAGTTCTCCAATGTATGGATTCAATTTAAGTTTCATGCTTCGTGATGTGTAATGTTAGAATTCTTTTGTAGTTACACTTTTAGAATCCTGAAATTTAAGTTTTTGATTAAAGTTGGTTGGTTGGTTGTATTTTGAGGCTATGTAATTATGTGGTTGTTGTACTTCATTCTAATTACTGTTTATTTCTTTTTTTTTCAGTATGAATAACAGTTAGGCAGTCATCCAATTGCTTCAGGTATGACTTATGAAAATTAAGAAGTTATTCAAATCTACATGTCTTATTCAAACTTTGGAATTTTATCCTAACAGATTCAATCATCTTTCACCTCTCTGATGTATAAGCAATCACTGAAGCAAAGAAGCGAAGATAACTTTTAGGTTAATGTTTCTTCATTTTTATTTATTGACATGTTTTTTTTCCTTCTGTGTTGCCTCAAAATTCATCTTGGCTCTACTACATGTTTTCTGCTCTCTTTCCTTCTATTTTTCCCCCCCTGATTTAGTCTCTGGCTCCCATGAAATTTTGATCGTTTCAGGAGAGCTTGGGTACAAAATCCAAATACGAGAAGCAGTCGTTCGCCCAAATTGTTTAACCATTCTTCGCTTTAAAAGTATAATTCATGATTGCCTCTCTATTTCTTATACTCTTGCTATTTTTTTTGATACTGATTTCTTTATTTTTGTAATGTTTGTTTGCTCATCATTTCTTCATTTTCATGTTTATATATTTATTTTCTTTCATAACTTTATACACATTTTACGTAATTTCATAACCCGCAGCACCTCACGGGTCCTTTTGCTAGTATATACTAAAGCTCAATCCAACCTTACACTGTTCTTGAGCACAGTAATGACATAAATGCCCCCCATTTTACTGATGTTTTCAGTTTTGTTTCCTCTTCAGCACAGTAAATTGCCGAAAATGCCCTCCACTTAACCTTTTCTGCTCTTCTCTTTTTGCCCCTTCTCCTTTTACAAAAATACATAAATGCAAAAACTAATCGACACTTCACATTAATCATCCTTCAACCGGGTGGGATTTGTCTAAGCAGAAAAGAGTTTAGATTTGCCTAAGCAGCTTATGTGGGATTGCAACCACTTCATGAAAACGATGTGGGAATGCGACTACTCCCAACCACCACCTCTTTCACACTTTGCCATCAGAGTCTAGAGAGATATCTTTGGGAAGGGCGGAAAGGTGGCTGTGTATCCCATCTAGGGGTGGACTTGGAAAAGAGAGAGAGAAGAGAAGGGAAAAAAGAGACAAAGACAGAGAGAGAAAGAAGAAGGAAAAAATAAAAATAAAAAGAGATGGAGGGAGAGATGAAGAGAAGAAGAAGAAAAAGAGAGAGGAATAGATGGAGACAGACGGAAAGAGGAAGAAGGAAAGAGAGAAAAATACCCAACAAAAGGCAAAGTTTGTTTTTTTTTTTTTTTTTTTTTTTTTTTTAATTATATATATATATAATTATTATTATATATATATTATATATATTATATTAATATATATAGAGAGAGAGAGAGAGAGAGAGAGAGAGAGAGAGCTTGTCTCATGTAATTAAATGTAGAGTGCTGCTATTTCCACATTTCTGTCCTATTTTTCCACCCACCTTGTAAATTTGAAAAAACCTAATCTTATCTTTCCACCCACTATTATTCCTAAAATACCATTTAATTATTATTTTATTTTTATCAAACACAATAATTTAAAAGATAAAAAAAAAGAAGCTTAATGGAACTTAACAATTAAGGCTCCGTTTGAGATTGCTTTTTTTGGCCAAAAACTTAAAGTTAAGCAGTTTAAGGTGTTTTGTAAAAATAAAATATCCTGCTTATTTTAAAAGCAATGGTATTTTGACAGCAGCTTTTAAAAGAAACCTCGGGGTTGCTTTTTAAAGCTGCTTTTAATTGAAGCAGTGCGCTCCCTTTAATGAAATTTTCGCAATTCCACAAATACCCTTATTAGGTTAGAAATTTATCATCACGTATTTCTCTCAAATCTGCAGACATCAAGTTCATCTTCACGTAGCCTCCCAAGTTTGGATACAACCATTCGCTCAATCTCTCTCAATCTCTTTCACAAGGTAGATTATCAATCTCTTCAAAGTTATTGATTATAATTTTCTAGGATATATTTATTCTTCAATCTCTTCAATCTCTCAAACTCTTTGCAGACGTGCTGCTTCTGTGTTTTTTTCTTCTACTGGTTGTGCTTTGCTGTAAAACAGTAGGATAAGATTTTAGAAACACAGCCGTAGATTTAAAACCTCCCCTTTTTCAGTATTCAAAACTACATTTGTTTCAAATTATCCGAACCACTCGTTTTGGCACACACACTGCTACTATAATCTGTTTGAATCAGATGACAGATTGACAACGTGTTTTGAATTTTGAGAGGGTAGGAGGATTGAATTATGTACCTTAATGTTGTGATCGTTTTTATTTCAACATTCTGCGGTCAACATCATGAATGTTTGTTTGTTGGGATTAATTTCAACATCTAATTTAAATAAAACAGAAAATTATTGCAAATCGATAGCTAAATAAATATATTTTATTTTATTCCGAATCGTAGAGAGCTGATTAAAAAGCCTCTGGCAAACTCAAATGACAGACAAACAGACAGAGTGACTAATAAAACTCAGCCATGACCATGACTCTCACTCACTCTGACTCTCAGAGATTTTGTGCTGGGGTCACTAAAACACAAAACTGATATATGTAAAGTATTATTCCATTAACTTATATATGTTGTAGGTTAGCTGTGATTTGCAAAGTATTACTCCATAATTGATATATGTATTGTTCTTACTGTTTATTATTTTTATTTTCTAGAGAGCTTGATGAAATAAAAGAAATAAAAGTTACAACACTTAGGTGGAATCATTTTACTGTCCATTTTAGTCATTATAAATAGTTACAGCACTTTTACGGTAAAAATTACCAAACGTTCTGACACTGCTTTTCATACTCACAACGCTTTTAAAATTACAATTTACCAAATGTTTAACTGTTTTACTTTACAGCTGATTCTTTTTAAAGTACAGTAGAAGCAGCTTTTTTTTAAAGCGGCAGCAATCCCAAACCAGGCCTAACTCCTGCAATCGTTATTCTTCTTTTCTTTTTTCTTCTTTCTTTCTTTGCAGTTTCTCCACCCAATTGTATAGGGTTTTTTTTTTTTTTTTTTTTTTTTTTCCCTCTCTACTTCCTAAGTTCAGTTGGTTTTGGTGGTGGCTTGAGAAAATTCGGGGTTAGGACCTGAGAATTGAAGGTGGTCTCATTATTGAGTTGGAGGGTTTGTTGGGAGAGGCTGTAGGAAGCAATGATAAATGTAGATGGCATATAAGAAGACAGGGCTGATAAATAAAGGTCACCTTAAATTGAATTAAATTGAATTTGAACGATTTTGATTATTATGTAGAGATCAGTTAAGTCATTATAAAGAGTCTACCCAAAAAAAAAAATTATCTTCTGTTTTGGAGAGTTTGTTTAGGGTTTAGGAAGGAAGAAGGAAAAACCAAACCTATGCAATTGGGTGAAGAAGCTACAGATATAAGAAATAAGGAAAAAAGAAAATAGGAAGACTAAACTAATTGGGGGAGATATTGACCGGGAAAAAAAATTGATTGGGAGAATATGTTGCAAACAAAACAAATAGGAAAGGGGGAGAGGTTGAAGAGATAGGAAATAGAAAGTAAAAAAAAAAGGTAAATGACGGCAGGAGTTAAGGTTCAAATTGTTGTTTAAGTTGCATTAGTTAGAGTTTTTTTTTTTTTTTTTTTTTTTTTTTTTTTTTTTTTTTTATTATTATGAAAAAAAAATAACAATTGGATTAAATTTTAATAAGGTGGCATAAGTCCTTAAAAGTCATTTTACAAAGGGCTAAATTTGATCTTAAAATTTTGAAAATAAGGTGGGTGGAAAAATAAGACAGGAGGGTGAAAATAGTAGAACTCTTAAATGTATGTTTAATCTTGGTTTGTATAAATATAACTTGATGTTTGCTCTAGATAATTAGAATACTACAATTATTAAGCCCCATTTAATATACTTATTTTATACGTGACATTTATGTATAAAATTAATTATATAATTAAATGTTTGAATTAAGATAGTTTAAAAGTTCAAAAAATACATGCATGCATAGAATACAAAATGGAATAGTATTACACTCCCTATATTTGGATATAACAAACATATATGCATTTTTGTTATATTCAAACAAGTATATTTGTCAAAAATATATATTCTTAAAGTTGTTATATAACTAAGAAGAAATTATAGAGAGAATTGGAAAGTGGAGGAAGACAATAGAAATTGTTCAATCAACTTATATATCTCATCTTGATAAGACCTCTTATTTATAAGCTTACAATGGTAAAAAGACATTAACAACTCATAAGTTACAAGCGCATAACTATGGTATTTAATGTATAGGTTACATATAATTAGACAGGGTGAATGCTAAGAGGTATGGTGGTCATCCACCAACTTCTGCATTTACAACAAAAGTTATATGTTCTTAATTTTCATGATTTATATTTTTGTTAGGTTATAATAACCACACATATATTATATTCAAACAAGCATATGGCCAAAAATACATGGTCCTAAAGTAATATATGCTCATATACATAGGCACATATATGTATGTATAATAAACTTTTAGTAATATAGGCATGTGTCTACTTCTTATGTATACATGTATGTATGTGTGCTTTATATATAAACATACATTATAACCAAAAATAGATAGACACAAATCAAACAACATATAAAACATGTTATTAGTTTATCTTTTGTAACTAAAACTTGGAAAAGTAATTGCGATGAAACTATTTACATTTTCATGTATATATAAATAGAACGTGATCCCTACCTATTTACATCACTTTATACACATTTCACACAATTTTAAAATATGCAGCTTTTCGTGGGCACCTTTTGCTAGTACTTCATTAAAGCCCAACAAAGGGACCAAAAGGGCAGCCAACGCCCAGCCAAGAAAGAAACACTAGCCAAAAGACAACATAGTGCAAAAACTTTCTCGACAACATGAGAGCTTACAAATTTGGTGGATTGGGAAGTCCATCTGAAACCAGCACACGAACAAGGGATGGTGATGGCTGTGCAGCCCAGGTCTCCCTATGCACTGTCCCAACTCCTATCGCAGCCGCTACATGAGCTGCTTGATTCTTCTCACGAGGGATCCAACTCCACTCAACTTCATCAAAATCCAATGTGAATTAGATAAAAGGAAAATACAAAGTCTAAGAACATATGTTGGTGCTACCTCTCCAAAATATGTGCAACAAATTTGAGAAATAACATTTACAAAACAGGGCATCTTATGAAAAGGACCTAGCTACATTAAACAAAAAATAAGATCCAAGATCATGTCAGTCCACAAAAGGAAACGAAAACCCAAAAAAAATAAATAAAATAAAAAATTATTCCAAAATCATGAGCAAGGCCTCCATGTAAAGGTCAAATATTACTACCAGGAGATGTATGGATATAACCAAGAACCTTGAGATATAATAAGTACAATGAGGGTTTCTAGTCTTCCTAATGGAAAATACATCCAAATAATACACAACTATCATCTTGTTTCCCTCTTTTCGGCCAGGTAGGCCTATTGAAGGAGTTTTTGGTCCTTCTTCTTTTAGATTGCGTAGGCGTGCCACCACCAAGCCACTGACTGGCTTGAATGGAAAAGGTTGGATTGTTGTGTTCGCTCTTCTGACTTCTAACTAGCCGATTGGTCGGCCAAGCAAGGAACCTCCTCTTGGCCTAGGTTCTTTCACTTCCTCAGAGTCGAGGATGGTTAGGTTTCGTATAGATATTTTAGTATTTTTGAGATTTTTAATGATAATGATGCAAATTAAATTAAAATATGCAATTAAACTTAAAGACGAGAATTGAAGTGCGATAAAGCAAATCAAAGCAATAGATAAACTTAAATTAAACGAAGAACGAAATAAGAACAATATAAATGATAAAGGCAATAAAATAAAGCAATTTGAAATTAAATTAAGCTTAAAGAAAATTCGATAACAACTAACAATAAAGCGATAAAATTGAATCTTAAGACAACGTAATGAAAAGTATAAGAGATTAAACTTACACTAACGAAAGTGAAAACTGATCTAGTCTACTTGCTTGGAAAATAAAAACCTAGTCTAGGGATAAAAAATTGAAAGACAAAAAGTAGGTTTTTGTGTATGATCTTGGGGTCCTTTGCTTTTTGTCTGATGTAGTTTATATAAGGTCATTCTTCAGCCCATGGGCTAGCCATTAAATGGCCAAAGGTCAACTTCATTCAAAATCTTTCCTTGTGTGGCTTCCCAAATTCTTGGAGTTGATTCAAATGAGATCATCGAATTGCAAATCTGATTAATTGATTCTCTCCTCCTTAGGGACGTTCCAGATTGACATCACTCTCTTTGATTGCTTTCCTTGGATGTATCTTGTCATGTGCATGAAAATACCCAGAGGTTCTGGACCTACTTTTGCGGGTTGGGCTTGGACCTCCGAGGACTTGGCTTGACATATGGTGAGACATCATGGCTTCCGGAGTCCTAGTCTTGATTGAAAATAATACACCGATGTTAGGGAGGCATGAGACCAATGAATTGCGTAAGCTTCTTTGACATATGACCAACTCGTGATAAGCCCATAAAATCTTTGAATTAAGAAAACACTTAATATTCCAATTTTGATAAAACAACATATATAATAATTAATAATTATATATGTAAGCGACGAGACCATTACAAAGCCAAGGACCATTTTTGGCTTCCAAACTCCTACCCACTTTGGAATTATCAAAATAACCAACGTGGGTCTGACTTGACCACTCTTCCAGCCAAGTCCTTGACTTGTCCCAGCCAACTCTTCCTTCATTCTCCAAGCTAAGTCCACTATCCAACCAACTTCAAAAGGCCATTCTCTCAGCCAAGTCGAAAACATCAGTTAGCCTATCATATATATATATATATATATATATATATATATATATATATATACCAATTAACGACGGAAGCAGAGAATAGCTTACAGAAAGGCGTATATGAAAATTACTCAAAATAGAGATAACTTAAAATATCAATTTTATTCATACTTACAGAAGAAACTTCAAGATAGCAACTTCAGATACACTCAGTGTTTACAAAGATGATTTCTCCAAAGTGTTCAGAGAGAATCTTTAAAAACTGAAATGTAAATTGTAATCTGTCCTCAACTAAGGCCAGGGCCGGCTTATATAAAACAAGGAAAGCAACTATGGTTTACAAAAGCAACTGGAGTTACTTAGAAAAGTAACTAGGGTAACCGAAAGCAACTCTGAGGGTAACGAGGCAACTGTGGATGCACGGGAGCAACCTGATTCAACTTTCAATTATGTCTGGTAATAATTTGAGCAACTTTTGACTTTTTTGTAGCAGCTTTTTCCTTTTACTTTGTAACTTTCTTCTTTTACTCATGGTGAATTGTCGGAGAGCAATGATGAAAGAGGCAGGGGGCAGCTGGCTGCATAAAAAGGTGCTTCATCAAATCATTCTCCGGGGCAATTATTGTGTCGGCAACTAGGAGCAATTATTGTGCCTGCAACTGAGATGCTTAGTCAGAATTCAAATCATACCCATCATATGGGTCTTGACTGTCTTCAAACCAGGGCTTCTTTTTGGCTGGGCTGTGCATGGGCTGACAGCTGGATGAAGAAGGCGAATCATTGTCTTCATCATCATCCATCTGGGAGGCCTGGATGATCAACTGGCGTGCAATTTCTTGGAGTTCAGACTTTGATTTTCCTTCAACGGAGAGAGAAGATCGGGTCGAACCAGTAGGGGAGACTGGACGCGGAATAGGCTCTTGGGGCAGATCATTGTAGACATATTTGGCAATTCTGTCAACTTCAAATTTATCCCACCATTTAACAGAGAAGTGGCGGGCAAGAACTCGGGTAGAGTCTTTGTCAACTGTGTAGGACCATTTGAGGATCCAAGGAACTTTATATTTGGCTACAAAAAGCATCTGTTTTGGAAAAAATAAATCATTTTTGGCGAATTTGGCTTTTTTAGTGTAATGGCGAATTAGCTCATGAACTGAAATAGGTAAAATTTCATCAACTGGACCGTGCTCTTCCCACCAATGGAGGAACCAGAAGGGAAAAGGACTTTTGAACTTATTGTCAAAATTAATAAACCAGGAGTGACTAAAATCCTCGGTTTGATGGAGGAAGATAGAGTACCAGGCTTCAATATAATCAGAATAATTATACTGTAATTTTGACTGGAGGGTTTTCAACTCATATGGATGGCTACTGAAGGATTCTTGGCTTACAATCTTATGGATATAAAGAGAATGATAAAGGATGACCTCAGGATGATCTTTATCCCTTATCGGCTTAATTTCAACTGATTGGGTTTCAAGTAATATATCTCTGTAATACTTGAGAGACTTATATGAACTGGGAGGCATATAATGAAATCCAGGAGGAAAATAGTGTTTGGCTATTTTGACTGGATCAGAATGAACATCATAAATTGGCTCAAGAACAAATAAATGAGAAGTGCTTTTAGGCATATAAGGGGATGACTTTTTAAAGGCAACTGAGGGTCCAGCAGGGGAATCACCAAAGAAGGGATCACAACTGGAGATTAGGGTCGTCTGATAACTAGGGCGTATTTGGCCAACTGTAGAACCTAAAGCAGAAAATATATTGGCAACTGAGATTGGGGTGGCAACTGAGATTGGTGGGTGACCTGGGTAAGGAACCACCTGCTTGAGAATTTCTGGCTTATTTTGACTCATGGATGGAGGGAGGATTCGGAGCGACTGGGAAGGCGACTGGGAAGACTTAGATTGGCTGGCGGACTCTTTTTACTTGTCTTTTTTGGGTGCCATTGTGCATCCTGCAAGAATTCTCTAGTAAGAAAATCAGGAATTGAATTCTCACTGCCTCTCAAATATTCAATATCAAAATCAAATATACTTAAAATGCTTTGCCATCGTGCAAAAATCTGTTTAGATGCAATGTTTTGAACATCTTTTTCTAAAACATGCTTTGCAGATTTACAATCAACTCTTATTAAAAACTTTTGATTAAGTAAATCATCTTGGAATTTACTAATGCATAATACAATAGCTAATATTTCTTTTTTAATAGTACTATAATTATATTGCGACTGGGTCCAGATTCCAGAATGAAAACGAACAATTTGTTCTGGAGAATTCGGACAGGCTCTTTGTTTCAGAATGCCACCATAACCTGTGTCAGAGGCATCAGTTTCAACTATTTTGAAGGAATCAACTGAAGGAATGCCAAGGCAGGGAAGTGTCTTGACATGGGCTTTGATTTGCTTAACAATTTCAGTATGAATATTTGACCATGGAGGAGGATTACTCTGTAGCCTATCAAACAAGGGCTTACATTGTTTTCTCAGATTTTTGTAAAAGTCAAAAACATAATTTAGAGATCCTAGAAATCTCTGGAGTTGACTTTTATCAAGAATTTGATCAGGGAATTTATCAGCAAATTGGATGACTCGATCAATTGGGGAGATTTGCGACTGACAGATATTGAAACCAAGAAATCTGATATTGGTTTGGAATAACTTGATTTTCTTCGCAGAGACAACTAAACCATTTTGTTTGACAATTTGAAGAAACTTATGCAAATGTTTCCAATGCTGCTCTATAGACTCAGAGAAAATGAGAACATCATCAATATAGACAATTGAGAAATGACTATAAGGATTGAAGATTTCATTCATGATATTCTGGAATTCACTAGGAGCATTTTTCAGACCGAAAGGCATTACATTCCATTCATAATGACCAAAAGGAGTGACAAACGCAGTCTTATACCTATCTGACTCATGTATTTGGATTTGCCAGAACCCACTCTTCATATCAAATTTGGAATAAACAACTGCTTTTTCTAACCTATTAATCAGGTCTCTCTTATTAGGTATGGGGTACCTAATCCATTCTAAGACCGAATTAAGGGGCTTGTAATTGATAACTAATCTTGGGACTCCCCTTTCTAGTTCAGCATTTTTCTGGACATAAAAAGCAAGACACGACCAAGGGGACTTACTCTTGCGAATTATTTTCTTCTCAAGTAACTCATGAATTTCTTGCTTACAAAACTCCATAATTTCTTGACTCATCTGAATTGGCCTGGCTTTAGTAGGAATGTTTTTCTCACTAAAGGTTTTGATATAAGGAAGATAGACAACATGTTGTTTCCTATACCAAAAAGCATTAGGCAAATCAGCACAAATTTCATTTTTTAATTTGGTCTCAAACTGCTGGATTTGCAACTGCAGGGAAGTATCACTAAGCTGTTGTTCAACTCTTTTAAACCTAATTTCTTCTTTAAGAAAATTCAACTGATTATTTTTTCGAATAATTTGTATTGACTTAGAGACTGACTGTTTTTGCAGGGCTCTTAGGTTATGCAACTCTGGCTTAGATAAAAACTCGAATTTAACCTTTTCTCCTAAATAGGTAGAAATGACACCATCATAATCTACCTGAAAGGGATATAACAAGGCAATAAAAGGTAATCCTAATATGACTTCATCAGTAATATTTTTAACTAAGACAAATGAGGTTTTGAAACAGATCTTATTTTGGCAAACATGGGCTTTTGGTATTTCAAAGTTCAACTGGAGAGATCTTCCTGAAGCAGTACTTAAGGATTCTCTAGACTTCTGGTAAAATTTAGTAGGGATTAGACCTTCCTGGATACAGTTAAGATCGGCTCCTGAATCAAATAGGGCAACTGTGGTAAACTCAAAATTTTGGACAAATATTGTTACTTTTGAATACCATTTTCTAAAATTGACTTGTCGAATTAGGCTGACTACTTGTTGGTCTTCTGGGGGTTCATCATCAGAATTGTGTGGACTTTCAGACTGGCTTTTAGAGGACTCTTTTTCCATTATGTGAATCAGGTCTTGTTTAATTGCATAGTTCTCACTCTGTAATTTATGACTCATTTGTTTTAATTCAACTATTTCTTTTTTAACCATTTTTACTTCTAACTGTAAGTCTTGTAAGGTGACTTCTTTCTTTTTAGCAAACCTTTCTAAAGTAGTGTTTAGACTAACCGGCTGGGGGTAGACTGACTCGGACTTTCTTGACTGATGACTTTTCTTAATTTTTTTAAATATTCAGCTTTTAAATCGGGATTTTCAATTTTACTTATTAAGTCTATTAGCAATTCTTCTTGTTCTTCCTGTTTAGTAAGAACAGAGATGGATTTTAACCTATTGCAACATTTGTCTGTGCAACCAATTTGAATGTTAGGTGAACTTGACTGTGAATCTGAAGACTGGTCAGATTCAGACTCAGAACTGGCAACTAAGGTTTCAACACTGCTTGTTTCAGAGTCTCGCAACTCTAAAACTTTTATTAACTTTTCCTTATCTTCGTCTGCAATTTCAACTGTTTAATGGTATCTTTTACCTTACACTCAGAAGCATAATGACCGAACTTTTGGCATTTAAAACATTTAACTTTAGTTTTATCATTATTCTTTTTGGACCGATTCTTCTTTTGACCTTTTGGGGCTTTTGACCAATTTTTCTTAGGAGAGAATTTTCTTTTCTTGTAAAATTCACGATCATCATTATTACGTTGGGAGAATTGTTTCTTACGGGAGTAATGACGATCTTTTCGAAGATAACTAGGCTTATTTTTCCTGGATGGAGGAATGCTGGCAAGACCATACTGTTCGCAGAAATTGCCTAACTCATACTTGGCTGACTTCCTATCGGATTGTATTTGTTTACCTATTTTGAAATCAATACACATTTTCATTCCAACTTGGTTAATTGTACTTACAATATTTCCATAAGTCAAACTATCCCAATCTATATGACCTTGCTCATTACTTAAGGTTGTGCGTATCTTATGGGCAAACAGATTTGGAAGACCATTAACAAATTTTTCTTTCCAGAATGGTTGATTACTATCATCTCTAAGCATGACTCTAGAAATGAAGACATCTTTATACCATCTGAAATCAGATAACTTAGGGCATCTAAGATTGCTCAACTGATCATGTATCCTAGCGGTGGTATGACTAGGGGTTCCAATGAAATGCTCAATAATTGTGTAAAGCAAAGTGTTGACTCCGTCTTCTATACCTTGACCTATTTGCTCATCAAATATAGGGAGGCCGTCTTCATTAAGTTTTACAGCATGAATGATCAAACTTTTTGACTCAGGGGTTAAGTGCTTATCCCACCAATACCTGAGAGTACCAGTAAATCCAGTGACTAACAGGGGTACAATTTCAGACTGTCTGAAACTGTGATTGGTGATATAACTATTAGCAACCATGGACATGTGTTGTAGCTTATTAAAGATTTCTTGCTCAGAAAGACCATCAATGTTCCATTCATACATTTTATCAGAGGAAACCGAGAACTGGGTTTGGAGGTTTCTTTCTTCAAATTGAATGTCTGGGGGTGTTGGCCTTGGGTACCAATTTCTAGTTAAACTGGTAGGGCTTATATGTTTTTCTAATTTTTTGACTCTGGGTTCAACTTGGACTTCTAAGTTTTTGAAAGCATTTTCAATTTTCGAAATGTTACTAATTTCGGAATCTATTGACTCAGGGTCAGACTCAGAGGGGTTTGCAAAGGAATCTAGTGTTTTAAGACCAGATTTTTCGGCTTTACTTGGGGTCAACTGTTCTAGCATTTCTTCAATTTTCTTCATTGTTGGTTTGATCTTAAGCGTAGGGCTTGACTGAAGATCCTGGAACTGGACTATTGGTTTTTCAACTTTGTTTTAGACTTAATTTCTGGGGAATTTATCTTGTCGATTTTTGTCTCAATTGTATCTAACTGTTTTCCTATGACAATTAGACTTTGGTTGGTATAATTGTTTTGCTCAATTATCCTTTTACTCTCATCATCATTTTCACAAGTTTTGAAGGGACTGGCAGGTATGAGAGTATTCCTATGGCTGATAACAATGGTTTCAACTGGGGGATGACTAGCTTCGACTTCTGATCGGTCTATTAATTTCCATTTTTCTTTGGTTAGGGTTTTTAATTCACTAGTCAAGTAACGGCTTTCAATAAAATCAAGGTAGAAAATTTCAACTTTGGCTGACCGCATATAATCTTTCCATTCAGTAAAGATTTTTGTCGGCTTTCACTATCAGGATAGGCTTGGTGATAACTATCTCGTCTGTTCTGGTTTTCTGGAGACTTAAGATGGGAATTTAAACGTTTCCAATTAATTTCAAATTTCTTATTAAGGGTTCTAAGTTGGTTATCAACTGCTGCAAAATTATCAACTAAGAAATCAGACTGTGTGGGAGACTCAGGCGAATCAGACTTATCTTCTTGGACTGGTGCCTTGCCATAACAAGGTTGGTTTACCTGAGAGGATTTTCTCAGGGACTCAAGCTTAAAGTCAATCATGGCTTTTTCTAACTCTAGGTCTCGTTCTAGAGTGGAAGATGAGGCTGCAAAAGAGCGCCTAGCAGGGGCATGCCTCTGGGATTGACCAGGGGTCGGTAATTGTTGCAACTGGACATTAGACTTCTTTAGTGGCTGATTGTCAAATCTAATTTTTACTGTGCCGTCTAAATATTGTTGAATGTAGTCTAGATTGTTTAGACTACGCTGTATGGGAGCTGGTTGGCTTTCAGTGACTAAGGTCCATTCTTTTGGCAGGGCAACTTCTGACCACTTAATGGTTTGCGGAACTTGGACTCGGGCATCTGGCGTGTGACTCTGTATTAGAACAATTTGGTCTTTTGGGCTTTTATTAAGGGCTTGGAAGTTCATATTGGTGCCTGTAACCTTATAGTAAATTCTATAGACTAAGGCCAAAGGTTGGGTTCCTGGGAGGACATTGTAACCTTCAGTCTTAATATTCAAAGTTAAAGTCTTTAGTATGTGAGGATCACTAAGGCTTACAGTAAAATCTGGATAGCAATCAAAATGAACTGGGCCATTACACAAACTGGACTCAATGACTCCTAAGCAACTGTCGCTAAACTCAGTGAATCTAGCATCTCGTAAACCAAGGAAAATAGAGGCTTTTAACCCTAATCTGGTTAGGGGTTTAACAGCAACTTGAACTAGGCCAATATGCAGGAAGTTGTTTCCATCAGTTTTATGTTTCTTAATAGACTCAAGATTAAGCAACTAACAGGTTTCATGTTCTTTACTCAAGGCATACACTTGTTCAACTGTTTTAACATGGGTTGTGCTATTAAAACTAGAAGGCAACCAATGTTTCTTATAGATTTTTTGACTTGGGACTTTAGGTATATTCCAATCTCTAAAGTCTAATTGTTCTTTGCTACTGGAATCATATTCAAAATGTTCTTCATTAACTATTTCTGGGAGTTGGCTTATACTGGTTTGGGAGCTGCTTGAATTACAGGATTTTGTTCTAAATAAACGACTCATGGCTACTCAAGTGTTTGGGGTTGGCCTTTAAAGAAGAAGATAAACAGGGGCTTCCTAAACTGACCGTTTACTCAACAAGAAACTTATTAACCTCACTCAATTTTCTATCTCCTGCCCACCTAACAAACCCTACCCTTGGGAATTACTGTTTTCGGAAAAAGGACTCACGGGTCAGACCTTAGAATGAGATCAACAAATAACTCGAAGAAGAAAAAGGAAGAAGAAGAAGAAACTGTAGAACTTCTACTCAGAGGCTTAAACCAGCCACTTGGGCGGGAATGAGTAGCAGACTTAGACAAAGACCGTAACTCTGACGGCTCTGATACCAATTAACGACGGAAGCAGAGAATAGCTTACAGAAAGGCGTATATGAAATTGCCTAACTCATACTTGGCTGACTTCCTATCGGATTGTATTTGTTTACCTATTTTGAAATCAATACACATTTTCATTCCAACTTGGTTAATTGTACTTACAATATTTCCAACTTGGTTAATTTAAAATAATGCATATATGAAAAATTACTCAAAATAGGGATAACTGAAAGTAGCAATTTTATTTATACTCACAGAAGCAACTTCAAGATAGCAACTTCAAACTTCAGATACAAAACACTCAGTGTTTACAAAGATGATTTCTCCAAAGTGTTTAGAGAGAATCTTTAAAAACTGAAATGTAAATTGTAATCTGTCCTCAACTAAGGCCAGGGCCGGCTTATATAAAACAAGGAAAGCAACTATGGTTTACAAAAGCAACTGGAGTTACTTAGAAAAGTAACTAGAGTAACCGAAAGCAATTCTGATAATGGAGAGGCCACTGTGGAGGCACGGGAGCAACCAGAATCAACTTTCAATTGTGTCTGGTAATAATTTGTGGCTGTATATATATATATATATATATATATATATATATATACAGCCAACTTTTTAACCAATTGTTTCAATGTCATTGAAACTTGCGACCTAATCAGCAACAGGTTGGCTAGTTCAATTCACAAAAGAAATATTAACGTGGGGCCAACTTTTTAACCAATTGTTTCAATGTCATTGAAACTTGCGAAATGTCATTGAAACTTGCGACCTAATCAGCAACAGGTTGGCTAGTTCAATTCACAAAAGAAATATTAACGTGGGGCCAACTTTTTAACCAATTGTTTCAATGTCATTGAAACTTGCGACCTAATCAGCAACAGGTTGGCTAGTTCAATTCACAAAAGAAATATTAACGTGGGGCCAACTTTTCAATTCAAAAACAAATATCAACATGGAGATTGGCTTTGGCCTTCTTGATATCACCCAAGGGTCTAAAATCCAGCTGCATTAGCAATGAGGGAGTTAACCAAATATCAGACTCAACAAACCCAGTAAACAGGTAATCTCGTATTTCATTAAGAACATAAACGATTTTGATAAAAAATCCCAGCTCAATAACTCACTTTCCTTTTACTATTCCAGCTGCCATTGTTATCGAAGGAAACCCAAACTCCAGCTGATTTTTGGTGGTGAGAATTCTTCACTCTCTTAAACCCCTTGGCTGGACCCAAGCCAAGCTTGTGGGTCTTGCCATTCTATTTATTTATCATTTGATTATTGCTATTATAAATAACAATATCTTTGTTTTGGCTATGCCTTTGGGTTTCCACTTGACTTGGTTTGGAATTGAAACCACTTGGCTTGGCTTGAATTTGGTGACCACATCAAAACACATCTACACCAGTAATAGAAGCTAGACCTTGCCTCATGCTTATGTGCAAAAATGAGGTGCTTTAAGAACTGCCGTTGCAAAGTTGCAAATTTGTAGCGTTGAGTTTGCAAGGGTATGCTTTTCTTTGTTATTATGTTTTTATGATCGTCCGGTTTCTTTCTTTTTAACGAATGAAGCTTCCTTCTGACTCCTAAAAATAAAGGACCTCCATACAAGTAGAAAATCAATTCTCAAACCACAACTGGCCATTTTGGTCCTGCCGACTGCCTCTATTTTAATCGGCAGCACACTGGTCCATACATCCTGTTGTTTTACAGCCTTGCACATGCAAAATACTGGTCCATACATCCTGCCGACTGCCTCAGATTCCTGCTTCGTCTTTGAATCTGGGATTAAGAACCCCTTCTCTACCAAACCCCATAAACCATATGATCTGAAAATGGTTACCATTTTAATCCTCCAAAATTCATAGTTCTCACCTGAGAAAATGGGGATTCTAGCCTCTGAACTTCCAGATCCAGCCATTACGTATTTCAGAATCACCTGAAAACAAGATGTTTTCAGATTCGACCCTTGATCAAACTCAGTCAGCTTCGTGAGCTTAGAATGAGCACACCTTGATCGATTTTCTTCACAGAACAACGCCCAGCTTTTGGATGATGCAACCTGGCTCTGAGGCCATGTTAGAGTTTTAGGATCTTAGAATATGATTTGGAGAGAAGAGAGAAGAGAGAGAGAGTCTGATGAAATCCAAAACTGCTCTGCTATACGTGTAGCAGAGAGAACATTCTCATTACTCAGTGTTCAGTACAATATATCACACTCTTGGTGTGAGAAGAATATAATGTTAGCACAGTACCAGCTGGATGCAATTCATCTAAGCAATCTCAGCCATTCACTATCTAACCAATCAAGCTATGACACCTGGACTAAGTATAAAGAAATACAACTAAGCTGAAAACAAAAACTCCTAATCCTGAAATCAACTTAAGCACTTATAATTCAACAAAAATACTGGTCCATACATCCTGCGGGCTAATCAAGGCTTACTGACCACGTAATTGGCATCTCAGCAGTTGGATTGAGATGAGTGATACGTGGAGATGTGGGTTTGAACGTCGTCTTTTTCGACGACGCGTTACTAGTTGTTCCTACTCAAAATGGTCGGTGGTGGCCTACTCAAAATGGTCGGTGGTGGCAAAACACTGGTTCACAATTCACATTTAAGCATTGAGATTCTTGTAATATTTTCCCTTGTAATTAGCACGTTGGCAAAACCCTTGGTTTTTCTTTCGACAGACCCGATTGTGAACAGAACTTGTCCGACATGAAACCGTGTGCTCGCCTCGCCACTACACGGTTTGCTGAGGCGGTTAGCTTTGCTTCTTATTGTTGGTTTCTTGGCTGTCTCTTCTCTGGTTGTCTTACCAATTCTTTCTGGATTTGTAACATTAAGCTAAAGCTTCTGCCTTGCTTCGTCTCCATTTCACAATTACTTTGTTCAGGTAACATTAATATAAAACATTTGCAGTTTTGTTTCTTTAGAGTTGTGCTCATATCGTACGTGCAGTTTTTTTCCTTTAGAGTTGAATTTCTCTGTTTCTCTCTGCTGAATTGGAAGTACAAAGTAACACGTTCTCTTGTTAGATATTTGTTATCTTTTGTTACATATGGACCATACATTGAAAGTATGATGACATAGCATATAAGATGATCCAAATTAACATGTTTGCTAAGATGATCCAAATTAACGCCATGACAAAATACATGTTCGAGACTATCTCAATTTCCCCAAAACTTGTTTTGTTGCTTATATCCCTTCAACGCCGTATTTTTCCTCAGGTTTATTAAATCTTCAATTACCCCCTAAAAAAGAAAATCTCTTCAAATTTCAATCCTTTTCAGTTTTCAAGCCATTTATGATCGTCTTTGTATTTATTCAGTTGAGTGTTTGAATTAGTGAAGTTCTTTTTTCATTGAGTAGTGTTTGCGGCAGCAGCAGAAGATTACCAATGGCGTTGAGCACCCAAAGAGCATCTGCTTTTCTTCCTGCAGCTGATCAATCGGCTCGTCAATGGAACTACGATGTGTTTTTGAGTTTCAGGGGTGTAGACACTCGAAATAGCTTTGTGTCCCATTTATACCACGAATTGCAGCACAGGGTCATTAAAACATTCAAGGATGATCCAAAGCTTGAAAGAGGGACAACCATTTCTTCAGAGCTCCTTAATGCAATCCAAGAATCAAGGCTTGCTATCGTTGTTCTCTCGCCAAACTATGCTTCTTCTTCCTGGTGCTTGGATGAACTTACAAATATTCTCCAATGCATGAAATCCAAGGGCACAGTTCTGCCCGTGTTTTATAATGTGGATCCCTCGGATGTACGAAAACAAAGCGGCAGTTTTGCAGGCGCCTTCACTGAGCATGAGAAAAGGTTTAGGGAAGACAAAGAAAAGGTGAAGTGCTGGAGAGCTGCTTTAACAGAAGTTGCCAATTTATCTGGGTTGGATTCAAAGAATGAGTAAGCAACTTCTCCATATATACTTGGGTTTTTTGTAAGCCAATTTTCACTTTGATGTACCTTTAGACCTTGTTATATCTATGGCTTATACTTTTGACTTAATCATTGTTCTTCCTTGTAGGTGTGAAAGAAAGCTCATTGAAAAGATTGTTGAATGGGTGTGGGGGAAAGTGCATCGCACATTCAAATTGTTAGATTCCGCAAAGTTAGTGGGAATTAAGTTTACACGTGAGCAGATGGATTTGCTTTTAGATCCTACAGATGATGTTCGCTTTGTCGGGATATGGGGGATGGGAGGCATTGGCAAGACAACTATTGCTAGGCTTGTTCATGAAAGCATTTCTTTTCATTTTGAAGTTAGCTGCTTTCTTGCTAATGTTAGAGAGGCTTCTGAAGGTAATCGTCTTGTTGATCTACAAAAACAGCTTCTTTTCCCTATCTTGAAGGAACAAATTACTCAAGTATGGGATGAAGAGTGGGGGACCTATTTCATTAAGAATTGCTTATGTAATAAAAAGGTTCTTCTCATTCTTGATGATGTGAATGCATCAAGCCAACTAGAGAAATTTGCTAAGGAAAAGGATTGGTTTGGTAAGGGGAGTATCATCATCATTACAACTAGAGATGAACGGTTGGTTAAAAAGCATGATATGGAGATATCATATAAGGTAGAGGGATTAGGTGATGATGAGGCTCTTGAGCTCTTTAGTCTAAACGCCTTTAAAAAATTTGAGCCTGAGGAAGGTTTTTGGGAATTGTCTCAATGCTTTGTAAATTATGCTGGAGGTGTTCCATTAGCTCTTAAAATTTTGGGATGCTTTGTGTATAAGAGAGATCGAGATGAATGGAAAAGTGAATTGGATAAGCTACGGAAAATTCCTCCGTCAACAATTTTCGATTTGCTCAAAATAAGTTATGATAGACTAGATGAGATGAACCAGAATATATTTCTCGATGTTGCATTTTTTCATAAGGGGAAGAGCAAGGAGGAAGTAATTGAAATACTAGACAGTTGTGACCGTTGTGGTGGGATAAATGCTCTCATTGAGAAGTCGCTCTTAACTGTTGAGATTTCAAACAACATTGTTGGGATGCATGATTTGATACAAGAAATGGCATTTCAAATTGTCCGTCAAGAGTCTATTGAAGAGCCCGGTGGACGCAGTCGATTGTGTCATCGTAATGACATCATTCATGTATTGATAAACAATACGGTAAGAAATGTAGAAATTACCTTTTTTTTCGTTTTTTGTTTTTTGTTTTTTTTAAGAAATGTGATTTCTTTTTTACTCAATATTGGACTTAAATGTGGAATTAACTTTTCCTTTACTATTCTTTATTGCAGGGAACTAACAAAATTCAAGGCATCGCCTTAACATTGGCAGAACTTGAAAAGGTAGATTGGAATTGTGAAGCATTCTCTAAGATGATTAACCTGAAATTTCTTGAAGTTGATAATGTGATCATTTCCTCAATCCCTAGAATTCTTCCTAATTCCTTAAGAATTATTAAATGGAATTGGTATTCTTCCAAATATCTCCCATCAAATTTTCAACCGAATAAACTTGTTTCACTTGAGATGCGGGGCAGCGAACTAGTTAGGCTCTGGGATGGAAGAATTGTAAGATTACTTACCATATGCCATCTTACGAATTTTTTGAAAAAAAAAGGTAAAAGTTTAAGTTTTTCTGTTGCTAATTCTACTATTTTGAAATATTGTACAGGACTTGCCCAATTTGAAATACATGGACCTTAGTTGCTCTCGAAACTTGGCAACAATCCCAAATTTCACTGGCATTCCAAAACTCCAGGTGTTGGATCTATATGGGTGTGAGAATTTAGTTGAGATTCACCCATCCGTTGCATATCTAAAATGGCTTTCAAGATTAATACTAGATGAATGCTCTAGTATTAAGAGTCTTCCAAGTGAGATAGAAATGGATTCTCTTATGTATTTCAGTCTTGACGGTTGCTCAAAACTGAAAAAGATTCCAGAATTTTCAGGACGAATGGAGAATTTGTCAACGTTTAGTCTGATTGGGACGCCCATTGAGAAATTACCTTCATCAATTGAACGTCTTGTTGGCCTTACTTGTCTAGATGTAAGAAATTGTAAAAATCTCTTGGGTCTTCCAAGCGCAATTTGTAATTTGAAGTCTCTTAAAATGCTATATGCTTATGGATACAATTGCCCAGAAAACTCATGGGAGATTGACCCACCCTCCGTTGGAATTATTAAAGTATTTGGATCAGAGCGTAATAAATCAAGGTTTTGGTGGAGCCTCCAAAGAAAGGCTTTTGTGTTGGGTTCGCTACATGGTTTATGGTCTTTGGAGTATTTGGATCTTCCGGGTGATTCTGGTCTTTGTGATCTTCCGGGTGATATTGGTTTCTTGTCCTCTGTACAAAGATTAGACCTCAGTCGAAACAATTTTGTTAGCCTTCCTGCAAGCATTGGATGTCTTCCTAAGCATCTGTTACTTAAGTTGAATGGGTGCCAAAGGCTTCAACAATTGCCCCATCTCCGCTTTGAAGACTTCGACAGATTTGAAGTATACACAGACGGTTGCACTTCCTTAAAAGTGTCGCCAAAGTTGAGCAGAACAAATGGAAGTTATCTTAAGTTGAGGTGTGTGAGTTGCTTTGGATGCGTTGAGAATGAAAGCTGCGATGATAATGTAATACTTGGAATGCTCTGGATTGCTCTTGATTGGAGATTCCTTCAGGTTCTCTCTCTGTCTCTCTGTCTCTCTTTGTTTGCTATAATAATAATAAATAATCAAGTTACTAACCTACACATGGTACAGGTACCTGCACTCACTGGGCCTCTTCCCCGTGTCAACATTGTTACTCCTGGAAGGAGAATTCCAGAGTGGTTCAATAATCAAAGTGTGGGAGATTCCTTAATTGTGGAGCTACCTTCATGTACCACTTGTTCTTGGATTGCTTTATGTGCTGTCTTTGAAGACGATCACCCAAATCCACCTCATGAACTTTCTGCTTATTTTCACATTGCATGTCACTCAGGAAAAGATATCCTTGTGCGTAGTAGTTTGATGGAAGGAGGCCATCTTGTATCACCTCACCTTTGGGTAGCCTGTGTATCTCCTTATGTATTCAACAAAGAATGCAATCAGATGAAGATTTCATTCCGAACTTTTTATGACAATTCTTCTCGAGCCTCAGGCAAAACATATTGCTCGGGTATAAAGAAGTGCGGATTCCGTTTGGTACATGAGCAAGACTTGGAAGAACTTAAGCAAATCATGATGATGAACCACTCCATCAACATCAGCACAAAAGCTATTTCTTCTCACAATTCAGCTGATGCAAGTGCAAGCTCTCACCAAAAATCTCTCTGCCGCAAAAGCTATGCTCTTTCCAAAGGGTTTTTAACAAAACTTGTTAAGATTTTCTCCCTCTTTTTAACAACTGCAGTTTTTATCAAATCTTTCAACAATAGCGAACCATGGGGGTGCGTAGGACTTTTGATTTGGAGGGTAACCACTTTGATTTCCTACTTAGGCCTTGCACCCTCTTATTTTTCGCTATTGTTGAAAAGTTTAATAAAAATTGTGATTCTTAAAAGAGCAGCTAAATTTTTTCCAACTTTGTTAAAAACTCCTCCTCGTCAAATGTCTACACATAAATACTTGAAAGGCTAATGACGGCCTTCAATTGATATTAGTAAGTTCCCATCACCAGCTTTTCTAGCCAGACATTTACCATTAGATTCATCACTTATTGTTTCGTGGATGACAATTTCTCTCTCTCTCTCTCTCTCTCTCTCTCTCTCTCTCTCTCTCTCTCTCTCTCATGTGCTTTTATCATGAATACATTTCTGTTTAAACTACTGCACAGCATTAATCAACTCATGTAGTATATTATACATGAATACATGTATGCAAGAGCTGCATATTTTATGCATTTGAACAAAGTATCTGTTAACATACTACAAATCAATAAGTAATTACATTAGCAATCAATAAGTATGTTCAGATAGACTGAATTGTTTTTTATCAGACCTAGAAGATCAAAAGTAGTCAAAAATTTGGGGTCTTGATACAGGATTTGGAGCTGATCAAAAGTAGTTGCGTGCTTATTGGCCAGGTTCGCATGAAATTTGCACCTCAAGAACTACAAGCTCAATAGACCTAGCTTTGTTATAATGGTTTGATTCTCACTGACACAACTTACATGACTATTTCAACTGCTCTCTTATTCTGTGTGCAGGATGGAATAAGCCAACAAGAATTTTCAATCAGAAGCTTAGCATAGAGAATTGATCATATCTGAAACCGATCAATTGCTTTGTCGGGATTCCTACATTGTCTACTTCACTTCATCTCCTTGATAGTTTGTGCAATCTCCTTCAATTATGCAGTCTTCTCTTATTTAGAATATCTGAGTTTTAAATTACCTCATGTAACAGACTGAATTTCTGAGAGGTTCATTAAACTGTCACATAGGTGAGTGTCGTTTGAGACGACAATTGTTTACCGTGGTCAATATGTTGAGTAGAATTCGGCAATGCTAGTTGTATCTTGAAATAAACAAACTTTAATAACTTTTTTTATTAAAATATTTGGAGACCTAGATTTATGAGGTACCACATGATTTATGAATGAGTATAGTAGGTGTCAATCTAGTCAGAATGTATGTACTCACATTTCCACGAAAGCAGAGGATGACATTTTCACGCTAGGGAAATCATTCTAGAGCTATAAGAAGACTAACATTACTACATATGCTATAGTGTATATTAAAGTCACAAAAAATTAAGATGTATTGTGAGCCATAGATATGTTCTTAAAAGGAACAACCAGGCTAAAAGGCAGTATGCAACAAAATCACTGTCAACTTTTGGATTAAAAGCAAGTGACGCTCATCCGAACAAACAGCCAATGTAATTCAAACCAGCAGTTATGATTTTCCATCCAATGAAAAAATGTTATTTTTCATGGATCCAAAAGTTGACAGTGATTTTAATGCCATTGTCTTATTGATGCAGGATGCATAGGACCTAAATTGTTTAGTTTCCTAATTTATTTGTTAGTTTCCTATATTCTTTAGTTTTCCAAATCCTAGTAGGATTTCTAAGTTTCCTCTTTTATTAGGAATAGGATTTCTGTTTTAGCTGGGGATTTTAATCCTATTGTCTCTAGGTTTTAGTTTGCTATAAATACCCCTATGTAGTTCTTTAAAATTTAGTTTTGAATATTGATTAAACCTTCTCTTAAACTCTATGATTTCTGCCTGCCTTCTATCTTTTCTTCCCTTCAGCTTCTCTTATTCGTTTCTGTCCTATTGCTCTGAGTGTTTAAACTAGCACACCCAGGGTTGTGCTACATCAATTGGTATTCAGAGCCTCTTGCTCTGCCGCTGTTGCTCTGTTTCGTTGCTGCTACTGGTCTTCATGGCTCCCAACATCACCGTTGCCAATTTGGCTGACCAATTTCAGGAATTCAAGGTGTAAATTTCTACAGATGTCACCAATTTGGAAACTCAGTTCACCAAATTGATGGTTGATCAAAAGACTGAATTTTCGTCAATGTCCACAGATATTGCCAAATTACAAGCTTCCGTGACGCTGCTCGTCAACCAGCTCTCAATCGCGACTCCTGAACCATCCTCCACATCTGCTGTTCTCTCTCGTTCGTGCACACGTTCTCTCCAGGCTAGTCTCCTTCCCAATCCGTCTAAGGATTCCAAGTTCCAAGGCCACTTGGGCCTTCCATCATCTTCTACGGGGACATCTATGGTTCAATCCGAACCAACTTTTTCTGTCGAATTTGCACCTAAACCCCATTATACCCAACACACAGTGGCTTCTCCTCTAGTGGACGCCACTATCCCGCCCCGACCACACGAACATCACGTCATCCACCGAAACTTGGATTTTGAGATCGCCCGTCATGCCAAGCCTACTGCCCCTGACTTCGATGGTCGCAAGGATCCTACTCTTTTTGTTGATTGGATATTGGCTATGGAAGATTATTTTAAATGGTACGACATGTCCGATGCACAATGGATCCGATTTGCCAAACTCAAACTCGTAGGAGCCGCAAAACAATACTGGAAGGCTACTGAGCATCATCTCCAACAACTGGGCCCTTGTGATTTTATGGGATGAGATGAAACTGAAACTCCGGGAACAATACCTTCCATCTATTTATCGTCACCAATTATTAGATCAATTATGGACTCTTTCCCAGGGTACTTCAACAGTCCAAGACTATTATTCTCGTTTTGTGGAGCACAAATTGTGTTCTGTTGTCCAGGAAGGGTTGGCTGTCACAGTTTCTCGTTTTATTCATGGCCTTCAGATTGATATCAAACGCGAGGTGAGTAGGTCATGTCCGGATGTGTTAGAAGATGCCTATTGCCAAGCCTTGGAAGCTGAGACCTATCTGCAACCCAGGATATCCTAGTCAGCCTGCGACCACCAACCAAGCCCGCACTACCACTCTGAGTCTGAAGTCCAAATTTTCCGGACCATCTAATCCTACTGCACCACCTACCAAAGGACCGACCATCTCTAATAATGACAAGACCCATCCCGAATTCCTCGAAACCGGAGACAAATCCTGTGAAAATTCCGACATCACACCGATGCCGGGCCCACTTACTAAAGACCAAGACTCTCTACCAAAATTTTGGCAGAATCTCCCCTGTAAATTGAACAATCCCAAAAATTTCAACCTGCATAAAACACATTTAATATCCCCAACAGGCAGCACTCACAATATAACAACATGCAATTCACATAGACAGCCTCCGGCCATCAAAGGATCCGAAGCAAAACCATCAACAATGCTCTTAAGTCAAATAATACTCTAAACAATGTAGGTAATGAATTCAACAATTTTATGAATGCCCACTGCAACCAACATAACATAACCTCCCAAATTTCATCTTTTGATGTTTAACATCCTAACACAAACGCAAGTAGTTTAAGGCCTCAGCCCAATTCGTACAACAATCCAAAACAAGTTTTATACCTGTTTGACGCGTACACATTTGCACAACCCTCCCTTAGCCAAACGGGAGTAGAAGCAACAATTCAATCGCACCTCGGTTTCAACCGAGTTTCAGGACCAACAACAAGGTCAGAACCAATCTCAATAAGTCCACCCAAGTAAAAAATTTAGCCCGCAGCTGCACCTAGGCACTACCCTAGGCTGCCTACATACCCTTACTAAGGGATCAAGCCACACGTAGTTCTTTCAACAAAATCCCGGTTCCATCCACATACAATCCATTACAGCAATACGCAATAATAGACGCTAGAATTTATCCCTTTCCCTTTTCCTTTAAATCACCACCTACCAAACATAATCTTTTTCAAACATCTTTCTTTCCAAATATAGTATAACAATCCTTTGTTCATCTCCCTGTTATTTTATAATCTTCCCATACGCCGGAAAATCCAACGCCACGTATGGGAAGCGTCTCACACGCCGGAAATTCCAATGCCACGTGTGAGACCTCATAATCACATATTCTTCTCATACGTTGGAAAATCCAATGCCACGTATGGGGTGTGTCATACGCCGGAAAATCCAACGCCACGTGTGACATAATAATCACATATTCCTCCCATACGCCGGAAAATCCAACGCCACGTATGGGGTGTGTCACAAGCTGGAAAATTCAATGCCACGTGTGACATAATAATCACATAATCTCCCCATACGCCGAAAAATCCAACACCACGTATGGGGTCTGTCTCATGTCGAAAAATCCAATGCCACGTGAGACCTAATCATCACATAATCTCCCCATATGCCGGAAAATTCAACGCCGCGTATGGGGTCTGTTTCACGCCGTAAAATCCAACACCATGTGAGACCTAATCATCACATAATCTCCCCATACGCCGGAAAATCCAACGCCGCGTATGGGGTCTGTCTCACGCTGGAAAATCCAACGCCACGTGAGACCTAATCATCACATAATCTCCCCATATGCCGGAAAATTCAACGTCGTGTATGCTGTCTCACGCCAGAAAATCCAACACCACGTGAGACCTAATCATCACATAATCTCCCCATATGCCGGAAAATCCAACGATGCGTATGGGGTCTGTCTCACGCCGGAAAATCCAACGCCACGTGAGACCTAATCATCACATTCTTCCCATACAACCCATAATACTCAACTCCCCTTTTTCCCCCAAATTCAACCTTCAAATTTCTAATCAAAATCCAATTCCCCATTTACTAATAATAATTTCTCAACTTATAAATTTCCTCGAACTTTAATCCAAAATATCAATATATATATTTAAACCTAATCCATGCATATCCTTTCAATCATAGAAAATAATGCATATTTAAAATAAATGTCCACTCCCTTCCTAATAATCCTATATTCCAATATTGCATAAACCTCAACCACAATATAGTATCCGATAATCTCCCCCCCACCCCAAAGTTTAAAACAATAAAATTAATATCCTAATCCCACATACTCAACACAACTCAAGTAACGATAAAGACATGTCACTTCGGTCATTTTAATCCTCCTGGGAAGGTAAAACTACCTCGGAAGTCTCACGATCAACCCAAGGTCAAACTACCCAACCTTGGTCAAATGGGCCCACGAGGCCCACCACCTCCAAATTCCGATCCGAAAGTTCCTATAGGCTGTACAAGGTTTAGGATACACGTCCTGCAAGTTTGGTCTGGCTTGGAAGGTCGGATCACTCATGATCACACAATCAACCGGTTACGATAAATATAGCCCTAGGGTTGGCATTTCTGGAGTATCCGGGACCCCGTTTTACAATCCGTCAAATCCTACACGATCCTAAGGATGTCTAGATTATCATATATTAAATTCAAGACGATCCAACGGTTCAAATCTATTGAACCCGGGCAACACACAATAGGAAAAATCCGTTCGGGGTTCGAACGGTATCTGAATTGAAATCCGAGCACCCCTACACGCTCGTGAGAACCTAGGGATCACATTGGGGCACAATGCCCCTTTTCTACAGTGCCCACGCACCAGCAAAGCATGGGTAAATCTCCAAATCACGGGTCAAGACTCCTACCCTACGTATAACACCCTATTTGGAACCACTTTTGTTCTTGGACCTACCCCAAAAAGTGACTGGAAGTGGGCGGAATCGTGATTCCAAAATCGGCCGAAATCCAATTCGAAAATCAAGCTACCTACGCTCAAAATTGATGAAATCCTACCCAACCATCAGCTAGATCATGAAAAATAGGTGAGAAAGCATACCTCACTTACCGGAATTGGTGGCCGGACAACGGAGAACGAAGTCGGAGAAATTCAAGCGAAAACCGGCCGTTTCTCTTCGATTTTTCGGCGAAATCACAGCGGCTGGAGGTGAGGCCTGGCTGGGGTTGGAAGAGGACGGTGGCCCGGTCATTTTGGTACCGGCCCCGTCAGCTTTGGTGGCAGATAAGAGAACTGCCGGCCAAAACATGGCCGGCTGTGGTTGTCTTCGCGAGGAGAGGAGAGAGAGAGAGAGAGAGAGAGAGGAGAGAGAGAGAGAGAGAGAGAGAGAGAGAGAGAGGGAGGGAGACTGCATGGGTAGAGAGAGAGAAAGAGAAGGAAAATCAGATTTTTATCAAACCCTTTTCGCCAAAATTACAGTTATGCCACTAAGGGTATTTTGATCATATCTTTTTCGTTACAACTCCGATTCGAGCCCACTACGTGTCTATGGACTCATCTCGCTGTGCTCTACGCAACGGTAGAGTCAAAATCCCAAAATTCCTTCCTGGTCAAAAAGTCAATTTTAAACCTAATAAAATATTCTAGGGGCAAAATGGTCTTTTATCTGAATAAATTAATAATTACCAATTTATTTAGGACCAGGTCGTTACAAATAATTCCCACATTGAATGTTTCCATTGCCATGCTAAAGGACATATTGCCTCTCGTTGTCCACAACGCACATTAACTATCAGCGCTAGCACGGACGAGCATTGTGATGTAGAGATTGTGTATCCTCTTGAGGGTATCTATGACCCAGAAATTGACGATTGTTTTGATGACGATGTACTAAATCAGGTTTATGTTATGCGTTGTATCTATTCCACACTCGCGTCGCCTGATTCCTGGAAACGCACTAGTATTTTCCATACCTACATTCCATGCAATAACCAAATATGTAAACTGGTTATTCATGGTGGTAGTACCATGAACTTCATCTCTAAGTCTGCTGTTACTCGTCTTAATCTTAAGCTCGAACCACATCCCCACCCTTTTCACGTAGCTTGGGTTGATAAAACTCAACTACCGGTCACTGAGCGGTGTCTTGTTTCCCTTAAGCTAGGGACCTGCGATGAAGACATTTATTTGGACCTACTGCCTATGAATGTTGCACACGTATTACTTGGCAGACCTTGGCTCTATGATCACAACGTGCAGAATTGTAGTCGTGAAAACACATACACTTTTCAACATGAAGGCAAAAGTATTACGTTGCAACCAGCCAATCCTGCGATTAAACCTACCAAGACTAATATTACCACCTCCTCTCCATCGCATACAGGCAAAGCGTCAGGTCATCGGTTGGCTCTATTATCTTATGGCGAATTTGAGAAAGAAAGTCTGGAGACAGAAGTTGTATTTCCTCTTGTGATCAAAGAGATATATGCGGCCCCTTCCTATAAGAAATCTGAACCTCTACATCAACTCTTTAATGAATTCTCCGATGTCATGCCTGATGACCTCCCAGACGAACTACCACCCATGAGAGACATTCAACATGCCATCGACCTTGTACCAGGATCACAACTTCCGAATCTTCCTCATTACCGCATGAACTCATCTAAACGTGCTGAACTAAACACGCAAATTCAAGGTATGTTGGATAAAGGATTTATTCGCCATAGCCTGAGCCCATGTGTTGTACCGGTGCTTCTTACTCCCAAAAAAGATGGCTCTTGGCGAATGTGTGTCAACAGTAGAGCTATTAATAAGATCACAATTAAATATCGGTTCCCTATTCCACGACTTGAGGATATGTTGGATGATTTGGCAGGTTCTAAATGGTTTTCCAAGATTGACCTTCGTAGTGGTTACCATCAAATTCGTATTAGGGAAGGTGATGAATGGAAAACCGCATTCAAAACTCCTGATGGATTGTATGAGTGGCTTGTTATGCCATTTGGAATGTCTAACGCACCTAGCACATTTATGCGCGTGATGACCCATGTTTTGCGTCCTTAGATTGGAAAGTTTTTGGTTGTGTTCTTTGATGATATCCTTATCTACAGCAATTCGAAATAGGACCATCTGCAACATCTCCGAAAAAAATTTCATATGTTACGCCAGGAAAAGTTGTTTGTTAATTTGAAGAAGTGTTCTTTCCTTCAAGAAAAAGTTTTATTTCTGGGATTCATTGTTTCCGCAGCTAGCATAAGTGCTGATCTTGACAAAGTTCATGTCATTGTAAATTGGCCGCTTCCTTCAACTTTAACCAAGACTCGAAGCTTTCATGGGTTAGCATCTTTTTACCGACGTTTTATTCCTAGTTTCAGTATTATAATGGCTCGTATCACAAACTGTATGAAGCAAGATGAGTTTCGATGGACTCATGCGGCCACCCGAGCATTTGAGGCGTTAAAACAAAAAATGACAGAAGCACTTGTCCTACACCATCTAGAGTTTACCAAGGTTTTTCAAGTAGCATGTGACGCATCTGGTGTTGGCATTGGGGGCGTCTTAAGTCAGGAAGGACATCCTGTTGCTTATTTAAGTGAGAAGCTTAATGAGGCAAAGCAAAAGTATTCGACATACGACAAGGAATTCTATGACATAGTCTATGCGCTACGTTATTGGCAATATTATCTGTTACCAAACGAGTTTGTCTTATATTCTGATCATCAAGCGTTAAGGTATATCCATTCTCAACGTAACGTCAGTAGCCACCATATTAAGTGGACTGAGTATCTTCATATTTTCACCTTTGTGATTCGACATCACCTAGGAGCTGATAATAAGGTTGCTGATGCACTCAGCCGAGTAGGCGTTACCCTTCAATCATTGACTGCACAAGTTGTGGGTTTTGATAAAATCAAAACTGAATATTCTTCTTGTCCAAATTTTGGTCGCATTTTGCAGGAAGTTACGGCTGGAAATCGTCGTGATCATGTTGATTTTCTGCTGTGGGATGGTTATCTCTTTCATGGAACGCAGTTATGCATTCCCCGTACCTCTTTACGTGATTTCCTTGTGTGAGAATTACATGCTGGAGGCCTCGCTAGACATTTTGGTAAAGATAAGACCATTACTCTAGTTGCTGGTCAATTTTATTGGCCTTCATTGAAGCGAGATGTCGCTCACATCCTGGCCCAATGTCGCACCTGTCAGCTTGCCAAGGCTCGAAAGCAAAATACTGGATTATACACTCCTTTGCCAATCCCGCATACCCCGTGGAAAGATTTAAGCATGGACTTTGTTCTTGGCCTTCCTAAAACGGCACGCGGCCATGATTCTATCCTGGTTGTTGTTGACAGATTCTCTAAAGTGGCTAACTTTCTGCCTTGTTCTAAAGCTGCTGATGCTTCTTATGTGGCCAAGTTATTTTTAAAAGAGGTCGTTCGTCATGGGCTTCCTGTTTCTATTGTTTCAGACCGTGATGTCAAGTTCGTTAGTTATTTTTGGAAGACCTTGTGGAAGCTCTTTGGTACTTCTTTAAAGTTTTTGTCTGCATTTCACCCTCAAACAGATGGCCAAACAGAAGTGGTTAATCGTAGTCTTGGAGATTTATTACGATGTTTAGTCGATGATAATAGCAGGGTAATTGGGACCTCATTCTTCCTGTAGCAGAATTTGCTTATAATAATTCTGCCAACCGAACTACAGGTAAAAGTCCTTTCAAAATTGTTTACGGTGTGCTGCCACGTCCACCCATTGATCTTGTTCCCCTTCCTATTGATGTCCGTCGTTCGGAATCTGCAACTACCTTTGCTGACCACATTCGTTGCCTACATGAGGAGGTTCGTAAGAAAATTTCTCTAAGTACGGACACATACCAACTTGCTGCCAATACTCATCGTCGTGCTCAAGACTTCCAAGAAGGTGATTATGTTATGGTACGTGTTTGCCCTGAATGATTTCCCAAACATTCTTTTAAGAAACTTCATGCTCGATCGATGGGTCCTTATCGTATCCTTCGCAAGTTGGGTGTTAATGCTTACTTGGTCGAACTTCCTTCTGATGTTCATATCAGTCCCATTTTCAACATATCTGATTTGTTTCCATACTGGGGTACTTTTACTCCTCCTGTTGCGACTGAAATAACCCATGCTATTGTTCCTTCTGCTGCTCCTTGTGTGCATGCTTCCCATGCTGCTCCTACCGATCAGATCTCACAAGTCTTAGATCATGAAGTGGTGGCTTCAGCCCTTGGGGGTTTTTCTCGTTTTTTGGTTCGTTGGGTGGGACGTCCAGATACAGATGCTACTTGGATTACTGAAGACGAGTTTCGTCAGCTTGATCCTTCTCTTCTCCGTCAAGTTCAAGATGATTTGGTAGCAGCTGAAGTTACTGATACTCGTCCTCCTATTATTCATACCTACAGTCGGTGCCGTCGTCGTTAAACTCGCCGGAGTCAAGTTAAAGATTGAGGAAGATCATAAAACTTCAAACGTTAAAGATTGAGGCAGATTTAGCTAACATGTACTTCTTGAATCAAAGTACCAAGAGAATAAAAAAGCTAGCACTCTTTATGTTGTTTTATTAAGTCCTATAAGCTAAAGGCATTTAAGGCATCAAGTAGTAGAAATAATTGAAAAATAAAGTAACTACTTAGGAATGTTGTTAATCACCCATTTATTAATCTATTGTTTCGAATCTTAATGTTGCTTATGAATGTTGTTTCCGAGGTTTGGTATTTTAGACCCAATTTAAGTTTGTTGCTAATCAATTTATCTTTCAGTTTAGCTTGTTGCCAATTACAGTTATGACGACATCCAGATGAGCACCACTTGCTTCATCGTCAAAATTCAGTTCATACTGAATCAAATTCTTTTTAACAAAATTTGAGAAACAAAAAGGCCTTACAAGGGAAAGCATCAATGGCGCCCTTCAACCAACCATACTTTTTCAGCAAATTAATCTCTGGTTCTCTTCCTCATCCAAGTAAAAACTCTTACCACCAGAGTAATGATCCATGGAGGAAAATTCCCGCCAGAAATGTTCAATTTGGACCCACTGTGGAGGATCCTTCAGAACCAAGGTTATTAGGACGGTTATAACAGCTTCTCCAAGCAAGCTTTTTGTCACCGGTTGGATCAAGGAATCCTGCATTTAGAGAAGAATTCAGTACCAAAACTACCACCAAAAGACGCATCACATCACATATCAATGCAACATTCCACTGTCTCCAACACAATGCATATCAAAGAAACTTGTGGCAAATAAATTGTAAAACAGTCCAACTGAAGAGCATGGGAGAAAAGCAATTTGTTTGCCTTTTAGAAGGAAATGCGAGGGTAGAAAGACAAAAGGTACAGGAGATCCTCTTGACAGATTGCTCATGCATGAATCACAGACTGCTCAGGGCATTCTCTATTCTCTAGCCTCACATGCCTGTGATCTCACAATCCCCCTGTGATCACATGCATGTGATCTGTTCTGTGTCTTTACTTGATTACTAATGTTTGATAACAAGGGAGCAAGGCATTAGACCAATTCCAGCTTCTTGCATGCTAGAAATGGCAAGCCAACAATTCCAATCAACCCATGGAGCTCCCCCACTTGAGAGATAATAATCTTCCAAAAGCACCAGCGACAATACACAATTCTTCATCCAGATATGACAAAAAAAAATACTTGTACTTTCTGAGAAGTTTATCTTGAAAATTATTAAAAGCAAGCAACGTCAACAAGCATTTCCCAAGATTTTCAAAGTAGCTGAGGTAGTCTGACTAAAAAACAAATATAATGCTAAGCTCAATTAGTTTTCTTTAATTTGTACTTGTTACGCCATCTCCAACCCTAGAGGATTCAAATCCGAAGTTTCACCTTTCAAAATACTATTATTTATGTATTTTCATGACTTAAATTGTTTTTTCCTCCAATCTTGCGGACTCATAATTTGAGTCCGTAATTTTATTAAATTGTTAAAGAATGATATAATCCTTTTATATACATATATATATAACAAATTGATGAGTATTTATAGAGTTTAGTATGTGTTTTGAGGTTGTATCGAACTTAGAATAATATATGTACTTATTTTTGCTTTTGGATTTAAATTTCAACTGTTAAATTACTTTTTTCCTGTTGATCCAGCCAAGTTTTAATATCAGCCATTAATTTCTAGCCCTTAGATTTGAAAAACAAAACAAAACAAAAGAAAGCAGCCCATTTGAAATGCAACAATTGAAGTGCAACGTTAATTCCACCTAGATTGGAATCTCAGACCAAATACCGCCCCATTTTTCAGTCAACCCAATTTTTCCCCCTTCAAATACCTGGATTGGAGAAGGGAGACAATAGGGAAGATCAAGTAGCTGATGCAGAGAGAAATGTTAAAAAGGTGATATGCGACCAAAAGGGAGTATTTTGGGAAGACATTTTACCAAGATTTTCAAAAAGAGATTACGCAAGCTGAGGTCAAAGCCACCAATTTCCCTTTTAATTTTAGGAAGGTATTTTAACTTCCAAACTACATATAAACTTCTGTGTAAGACTGTCTCTGTGTCCCAGCACTCTGTTTTCTAGCCATACATTTATCAATACACTAATTATTTCAATACAGCATATGAAATGAATTACTTAGAGATTTTTTTTTTTTTTTTTTTTTTTTTTTTTTTGGGTCTGAAATGCTTCATGAAAGGCCAACAAAGGGACCAAAAGGGCAGCCAACGCCCATACAGAAAACAGCTAAGAAAGAGACACTAGCCAAAAGACAGCATAGTGCAAAAGCTTTCTCGACTACATGAGAGATTACAAATTTGGTGGACTGGGAAGCCATCCGAAACCAGCACACAAACAAGGGATGGTGGTGGCTGTGCAGCCCAGGTCTCCCTATACACCGTCCCAACTCCTATTGACACCGCTACATGAGCTACTCGATTCTTCTTACGAGGGATCCAAGAACATGTGTTGGTGCTACCTCTCCAAAAATGTGCAACAAATTTGAGAAATAACATTTACAAAACATGGCATCTTATGAAAAGGAATTAGCTACATTAAACAAAAAATAAGATCCAAGATCATGGCAGTCCACAAAAGAAAACGAAAACCCAAAAAAAAATATATATATATATATATTCCAAGATCATGAGCAAGACCTCCATTTAAAGGTCAAATATTGCTACCCGGAGATGTATGGATAATAACCAAGAACCTCATGATAAAATAAGCACAATGAGGGTTTCTAGTCTTCCTAATGGAAAATACATCCAAATAATACACAACTATCATCTACACAAGTAATAGAAGCTGGACCTTGCCTCATGTTTATGTACAAAAATGAGGTGCTTTAAGAACTGCCCGTTGCAAAGGTGCAAATTTGCAGCGTTGAGTTTGCAAGGGTATGCTTTTCTTTGTTATTGGCTGTTTATGATCCTAAGGTTTCTTTCTTCTTAACAAATGAAGCTTCCTTCTGACTCCCAAAATAAAGGACATCCATACAAGTAGAAAATCAATCCTCAAACCACAACTGGCCTTTTTGGTCCTGCCAACTGCCTCTGTTTTAATCGGCTGTATGTCCTCCTCTTGCATAAAAACAAAAGGAATCCTACAATAACGATCAAAAGCAAGTATACTTCCAAATGGGTATCCCAAATGACACTCCTAGTGCCCCATCTGCATTCACATGTGCTTCGAAGTGGAATTCCTCTGCGATTGACATTAGGGTCGAGAACAAAATCTACATTTGTGCCTGCTTTGTCTAACCAGATACCTGTTGTCTTTGATTTGTACCCAGGGGCAGTAGCTGTGACTGCACGCAGCCAGTAAAACCAAAAGAAAAATTGGGCATCAAATAGCCATCTTAAGATGGGCAACCATAATAGAATTACAATTACACACATACATCCATAAAAACTTGTTTCAAAAAGTCCTTATAGTCCTCATGTGTCAATTGGTCAAATAGCTCTTGGCCTTTACTTATTTGGGCAGAAAATTCCTTCTATGATCCCCCTTCTTTTTAAGAAAATAAGTTCCCTTAATGAAGAGGGCCGTAGCCGCAGTTACACCCAGAAAAAAAATTACAGATACAAGGTAAAAACATCCACACCACATCCTCTCATTCCATACCCCAATAATGAGGCACAAGCAATTCACTAAAATCGCTAGGCATTCTTTGGAAGGAGAAAATATTTGATGTTGAATGCCATGACAAATATTAATTTTTTGCCTGGCAAATAACGAAAGATGGTCCATAAAATGACACTAGTAGCTTTATGTCTTACGTTGTAATCATATTTCCTCTTGTTCTTTTTTAAAGCATCAAGCTCAGTATGAACAAACCATGTAATATGTAAATACCTTCATATCTTCCTCCAGAGGCAAGCAAGCGATGGTAATCCGCAATTCCTCTGCTAGCTTGAACCTGTGAGTCAAAATGCATGGGTCATTGGTTTACATGCAGTCCACTTAATTTTATCATGTAATGTCAAAAAGTTCAAGAGACTGACCAAAAAGGTGTAATAAACTCTGATTTAATCAAAAGGTATAACAAGTCAAAGGAGGCATTGGCACTGCATACAGGTCATCAAATGCGATTTTCTCTAAGCATGCAACTATCAATTGTTGTCGATTTGACAAATTTGGAAGTGGGCAACACAATTTGTATTGTTGCATCAATTTGTTCTCCGTCATTTCGGTTTTTTTGTGAACGCCAATATAAGAGGTTTTGTGAAGTTGGAATAGTGAGACACCACACTATTATGGAGACATCACATGAAATTGCAGAACATGTATGCGGAACCCTCTTGGCGAAGGCACGTTGTATGCTTTCTAACTTCGGTTTGTCTACCGACTTTTGGGCTGAATTTGTTAGTTCCTGTTATTTGGTTGTCTTTTGGACTGTTGGTGCAAGTTTAGACCATGGTGTTTGTATGCAGGTGGAGCTTGAGATTCAAGCACTTGGTGCCTTTATTCAGCTTTGTCAGGATATGCTTGGTTTTGTTAGTGATATAGAAGATTTTCAGTTTCTTCATCAAAATCATTTTTGTTTTGATCAAGCCAGTTCCTGTTTGCAAGTTCAAGCATTGCTTGGACTTGATTGATATTTGCAACTTCTGTGTTGCCGTAAGGGATTTAGAGAAGACGAAAGGACGTTTCCACTTTGAAGGCTTTGGTAAAATGTAAGCCAAGGTGGAAATTTGTCGTTATGTGGCTTAAACTTGAAGCCAACAACTTTGCCTTTTTGGTCCCAATAGCACATTAAGATTATTATTTACTCTTTGTGGCTTTGTTTTTCATTTCTTGTACTATAAGGATTCCTTTTTGGTTTCTGATCCCATTTGGCTAAGTCATGAGTAGTATATGATAGGCACATAGGCTTCTCTGTGGTTGTATGTTGAGAGTGGGGGAGAGCAAACCATGAAGAGGTTTGACAATTTTCTCTTATTTGGTTTAGGATTTCTTTCGTTACTCTTTTGTGAGAGAGTGCTTTGGGTGTATTGGGATTTTGATTTGTGAGAGTTAAAACACTCTTTTGTAATTCTCAATTTGGTTATTAGTGGAATTTCATCACCATCTTCGCCCATGAATGTAGTCTTATGAGTCACACATGCTTGCCACATCAATAAACTAACAGAAATCCTAATGGAGTAAACGTCTATGATTATTGGTACCTATTTTAAAATTTTCAAGGACTAATGGATCAAAGAATTATAGTTGAGGACCAAATTGAAGCTCGAGTCCAAGTTTAGGGACTAATGTTCCAATTTACGCTTTTTTATATGTTAGATCATTAGAGTTTTGGTACATCAGAATTTGGGAATCAATGCCCTATGCAGATTAGCACCATCTGTCTAACTATTTATATATTTTAGAACTATAGTAGGGTCCAAAATAAGCTTCAATGCCTCTCTCTAAATCATTGTAACTTGAAATGCTTCACTGCTTAAATGTTTCTCAATCACTTTATATTTTAATTTTATTGGACGGGATTTGGATATAGATTCGACGAACGAGGTGCGTTCGGTAAAAATCAGTAAATTCACAGACGAAAAAATGGCAAAAAAGAAAGTATTAATTTCCCCTTCTATGACTGAATTACATCCTGTGTTTGGTGCAATTTGGGATTGGACTATTATTGAACTTCACTTTAATAGCCCAGCACATGTTTCTACATGAGATTTATCTCACTTTATTCTGGACTATTCTCCAATATAATTGTCATAGCCCAACAGAAGTTTAGGCCACCGAGCCGAGTATGGGTTTTGAACCATCTCAAAATGAGCCCTTATTGTTCAATCACAATAGGAAAAAGGTATACTTAAATTTGAAGAATAAATGAATGTTTGTGAGCATACCGTGTAATTTATTCCCTTGATTACAATAAAGCCTGGCAACGGCCTCCCACCATAATGTAAGACACAATGTTATCAGTTTGAAGTGACTGAGTCATGACATTTCATGCCTACAATTTTGAACCTGAAGGATAAAAGGCCAATACATAAAAAGAAAGGGTTCCCATTCAAGTGATCTGAGATAAAGTTTGAAGGAAGAGCCTTTCTGGCTAAATGTTCCATTGTAAATGTAGCATGAACAAGGTCAAAATATTCTGTTCATACTTAATTTCCACTTCTACCACAAAGGAAACCTACTCTTGGACTATCCTTCCAATTCTTGACGAAATTTGTAGCCTTTCTCAACATTTCAATGAGATGCGGTGGAAGTGGGTGCCAAGATCAGCAAATCGTGCAGCTCACATGTCTGCGACGATAGGTTTGAGAGCTATGGAACTGCAAAGTTGGGTCATCCGACCACCATTGTCTCTCGTTGGGGTCCTGAACTCTGATGGTTTGCCCTGTCCCCTAGTTGGGTCATCTCTCTTGAACTAGATTTCTGTTCTGTTTGGTTGGGCTTGAGACAGTTTACTAAACTCCGACGGAGCTTTAGATTTGTCTAACCCTTATTGTATTTTGCTTATGTTCTGTGTTCTTGCTGGTTCGGCCAGCTGTGTTGTATTTGCTTCCCGTTTTGGGCTTTTTTAATACAACAATCTCTTTCAGACAAACAAAAAAAAAAAAAAAAAAAAAAAAAAAATTAATAAAAAAGTACCATCTCAAAAATGCGCCCCGCCCTAGACCCATTAGACCTATGGGCTACACAAGGGTGTAACAGTCTCTTAAATCATGCTAAAATGCCTAAAGAAGATTGTATTATATATCAAGGTTGCAAAATATCACACAAGCGGATGCCTGACCTCATTAGCAATAGGCCATTTGTTGTCGCTAATCTCTAATGTCAATTCGAAACAGCCCGCATGTATGTAGTTCCAGAAGCTACTGGCTGAACACGTTTTGTGGTTTTTTATCTAGAAAAACAGAAACAGGGTTCCAAAATATTAATGAATGGGTTTTTTTATCTATTAGGTTTAGAATTCTTAGAAGGCTTATTTACTGTAGTGCCCTCTAAAACTATGGTCAAATCTCACTTTACCCATTAAAAGTTAAAGTGACCCAAAGTGCCCTCTTGACCAAGGTTTAGTGGTTCACTTTGCCCCCCCGTCGCTAGCTCTGTTAAAAAGTCCATTAAAACTGCTGACGTAGCACGAACGGGTCCCACTGGTTTGTTGAAATGTATGCCACATGTAAAAAATTAAAAAAATATTTAAAAACATGACTTTGTTCTCTCTTCTCCCTCTCCCGCTTTCTCTCTGTACCACCCCTGGCTAGGGCTGGCAATGAGTCGTGTCGTGTCTGGTTCGTGTCATGTCGGGATAATAAATGTGTCAAGAAAGCTCAATCCGAACCCAACCCATTTAATAAATGTGTTGTGTCGAGTTCGAGTCGTCTTTTATCATGTGAGTTTCGAATCGTGTAATGGGTTCATAAATAATAACATGCATGTTACAAAACTCACAACTGAAAAAATTTAAATAAAAAAACTGAGGAGAGAAAATATAAGGAAAAAAAAGATAGAGAGAGGAGAGAAGAGAGAAGGAAAAGAAAAAAAAATAGAGAGAGAGAGAGAAGGAAAGAAATAAAAAATAAATAAATAAGAGAGGAGAGAAAACTAAAGAGAAGGAAAAGAAAGAAAAAAAAAGAGGAGAGAAGAGAGAAGGAAAAGAAAGAAAAAAAAGAGAGAGGAGAAGATAGACCGAAAACAAAAGAAGAAAAAGAAATATTATAAATATCAAAAGGTATAGTATATAATCACAAAGTTGTATGTAGCATGGTAGATAAAGTGTTGTAGAGGAATGAGGGTGGTGGAGGTTCAAAACCCCTTGTGTGTGTGTTGTGAACTCTACATTTCTTTTCATTTTTTCGCGGGTTGGTGTGTATTACAAAGGTTGACACAACCCATTTAATAAATGGATTAGACATGTATTATTGCGGGTTAGCGGGTTGACCCAAAACCCACCCGTTTTATTAAACGAGTCAGAATGAGTTGATCCGAAATTGACTTGTTTTTTTATCATGCGGGTTTCGAGTCGTGTCCGAAATTGCCACCCCTACCTGGCCGCCCAAACACGACACACACCCACCCCTACCCACAAACCCACACAAACAGAAAAAATATTCTTTTGTTTCCAACGTCCAAATTTAGCCCAATACATTTCTTAATTGAGGAAGGGAAGAGTACATCTACATGTTGCACAATTAGAACACAACCAACTATGAACACCAAAACCAACATAAGAAAAGAAAGCAGCACGAAGTTCTAGGACAAAGTACATTAGTCTGAGAAAAATCAAATTTCCTAACAACTTACATAGAAATCTCTTCATCTAAGTTTCGAAACTTTTGGGGATAAATCATCAATTTATATGCTCTTAAATCGACATACAAGTTCAGAAATCAAATTAAACCACTTGGGTCTTGCACTTTCAGCAGGTATTTCCAAGTCCCAAATTAAAAAGAAATTGAATCTCTTCCAAATCAAACAGTTGCATCAGAACAAAACAAAACGAAAAGCATTAAGAATTTAAGACCAAAAGGACAGATACTCAAAACCCATACCAGCATCAATAACAGCATCCCAGTCAATTTTGCCACTTTTCTCAAACAGCTAAAAATATGGAGTCCCATTGACTCATCTGTTGTCCTAAAACAAGCCGACCACCTTCACCTACTCAACCGGTGCACCTGACCCATTAGCCTCAGCAGAGCTCTCATTCTTCACCGAAACAGGCTCGGCGGGTTCAGGGACCTTGGACTCTGCTGCAACAGTGGCAGTTGAGGCGAGAGCTCTTGCTTCATTTTCAATTGAAGCTTTGGTGGTGAAGAGAGGGTTCTTGAGTCTGAGAGAGAGATAAGGCTTGTGGATCAAGTGGGTAGGTGTGGGTGTGTCTCGTGGGTGGTGGTTGTTTGGGCGGCGAGGGGTCGGGTACAGAGAGAGAAAGAGGGAGAGAAAAATATCTTATTTGTTAAATTTTTTTAAATAAAATATTTTATTATTTTTTTCACACATGGCATTTATGTGGCATACATTTCAATAAACCAATGGGACCCATTCGTGACATGTCAGCAGTTTTAACAAAGGTAACAGTGAAGGGCAAAGTGAACCACCAAACCTTGGTCAAGAGGGCACTCTAGGTCATTTTAACTTTCAGTGGATAAAGTGAAATTTGACCATAGTTTTAGGAACCACTACAGTAAATAAGCCTTCTTATAATTAGTTTTTCTTGCCAAATGTACACTTTCATGTAATTTCTCTTAGCTTATGAGGCTACAAAACCAAGGTAATTTGTGCATTCATTTTTAACGGTAATCATTAGGAAAATTAGCATTTGCATTGACTAATCATATACGCCAATATTTTGCAGCACATGATTTTTAATGAAGGCATGTTATTTTGCTTATTGTAAGTCCAATCATTGGCTGCCAAGTGTCCTTTTGACCTACCAAAATGACTGGGGCTGGTCTGGACTCACTATCTCTCTCATTTACAATTTCTGAGATGGTTTTTTTTAGAGAGAGAGAGAGAGAGAGAGAGAGAGAGAGAGCTAGTGAGAGACTAGGTATGGGTTTTGTTTTTTGAGAGGCAATTTTTTTGTCTCTGCCATTTTCACATAGAGAGGTTCATGGGTTCTTGAGATCTAGGCTTTTCAATGAAAATTTTTTTATTGATTTTTTGTTTCAATGGTTTGAAATCTTAAGCACTCATGCATATTGGAAAGTTTTGAGAGTTTCTTCCCTCCTCTACATTTTCTTTTTTGAGTGAGTTTATGATTTTAAAATGAGATTTTTAAAATTTGGATTTTAAAATCTGCTTTGATTCTTGAACTCTACTGCTTTTAGGAGAGAATTTTTTAGAGTTTCTTCTGGCTCTACATTTTCTCTCTAAAGGTGAGGTCTACTCTTTTTCATTATGAGATTTTAAAATTTGGGTTTTTGATCTGCTACGAGTTTAGAAATCTTCATCTAGGATAGTTAAACACATACCCATTCATATCTAGATCGGATTCTAAGTTGATTTCTTAAAGAGTATGGTTTCTTGAAGAAATTGATCCTTTTTGGTTCAGAATCGATATTCCATTCATTTGATAGATCTAGAGTTGAGTTGATGGTGTCATGGGATGAACGAGCTAAAAATGAAGCTGCCATTGCCAAGAAAGACTAGTTGCAAGCTTTGCTAAGTTGGAAAGTAAGGTTGCACAGAGGAGGTATAGCTTGTTTTCTAAATAGACCTAGGATTTCTTGAGCTTGCTTGTGAATTCTCTGTAAGAATTTTCTTTAATTAGTTGATTGCCTGATCAGATGATGACCCCCAATTTTTCCCAATGGTGGGTTTCTGAATGAACAATATTTTCTAGGTTTGATGTTTTTGATTATTGACTAGTCATAATCTGTTAATCAGTATCTCTATTTTGATTCAATGAATGTTCACACACGCTACTCTAATTGTTGCTAGCACTGGGGATGCCTAAATTGATGGATCCGTTCTTTTCTTCTAATGTGTATATTTATTGTTACCTACAACTAAATTCATAAAGAATTGAAAAATTTTTAACTTTTATAAGTTAATATATATTGGGCAATATTTAAAATAACTCATTTTTAAGCTATATTTTTTGCCCCCAAAAACTTCTGTGGGCTACAGCCCACCACAGCCATTGAAGTAGTTAATTTAATAGACACGCAGTGCAGCCTCCGTAATATTATATACTACGTATATATAAGTATAATATATATGGTGGACTGATCTGTAAAGTCGTCAAGTCTTTGCCTCCTAACGCATATTAAATTTGTCATTGCTGTCCTATTTCTAGATCTGTTTTACATACATCATTAAGGCTCCTATATATATGATCATTAAGGCTCCTATGCAAGAGCCTGAAAAAAAAAGATATTAGACGTATATGGCTAAGCCACTAAGCTCCTACCTTGTGTGCCTCGCATTTTCTTTAGTTTTCAATCTATTGTTGATCTTCAAACTATATGTGGGTAGAGAGTGGGAACTGAGCTGCAGAAGAAGCTGAGTATGTAGCAGCCATCTCTTGCTCAGGGCATGGAAGACCCTACTTGGATGGGTTAACTCTTGATGGCAACGTGCCTGTTTGTGAATGCCATTCTTGCTATGGAGGCCCTCAGTGCTCTGAGTTTTTGACTGGTTGTGCAGCAAATGCTGACAGGTCTCTCTCTCTCTCTCTCTCTCTCTCTCTCACACACACGCACACACACAATAAACACACTATATTCTTAGCTAGTTTGGGAGCTTGGGAAATTCGGAGGGCAGAAAGGTTGTACTGAAAAGAAAAAAATTAGCCTAGAAGTTGTTAATTCAGAAAATTTGAACTAGGAAGCTTAGGAAAGTCCAGCAATTAAAAAAAAAAAAAAAATACATAACTGAAAAGTGGGGTGTGTGAAAAGCGATGTTTAGTTTAATTATTAATATATTTTGTGCATTTCTAGGGACTTGGTTTTTTCCTTTTATTATGGAATTTGTAGCCGTAAAAGATTCCAAAAACAAACTCACATGACATATATTAGTAATGTAATGTTTTAAAATAAGGGTCTTTAGATCACGAGGGTTATTCCTAATAAACTCTAATACTTTTGGATTTGTATCTAATTTTTTAATTTTTATTTAGAATAAAATATTCCCTCATCAACAAGAGATCTTGTTTGGCACCATCTCCTCCATCATGCTTTTTAAATGCTTCTACTAGCTTTCAAATGAACTATTTTGCTCTTCACTCCATGTCAAGTCAGTCATACAACACTACCTACTGCATGTAACGATAATGTTACAGTGTAGTATTGTTTTTCTTCACACAAATGATATCGAGGGAATGGAATTCAAACACAAAATCTCACATGCAAAGGACTATGGAGCCAAAAAATTTGGTAGGACGGGCATCTTATTTCTTTTTTCTTTTTATTGGATAGATTAATTACTTCCATAAGTGACCACCAAGATTTCTGTCACCATGTCAAGAATAGGGTAATACAGTGGCTTGACAAAGGGTATATCCAAAAAAATTAATTTGTTCCAAAAGCTACTCTACCTAAGTCCACCTTTTCACTATTAAAACTTACCTCCAATTGAAAGCTCCGTTCAATTTCTCACCCTATTGAATGGAGCTTCCACTTTGGATCTAAGTAGTTTAATGGTGATTTTAAAATACATATATATTAATGGCACATCCAAACTTTATGATCATCATCAGCAGCACATGTGTGTTGTTGGGTGCAGTGGGGATCCATATTTCTTGGAGCCATTTTGGATGCAACATGCATCGAAAAGTGCACTTGTAGTAGCAGGTTGGCATCGAATGAGCTATACCTTTGCTGATCAATCTTACATCTCAGCAGAGCTTGAGAGGCACATTCGCAAACTTCATGCCATCGTTGGAAATGCCGTGACTGGAGGAAGATACATTGTTTTTGGTGCTGGCTCAACCCAACTTCTCAATGCTGCAGTTCATGCACTGTCTTCCCATAATTCAAGCTCCTTCTCCTCGCCTGCAAGTGTTGTAGCTTCAATTCCTTATTACAATGTGGGATCCTAACTTACTACTTGCATATTTTACGTACAAAGAATAAATAAATTAACTTGTATCATCTCAAGAAATCATCTTCTGTATTATCTCTCTATAGTATACAGATAGTATTAACATGTGTACCTGTGTGGACCTACTTCTGTGGTGTGTCACACCTGTATACATAAAATCACCAATTGAGATGGTACAAATAGTACGTAGTATTACTACAAATATACTGCTGACTGATATGTACGGTTTTGATGTTCCATTTCCCCAGCTTTACCAAATACAAACGGAGTTTTTTCGATCAACAGACTATGTATTTCGAGGTGATGCATCCTTGCTGCAGAACATCTCAGATGCTACAAATGTTATTGAGTTTGTTACCTCACCAAACAATCCTGATGGCCAGCTGAATAAGGCAAATGTTCAAGGTCCAAATGCCAAAGCAATCTATGATCGTGTCTATTACTGGCCACATTTTACAGCAATTCCTACTCCAGCAAATGATGATATCATGATATTTTCAATTTCTAAGCTCACTGGCCATGCTGGTAGCAGATTCGGGTACATAACAACCTAACCATCATTTTCTTGCATATCTTTTCACTTCTATTTATTTTATTTTATTTATAAACTTTATCCCTTGCTATTATTGGGGACTTCTTTCCCTTCTATATCACAACGTATATCCGGAACGAAAAATGCAGAAAACGCACTGCATCTATGACTTTTTTTGAAATTTTTCTATTGGTTGGGGCCATAAATATTATACTAAACTCACACACTACACGGATGCTAGAACTCGAATCCAGGACATTTCATGGGGGGAGCAATTGCTTCAAAACACTGATGAGTCGATTTTATATTATATATTTAACCTCATTCTTAGTATATTTTGGTTAATATGTTGGAAGAATTTTGATACTTTGAATTATATTTCCAATATAGGACTTTCGACTCTCTCTGGAGCAAAAGATAATCAAATGGACGAATTTTGGAGTAATTCCAGTTGGAGGACGTACGTGAGTCACTTAGCTTGATCGTATCAAAATATCAGACTTTTCCACTAAGCGATGATTTCCTGGTGAATAAATGAAGGAGCGATGTGCAGTGCTGGAATAGTGACGTTTTGGGCTTATATTTCGTTTTTGGAGCCCAAGATGACCTCAGATGGTTTTGAGGCCTTCTGGAGAAGTGTTCGGAATATTTTTATCTTTAAAATGAGCTATCTTGGGCCAGATTTGGAGGAGATTTGAGACCAAAACGTGGCTGGGTAGATTGTGGGCAGATTCTCCTAATCCAATTTGGACTTTATTTTCTAGTCTTATTTTATTTTAACTTAGTTTCCTTGTGGGGATTGGGTAGCTAGGTTTTAGGAGGTATTTAAGCTCCTTTTCACAGCAATTTAGGGACTCCTTTTAGAACTTCTTTTTGGCTTTGGGAGCAATTGCTAGGGTTTTGGATTTTCGCTACTTTCAGGTGTTTTCATTCTTACTCATTCGAATAATATTTTCTTGGATTTCAATTATGATTATGTGTAACTAATTCCTTTTGCTAGGGCGAGGCCGTAAGCCTTAGCATGAATATGTAGTTTTATTAATTTGCTTATGAATGGATGCATGTTTGCTTTGAATTATTAATCACTGTGTTTAAAACTATCTATCTATTTTAATGACTGATCACCATTAGGATATGTAGACAAGTAATTTGATGCAATTTCTGTTGGAACATCACCCTGAAATTGAGGAGGGCTTCTTGTGATTAGTAATTGTAAGTTCACTTAAAGCGAACATCACGCTCTTAAGGGTTGCATGGTTTTTCAAAGGGTTTTCACAAAGCTTAATGAGTCTTTCATGTTTATATTTGATCTGAACATCACAGACGGATTGCATGTTAGATATACGTTTTCGCTTGAACATCACAAGGAAAATATGTATTAGGAAAACCTAACCTTCAAAGCATATATGTGGAAATTCATAAGTAATTGATAGAATTGCATAGGATTGCGACGGTGTTGGCTAAACCCTAGTATTTATACCAAAATGAACACCCAATGAATATCAAACACGTGGACCAAACCAGGGCTACGTGTGCCTTCGGCACTCGCCTTCGGTACCATACCTACCGATGGCAACATTAGGGCAATCTCGCCTCTCTGACACGTGGCAACCCCACAACTGACGCCCAGAGTCCCACATCGAAACTCTAAGCAAATTGCACACCTCCCAAGGCCTATAAAAGAGGACATCCATCCCAGCTTGAAGGTAATCAATCAGAACTTACGGCATACTGCCTATTGATCTGCAGTTTAAAACTTACTAAATCCGTACTTACTTAAGCATCGGAGAGCCTTCGGCCGGTACCACACCGGTGCCCTAGGATTTACCGTGTGTTTGCTATCTTACAGATCACACACCCTACCGAGGACATCAGATACCGAAGAGGCTTAATCACTAAGTTGCGCGGGAAAGTGCCGAACCATTTTTCTGCGTCAACACCTAGTTTTCTCTAAATTGTTAGTCTTTAAAAAGAAATCGTTTTTCTTCTTTGCTGTTATTATTTCCCAACTTTCAGATTTCTTTTATTGTTAGTTTAATCTTTTCAAATTCATAAATTTCAAATCTTTGATAAAATCTATTTTAGTTATTAATTAAGAGTTAGTTTAATTACAGATTAGTCAAACAATCTTTGGGGACAACGACCTTGCATGAGCATTTATACTACAATTACCTTGTATTCTTGCAAATATTTTCAGTGATTTTAACCCTGTTTGCGCAGGTACTAAAAAACCTATCAAACACTACACTAGTAAGTCCTTTGCTAGTATATGTTCTATACAAAAAGACAAAGGCCCCTATTCAATTTTCCATTTAGGCATCGAGTTGAAAACAAAACCCTTTGCGGTAGCTATAATATTTGTTCTTGTGGCTCTTGCACAGGTGGGCGGTGGTAAAGGATGAGTCTGTGTTCCAAAAGATGACCATGTATATAAATAGCATGGGTATTTCTCGAGATGCTCAGCTGAGAGCTTTGAAGGTTTTGAATGTAGTCCTTGAAGGGGGAGGAAAGGATATTTTTGAATTCGGATATAACATTTTGAGGAAGCGTTGGGAAAAATTGAGCAACATCCCCTCTGTATCAAATCGCTTTAGTCTGCAAAAATTTGCACCCAAACACTACACCTTTTTCAAGAAAACTAGAGGACCTTCACCAGGTAACATCCTCATCACTACTTGTGTATGTTCTTTTATCAAAATAAATCAATCAAGAACAACATAAAAAATTAAATTAGTTTCGGTCGTCAAAGGACTTCACCACTCGAAGCCTTTTTCGGTGAAGCATTTTTCTCTCTTTGATCTAAATTTCATTGCTCATTTCATGTTGAAGCATTTATAATTTCCTTTTAGCTAATATATATACATACTATTTAACACTACTATGATTCTGACCAATTGTTGCGTACCGGATATGGCTGTTCGATGTTCCCATGATCATATGATTCTGATAATATTATTAAATCTGAAAATTAAATTAATTAAGTGATCAAAAGAGGTCATTTATGAAAAATTAATATATTTCCTCACTTATGCATGGGTGAAGTGCGAGAGGGAAGACGATAAAGCTTGCTATGCAGTCCTCCAAGAAGAAGCCAACGTTGACGGACGTAGAGGTTCTCATATTGGCGCTGAAGATCGATTTGTGCGTCTCACCCTCTTAAGGAGCCAAGATGATTTTGATTTATTGCTTCAACGACTCAACCAATTAGTCTTGGAAGAAAGTCATCGGCAAAGCTATTTTGTCCACGATTTGAAGACAAATTAGCCACATGTTTATTAGAAGCCATTTATATTCAACACTTCTCTTCAAGTAGGGACAATATCTATGTGATTTGAACTACTACAGAAAATAAATAATCAAATCTAAAAATAGGGAAGCGCTACTCGTGGTTCCGTAGGCTATCTCCAACTATAATGGGACTAAACCTAAATTTTCAAGTTCCAAAATACAACTATTAATGTATTCTCCAAACTCAATCGGTTTCACTTGAGCTCTGATAGTTGGTTCTCCTCCCAATAAGCAAGGAGTTTCTCCAATAGACAATCTTTGAATGGTTGAACGGACTAGGAGGTTGCACTTGTACACAATATATAGGACATGACACATTCTTCATTGGATTTTCCTTTGTCATCCTTCAATTATTTTCTAAACCATTACCCATCTTCTATTGTCTTGTTTCAATCATGTTCTGAATCCTTGTCCATCTATCTTTATATCACTTTATTGGATTCGCTCAACTTTCCCTATCTTTTCTTATCTTCATTCAATTATGATCAGATATATATAGGCCATCTCGTTTTGTCATCTTGCCATTATTTCATGAGTGGGAATTTTTGTTTACCCTACACCTTACCCCTTTGAATAGGCACTACAAAAAAAAGTGGCAACAGTTGCCATTTTGTCACCAACTTTGGTGACTATTGTGCCACAATAGTCACCAAAGTTGGTGACAAAATGGCAACTGTTGCCACTTTTTTTTGTAGTGAGGCAGGCATTGCTTTGGTTCTTGTGGCAGGCAGCTTATTAGTGGGTGAAGTATGAGAGGGAAGAGGATAAAGATTGGTATGCAAGTGCTCCAAGAAAAAGCAAATGTTTATGTGCATAGAGGTAGTAGCTCTACCAATAAATCTTGAAAGTAATGTACAGGCACAGCCCCAAGACTATGCAAATGATTTGATGAGAAATAATGCAGAAACATTTTGAAAATACCGGAGCGCTACTATGTGCTTCATTGTATCCCCATGTTCAAAATAATTAACTTTTCAATATAGTGGTATTTCTTTTCCCAGTGTTAGAAGAAGGCGTAAGTTTGAATCCAAAATTACATAATGGTGTTTAATGTTAATTCTAAGTTCTACAGGGCACTTAGGACTCGATTAGGGTTGGATAATTACGTAACTCGACCTAGGGCTTCACGATTTATGTTTCGCTCTCAATCTTGGGCTCCGGGGAGATTTAATTAAGACACCCAAACGAAAATAAGTAATTTATTTTTTTCATTTTTGCGTTGTAGAATTAAATTAGTAACATATTTAAATATTCACTAAAGAAATAATAATTAATATGCAATTACTAAGAAGGCTAATCACATATATTAAATAAAAGAAGTTGGCAATAAAAAAAAGAGTAAATAAACAAATTTAATATTTTTAAAATTCAAAAAAAACAAAAAAAACAAAAAAACTCTCCAAACGAACTTTCGTCGACAGAGGAAATATTCGTCGGGAGAAGTCTAATTCGACAAACATTTGCCAGCACAGTCCTGCCAACGAACATTCGTCATGAGATGTGTTTTCTTAGTTTGCTATTTACAGGGTATAGTCGGGCGGCTATACGTTAAAATATTTTTTTTGGGGTATAGCCGCATGGCTATACTGTTAAGATGTTATATTTTTAACGTATAGCCGTGCGGCGATACTATTTATATATTTACAAAAGGAAGCGCCCAGCACATAGGTGCCACGTATCAAAACAGTTTTATTTTTTAAAAGGAAAACTAGTATCGTCGTCCGGCTATACTATTTCTTTAAAAAATTAAAAAAGAATCTAGTATATCCGGTCGGCTATACTATTTAGCGACTATGCGCCATGTGTCAAACAAGGACAGCCGTGCGGCTATAATATCTTTGTTTTAAAAATTGAATGAGTATAGCCGCCCGGCTATACGATTGACAATTAGGGAAAAAACTGAGTATATCCGTGCGGATATACCACTTGTTTAAAATATATATTATTTTTATTCAATAGTATGTGAGAATTATGTGTATAATACGTGAATTTTATGTGTCTTATTGAAATTTTTTTTAAAAATAGGCGTTTTAAACATGAGAAATACGTCAGTACGTGTATAATACATTATTAAACATGAAGGTGCTAGAATCTTTATATGGGTAATAACTATGAAAAAGTAAAAAAAAATGAAAAAGGGACAATAGATAGTCGAGTAATGGTCTAATAGTAATGGATAGGGCTCTTGGGCTGTAGAGGAATATAATTAGGACACCCAAACGATTACACAAAAGACTTAGTAACTAGAAATCCATTATTTTGTGGACTTTTTTAATAATTTTTTATATTAAAATTTAATTACTAATTAAAGTGATTAAAAAAGGCTAAGATATTACTTAATCACAATATTAAATTAAAGAAGTAGGCCAAAAACAAAAGTAAAGAAACTAAATATATGTTTTTTTAAATTTTTATTTTAAAAAAAGTATAGCCGCCCGGCTGTACTATGTATATATTAGAAAAGAACGCTCCTATCCCCTAGGTGCCACGTGTCAAAGCAGTAAAGCCTTTTTTTTTAATTTATAAACAAAATTAGGAAAAACGAGTATCGCCTCACAGCTATACTATTTTTTTTAAAATTCAAAAAAAATATAGTATAGCAGGTCGGCTATACTATTTATATATATAAATAACCGCCCAGCGCCTAAGCGCCACATGTCAACCAGGTAAAGCAGGTCGGCTATACTTTTTTTTTTAATTCAAAAAACGAGTATTGCCGGCCGACTATATTATTTTTTTGAAAAACAATTAGGAAAAACTAAGTACAGCCGTGCAGCTATACCATTTTAATATATATTATTTTATTCAATCATATGTGAGAATTATGTGTATAATACATGAATTTTGTGTGTCCTACTGAAAGTTTTGTAAAAAATACGTGTATTAAACATGAGAAATACATGCGTATGTGTATAATACATTATTAAACGTGAAAGTGCAAAAACTTTATGCGAGTAATAACTCTGGAAAGGTAAAAAATCAAAAAGGGACAATAGATACTCGAGTAATGGCCTAATAGTAATGGATATGGCTCTTGGGCTATGGAGACACCCAAACGATTTCACAAAAGACTTAATAAATAGAAATTAATTACATTATGGACTTTTTTCTTTAATTTTTATATATTAAATAATAAGTAAAATATAATTACAAAGAAAAGTGATTAAAAAAGGCTAAGATATTACTTGATTACATATAGTAAATTAAAGAAGTAGGCCAAAAACAAAAGTAAAGAAACAAATTTTATATTTTAAAATATTAAAATATTTATAAAAAATTAATAAAAAAAAGTAGAGCCGGGCAGCTATAGTATAACGCTTCCATCCCATAGGTGCCACATGTAAAATAGTATAGCCGTGCTGCTATACTTGTTTTAAAATAAAAACTGGGTATAAACATCCGGCTATACTCAATTTTTCAATATAAAAAAGAGGACCCCATCGATTAGGCGCCACATGAGCTCTCTATCGATTAGGCGCCACGTGTCAAAAATAAGTTTAGCTTCCCGGCTATACTATTTAAATACATTATATTTAAAAGGTATAGTCGCAAGGCTATACTATTTAATAATAAATAAATAAATAATAAAAAAGGGCCCTCCTAGTTGCATTGGTTTGTACCTTTTAAATATTATTTTGCTAGTTTCAACATATCCAAAGTAGATATTAATCTTCCACTATATAATATTTTAATATAATTCTTATAACATACGTTATTCTTATTCGTATACATAGTACCCTAAACCCTATATACTATGTATACGAATAAGAATAACGTATGTTATAAGGAAGGAAATACTATATATATATATATACATATGTATATATATGTAAAAGACTATAGCCACTCGTGTATACTATTTATTAAGGACAATTTATATATTAAAAAAACCAGTACAGCTGCCTGGCTATACTATTTTTTTTTAAATTAAAAAAAATGGGGTATCGCCGCACGGCTATACTATTTATATATTAAAAAAAGGACGTGCCCAGCACATAGGTGCCACATATCACAACAATTTTTTTTTGAAAAGGAAAACGAGTATCGCTGCACAGCGATACTATTTCTTTTAAATTTAAAAAGAATCTAGTATAGCCGGCCGGATCCAGCGCCTATGCACCACGTGTCAAACAGGTACAGCCGTGCGGCTATATTATTTTTGTTTAAAAAATTTAAAAAAAGGCGTATAGCCGCGCGGCCGATAAATCCTTCTCTCAGAGTATAGCCGCTCGGCTGTTGTCTCTCTTTTTGCATTAAAAAACGAAGGGAAAGGAAGGAAACAGCGCAACCAGCTGCTGCACAACCAAACAAAAGGGAAACCGGACTAACAACCGAAACACCCCCTGGGCAGCACAACAAGAAGTCCAAACAGACAAAGCACACCAAACAAAACAACTAAAGACAACAACAAAAACCCCAGCTAGGACAAGAACAGCCTAGGACGCCGCCCCGGAAGGCGTGCGTCAGAGCCTAACTGGACGAAAAACCTTATACCTGTGGAGGACAGGGAAGCCCATCACTTTGGAGAACGAACACCAGGGAGGATGGGGGTAGCTGGGCTTTAGTGTGTAAATGGCAACTGGTGGTGGTGGTGACTCTCCGTTGATGGATAAAGGTAAGTCAGATTTTGTAGGTTTGATTTGATTTAAATTAATTGAATTTTTGCTTGATTAGTACATGGGTATTCAATTAAGGCTTAATTAGTTTGGGAGAAGAAATGGCTTCCCCCGTGAGAAAGGGATTTATCGGCCGATATCTCAGACCTCAGCCCAGTTGTGTTTCAAAGTTCGAAGTTATGAACCCTGCAGCTAGTCCACTGCTTACTTGTGATTCTTCTGTTTACATTTTCATCTGGGCCACAAACAATTACAGGCCAAGGGTTCTCAATAAGGGAAGCCACCATAGAGGATCTCCAACTTGCTTTCAAGCACAACCAGCTCACCTCAAGGCAACTTGTCCAATTTTACCTTGGAGTAATCACCAGACTCAACCCTTTCCTCAAGGGGGTCATAGAAATGAACCCGGATGCGCTTGACCTTGCCGAAAAGGCTGACTACGAGCGCAAGACCAAGCCACCATCTGTGCCACTCTCTAAGTTGCATGGCATTCCCATTCTGGTCAAGGACAACACTGCAACCAAGGACAAGTTGAACACCACAGCTGACTCTTATGCTCTGCTTGGCTCTGTTGTGCCCCGGGATGCTGGCGTGGTGACCAAGTTGAGGGGGCCTGGGGCCATCATACCGGAAAGGCCAGCTTGAGTGAGTGGTCCAATTGGAGGTCCAATAGTGCACCTTCTGGTTGGAGTGCCAGAGGTGGCCAAGGGGTGGTGAGTTGATATATATCATTGAAATTGAGTATAGTCGTTCGGCTATACCATTTTGTTTGGAGTGGCACTGGGGACTGAGACAGATGGATCAATTTTAAGTCCATGCAGTTGTAACTCAGTAGTTGGCATCAAACCAACAGTTGGTCATACTAGTCGAGCAGGAGTTGTCCTGATCTCCCCATTCTAAGAAGTTTGTCATGCAAATTTCTGAAATTCAGTATGGTGGATTCCAAATCTGTCATCACACAAGTTTAAGAACTCCAGAAGTTAATCTCTGAACTTCATGCTCAGGGATGTTCAATTAGTGCCCCATCTGCGTTCACATGAAGTCGAATTCCTCTGCGATTGACATTAGGGTCGAGAACAAAATCTACATTTGTGCCTGCTTTGTCCAACCAGATACCTGCAGTCTTTGATTTGTACCCAGGGGCAGTAGCTGTGACTGCACGCAGCCAGTCAAACCAAAAGAAAAATCGGACATCAAATAGTCATCTTAAGATGGGCAACCCCAATAGAATTACAATTACACGCATACATCCATAAAAACTTGTTTCAAAAAGTCCTTATAGTCCTAATGTGTCAATTGGTAAAATAGCTCTTGGCCTTTACTTATTAGGGCAGAAAATTCCTTCTATGATCCCCTTTCTTTGAAAGAAAAATAAGTTCCCTTACCAAAGAGAGCTGTAGCCGCAATCACACCCAGAAAAAAAATCAGACACAAGGTAAAAACATCCACACCACATCCTCTCATTTCATACCCCAATAATAAGGAGGCACAAGCAATTCACTACATATGGTAAAGAATTCTTCAAAAAAAAAAAAAAAAAAAAAAAAAAAAAAAAAAAAAAGAGAAAGAAGGATTGAAAAAACTGAAATGCCATTGGGACATTGGGATCTAGTTATTAGCATCTAAATTAGCAGGTGGGAATGATTACAATCATGCATAATTTGATTAAGGGATTCATATATTGGGAATATTAATAAGCCATGATCTAGTTATTAGCATCTAAATTAGCAGGTGGATTCGTATATTGGGAAAATCCTTGATGCTTTAACAAAAAATTTATATTATTGATTGATCCCGAGGGAAACTATCAAGTAATTTCCTTTTCTCACACCAAGAATAAAATAAAATAAAAAATTATCACCGCACCAAGAATAAAAATAAATAATTGGGCCAGTAGTCTTCATTGACCCAAGAGAAAACCATGTGCCTCGCCACTACACGGTTTCCAACTTCTCTCTCTCTCTCTCTTCTGAGGCTTCTTATTGTTGGTTTCTTGGTTGACTTGCTGGTCTTGTGGTGGTTGTCTTACCAATTCTCTCTGGATTTGTAGCATTAAGCTTAAGCTGCTGCCTTGCTTTGTCTCCATTTCACAATTGCTTTGTTCAGGTAATAACATTAAGATAAAACATTTGCAGTTTTTGTTTCTTTAGAGTTGTGCTCATATCATATGTGCAGTTTTTGTTTCTTTGGAGTTGAATTTCTCTGTTTCTCTCTGCTGAATTGGAAGTAAAAAGTAACATGTTCTCTTGTTAGATATTTGTTATCTTTTGTTACATGGACCATACATTGAAAGTATGATGACATAACATGCTTGCTAAGATGATCCAAATTAACACCATGACAAAATACATGTTCGAGACTATCTAAATTTCCCCGAAACTTTTTTTGTTGCTTATATTCCTTCAACGCCGTATTTTTCCCCAGGTTTATTAAATCCTCATTTACCCCCTAAAAAAGAAAACCTCTTCAAATTTCAATCCTTTTCATTTTTCAAGCCATTTATGATCGTCTCTTCGTATTTATTCAGTTGAGTGTTTGGATTAGCGAAGTTCTTTTTCATTGAGTGGTGTTAGCAGAAGCAGCAACAGATTCCCAATGGCGTTGAGCACCCAAAGAGCCTCTGCCTTTCTTCCTTCAGCTGATCAGTCGGCTCGTCAATGGAACTATGATGTGTTTTTGAGTTTCAGGGGTGTAGACACTCGAAATAGCTTTGTGTCCCATTTATACCACGAATTGCAGCACAGGGGCATTAAAACATTCAAGGATGATCCAAAGCTTGAAAGAGGGACAACCATTTCTTCAGAGCTTCTTAATGCAATCGAAGGATCAAGGCTTGCTATCGTTGTTCTCTCGCCAAACTATGCTTCTTCTTCCTGGTGCTTGGATGAACTTACAAATATTCTCCAATGCATGAAATCCAAGGGCACAGCTTTGCCTGTGTTTTATAATGTGGATCCGTCGGATGTACGAAAACAAAGTGGCAGTTTTGCAGGCGCCTTCGCTGAGCATGAGAAACGGTTTACGGAAGATATAGAAAAGGTGAAGCGCTGGAGAGCTGCTTTAACAGAAGTTGCCAATTTATCTGGGTTGGATTCAAACAATGAGTAAGCAACTTCTCCATATATACTTGGGTTTGTCGTAAGCCAATTTTCACTTTGATGTACCTTTAGACCTTGTTATATCTATGGCTTATACTTTTGAGTTAACCATTGTTCTTCCTTGTAGGTGTGAAAGAAAGCTCATTGAAAAGATTGTTGAATGGGTGTGGGGAAAAGTGCATCGCACATTCAAATTGTTAGATTCCACAGAGTTAGTGGGAATTAAGTTTACACGTGAGCAAATGGATTTGCTTTTAGACCCTACAGATGATGTTCGCTTTGTAGGGATATGGGGGATGGGAGGCATTGGCAAGACAACCATTGCTAGACTTGTTTATGAAAGCATTTCTATTCATTTTGAAGTTAGCTGCTTTCTTGCTAATGTTAGAGAGGCTTCGGAAGGTAATCGTCTTGTTGATCTACAAAGACAGCTTCTTTTCCCTATCTTGAAGGAACAAATTACTCAAGTATGGGATGAAGAGTGGGGGACCTATTTCATTAAGAATTGCTTATGTAATAAAAAGGTTCTTCTCATTCTTGATGATGTGAATGCATCAAGCCAACTAGAGAAATTTGCTAAGGAAAAGGATTGGTTTGGTAAGGGGAGTATCATCATCATTACAACTAGAGATGAACGGTTGGTTAAAAAGCATGATATGGAGATATCATATAAGGTAGAGGGATTAGGTGATGATGAGGCTCTTCAGCTCTTCAGTCTAAACGCCTTTAAAAAATTTGAGCCTGAGGAAGGTTTTTGGGAATTGTCCAAGTGCTTTGTAAATTATGCTGGAGGCGTTCCATTAGCTCTAAAAATTTTGGGAAGCTCTGTGTATAAGAGAGATCGAGATGAATGGAAAAGTGAATTGGATAAGCTACGGAAAATTCCTCAGTCAACAATTTTCGATTTGCTCAAAATAAGTTATGATAGACTAGATAAGATGAACCAGAATATATTTCTCGATGTTGCATTTTTTCATAAGGGGAAGAGCAAGGAGGAAGTAATTGAAATACTAGACAGTTGTGACCGTTGTGGTGGGATAAATGCTCTCATTGAGAAGTCGCTCTTAACTGTTGAGATTTCAAACGACATTGTTGGGATGCATGATTTGATACAAGAAATGGCATTTCAAATTGTTCGTGAAGAGTCTATTGAAGAACCCGGTGGACGCAGTCGATTGTGTCATCATAATGACATCATTCATGTATTGATAAACAATACAGTAAGAAATGTAGAAAATACCTTTTTTTTGTTTTTTGTTTTTTTAAAAGAAATGTGATTTCTTTTTTACTCAATATTGGACTTAAATGTGGAATTAACTTTTCCTTTACTATTCTTTATTGCAGGGAACTAACAAAATTCAAGGCATCGCCTTAACATTGGCAGAACTTGAAAAGGCAGATTGGAATTGTGAAGCATTCTCTAAGATGATTAACCTCAAATTTCTTGAAGTTGATACTGTGATTATTTCCTCAATGTCAATCCCCATAATTCTTCCTAATTCCTTAAGAATTATGAAATGGAATTGGTATTCTTCCAAATATCTCCCATCAAATTTTCAACCGAATAAACTTGTTTCACTTGAGATGCAGTACAGCGAACTAGTTGGGCTCTGGGATGAAAGAATTGTAAGATTACTCACTCTATGCCATCTTACTAATTTTTTGGAAAAAAAAAGTAGAAGTTTAAATTTTTCGGTTGCTAATTATATATTCTACTATTTTTCATGTAATATTGTACAGGACTTGCCCAATTTGAAATACATGGACCTTAGTTGTTCTCTAAACTTGGTGACAACCCCAAATTTCACTGGCATTCCAAAACTCCAGGTGTTGAATCTTGAAAGGTGTGAGAATTTAGTTGAGATTCACCCGTCCATTGCACATCTCAAATGGCTTACAGAATTAACACTAGATGGATGCAAAAGTGTTAAGAGTCTTCCAAGTGAGGTAGAAATGGATTCTCTTGTGTATTTCAGTCTTGACGGTTGCTCAAAACTGAAAAAGATTCCAGAATTTTCAGGACAAATGGAAAATTTGTCAACTCTTAAATTGAACATGACGCCCATTGAGAAATTACCCTCATCAATTGGACGTCTTGTTGGCCTTACTAAGCTGAGTGTAAGCAATTGTAAAAATCTCTTGGGTCTTCCGAGTGAAATTTGTAATTTGAAGTCTCTTGAAGTGCTCTTTGCAGGTGGATGCTCCGTTGGAAATTTGAGTGTATTTGGATCAGAGCCTAATAAATCAAGATTTTGGTGGGGCCTCCAAAGAAAGGCTTTTGTGTCGGGTTCACTACATAGTTTATGGTCTTTGAAGTTTTTGGATCTGAGTGATTGTGGCCTTTGTGAAGGGGATATTCCCGTTGATATTGGCTGCTTGTCCTCTTTAGAAGAATTATACCTTAGTGGAAACAATTTTGTTAGCCTTCCTGCAAGCATTGGATATCTTTCTAAGCTTAGGTCATTTTGCGTGGATAGGTGCCAAAGGCTTCAACAATTGCCCCATCTCCGCTTTGGATTGGTTGATAATGAAGACTTCTACTTTCTTACAGTAATAACAGACGATTGCACTTCCTTAAAAATGTTGCCAAAGTTGAGCATGAAAAACGGGAGAAGTCATGTTACGTTGAGGTGTTTGAATTGCTCTGGATTGGTTGAGAATGAAGGCTGCGATGATAGTATAATACTTGGAATGCTCTCGATTGCTCTGGATTTTAGATTCCTTCAGGTTCTCTCTGTCTCTCTTTGTTTGCTATAATAATAGTAAATAATCAAGTTACTAACCTATACATGGTACAGGTACCTGCAAGAACTTTGCCTATGCGCATTTTCCAAATTTTTACTATGCCCACTTTCCAAATTGTAACACCTGGAAGTAGAATTCCAGAGTGGTTCAATAATCAAAGAGTAGGGGATTACTTATTTGTGAATCTACCTCCATGTACCACGTCCATTTGGATTGCTTTCTGTGCTGTCATTGAAGACGATCGCCCAAATCCAACTCTCGACTATTTTGTCATTTTCCGAATTGAAGGCGAAGGTGTCCCTGTACATGGTGTTTCAATTGATAAAGGCCATCTTATGTCACCTCACCTTTGGGTATCTTGTGTATATCATCCTGTATTCAACAAAAAATGCAGTAGTCAGATGAAGATTTCATTCCAACCTTATCATTATAACGGATATAGGCCCACAAATTGCTTGGGGATAAAGAAGTGTGGGTTCCGTTTGGTGCACAAGCAAGACGTGGAAGAACTCAACCAATCATGATGATGAACCACTCCATCAACATCAGCACAAAAGCTCCTCACAATTCAGCTGATGCAAGTGCAAGTGCAAGTGGAAGCTCTCACCAAAAATCTCTCTGCTGCAAAAGCTATGCTCTTTCCAAATGGTTTTTAACAAAACTTGTCAAGATTTTCTCCCTCTTTTTAACAACTGCAGTTTTTATCAAATCTTTCAACAATAGCGAACAATGGGGGCGCATAGGACTTTTGATTTGGCACGTAACCACTTTCATTTCCCACTTAGGCCTTGCACCCTCTTATTTTTCGCAATTGTTGAAAAGTTTAATAAAAATTGTCCTTCTTAAAAGAGCAGCTAAATTTTTGCAACCTTTGTTAAAAACACCTCCTCCTCAAATGTCTGCACATAAATACTTGAAAGGCTAATGAAGTCTTCTCACAATTGATATTAGTAAGTTCCCATCATCTGTCTCCCATAGACTGAATTGTTTTTTATTAGACCCAGCTGATCAAAAGTAGTCAACTCAAATTTGGGGTCTTGGTACAGGATTTGGAGCTGATCAAAAGTAGTTGCATGCTTATTGGCCAGGTTCGCATGAAATTTGCACCTCAAGAGCTACAAGCTCATTAGACCTAGCTTTGTTATAATGGTTTGATTCTTATTGATACAACTTACATGACTATTTCTACTGCTTTCTTCTTTTGTATGCAGGATGGAATAAGCCAACAAGAATTTTCAATCAGAAGCTTAGCATTGAGAATTGATCGTATCTGAAACTGATCAATTGCCTTGATAGTTTGTGCAATCTCCGTCAATTATGCAGTCTTCTCTTATTTAGCATATCTGAGTTTTAAATTACCTCATGTAACAGACTGGAATTCTGAGAGGTTCATTAAACCTTCGTATAGGTGAGTGTCGTCTGAGACGACAATTGTTCACTGTGGTCAATATGTTGAGTAGAATTGGGCAGTGCTAGATGTATCTTGAAATAAACAAACTATAATAACTTTTTTATTAAAATATTTGGAGACCTGGATTTATGAGGTACCACGCATGATTTATGAATGAGTAGTAGGTGTCAATCTAGTCAGAATGTATGTACTCACATTTCCATGAAAGCAGAGGATGACATTTTCACGCTGGGGAAATCATTCTAGAGCTATAAGAAGACTGACATTACTACATATGCTGTAGTGTATATTAGAGTCACAAAAAATTAAGATGTATTGTGAGCTATAGATATGTTCTTAAAAGGAACAACCAGGCTAAAAGGCAGTATGCAACAAAATCCCTGTCAACTTTTGGATTAAAAGCAAGTGACGCTCATCCGAACAAACATCCAATGTAATTCAAACCAGCAGTTATGATTTTCCATCCAATGAAAAAAAAAGTTATTTTTCATGGATCCAAAAGTTGACAGTGATTTTAATGTCATTGTCTTATTGTTTGGGCCTAAGAATTCCACACGCCAGCCCATTTTGACGAAGAGGCCCATAAACAGAAAAATAGAAGAATGGGCCTTGACTCTAGAAAGTAGCACAATCGACATTAGAAGCCCATGTTTTTTGCAAAGGTGGCAAAGGTTTAAAAACACAAAAATAACCAGTAGAATTGTCAATTAAATGGTAATTCATCACCAAGCAGGTTGATAACCTCTAAGAAATTGGATTAAACCTAGCTTCTGAAAAATTCTCGTCACTTGATCTTAAAAGCAAGTCAGCATATCTTTTTTTTATATATAAATGTTTTCCCAAAAGAGCCCCAGTGACTTCCTGACTTTGAAAAGTCAAAATTTTCAACTGTCACAGAAGAGTTGATAGGGAGTTAATGAAGGCAAGTCTTACAAGAAGACTTCTCCATCTTATTTTATTTTTGCAGCCAAAGAAAGAAGATCAAATTCCCTTTTTATATACAAAGAAACTTTGCACCAAAACAGGTGACCTTTCCGAGAGATAAGCAGACTACATTCTCAAGAGATAAGTAGGGAGCAAGGGAGTTGTTCAACAGGAAAAGCAAACTGACCATCATGGCAGATTGTGCCTTTTCTTCTTTACAAGGAACAAATAGAGAGCAAAAGGAGTTGATTTTCTTTTTGGGAAAAGCAAGGAAAAGATCACCGTGTGAACTGACTGTTGATGGTTCTTCTCTGCTAGAATAGATAGCTTCCCCCTTTTTGTGGCATTTAAAAAGAAAGATCTTTTGAAAAGATTTGCCGCCCATTATTAAAATATTAAAAACCTCACTCCAGCATTTCCTATAAAATAAGAGAGAGGGTGAACAGATGGAGGACAGCCAAAAATCAATCAAGACAAAAACTTTCAAAATCACAATTGACAAACTCAAAAAGATCCATTGATCTCAAAAGCCTTCAAAACACTAAAGCAACCAAAGCTCATTGAGCCACAAGAAACAAATCAGTTATAATTCAAATCTCTTATTTCAGTTCAGTTCAGAGAAGCACCTTTACAAAGCGAGATTTCTCTTATTACAAATTTGGTTCAGCACAAGCCAAGTCAAGCAGAGTCTGGTTTCTCACAATATGAAAACCTCAACAAATTTATGGAAAGCACTGATCAAGCAAAACAGGTACTATAGTACGACTCCAGCTCAGTAATCGTCAATCCAGCCACTTCTGCCCCTTCAGACTGAAGAAGCTCCAATTCTGCCCTTTCAAAAAGCCTTCCAGGGCTTGAAATAGATTAAAGCTCTGCCAAACTCAAATGTTTGTATTGATTTTCAGCTGAAATCCATCAGTTGAAGGTGTTGATGAGCCAATCCAGCACAAATACATCCAGTCCGGTCCGGTTCAGAAGCAGCTGCTCAGGCAAAAATCAAAGTCCAAAGTTTCAATTGTCTTTTTTGGAGTTGGCATTTCCCTTTTGGGTCTTGTAATAGGCAGTTCTATCTAAACAGTTTTGCTTTCTTTTCATCTATTCTGGACAGAACTACCAATTTTGTACTGTGAAAAATTGTGAAGTCCTCACCAGTCTAAGGCAAGAAAAGAACTTACTTGGGGGATATTCCTCACCCAAATTCACAATTGCTTGTTTAAGAATCAACAACTTTGGGCACAAGTTATCTACTTTTTAGAAGTCTACTAGGGTTTTAAACTGCTAGCAATGGCACGCTCACGCACAAAAGAAAGTTGACTTGTTGACCACCCATGGTTGTCAAGCCAATGGGGAACTTTACCCTACCATCACAGGATTAAAATCAAAACAGGTGAACACTTATATATATATACACACACACACAATTAAGAACGAAAATAGAGATCCAAGTGGGATTGTATTGAAGAAGATCATAAAACTTCAAACGTAAAAGATTGTGGTAGATTTAGCTAACAAGTACTTGAATCAAAGTACCAAGAGAAGAAAAAAGCTAGCACTCTTTATGTTGTTTTATTAAGTCCTATAAGCTAAAGGCATTTAAGGCATCAAGTAGTAGAAACATGTTTCACAATACCACTATATACATAGGAAAAAAAAATTGAAAAATATAGTAACTATTTATAAACCAATTAATTGACCGTCTGGATGCATCATCGGTTGATAATCACCCATTTATTAATCTATTGTTTCGAATCTTAACATTGCAACAAGATGATCTTAGGAATGTGGTTTCCGAGGTTCGGTATTTTAGACCCAATTTAAGTTTGTTGATAATCAATTTATCTTTCAGTTTAGCTTGTTGCCAATTACAGTTATGACGACGTCCAGATGAGCGCCACTTGCTTCATCGTCAAAATTCAGTTGATACTGAATCAAATTCCTTTTAACAAAATTTGAGAAACAAAAAGGCCTTACAAGGGAAAGCATCAATGGCGCCTTTCAACCGACCATACTTTTTCAGCAAATTAATCTTTGGTTCTCTTCCTCATCCGATAAAAACTCTTACCACCAGAGCAATGATCCACGGAGGAAAATTCCCGCCAGAAATGTTCAATTTGGACCCACTATGGAGGATCCTTCAGAACCAAGGTTATTAGGACGGTTATAACAGCTACTCCAAGCAAGCTTTTTGTCACCGGTTGGATCAAGGAATCCTGCTTTTAGAGAAGAATTCAGTACCAAAACTACCACCAAAAGACGCATCACATCACATGTACAATGCAACATTCCGCTGTCTGCAACACAACGCATATCAAAGAAACTTGTGGCATATAAATTGTAAAACAGTCCAACTGCAGAGCATTCCCTTATATGGGAGAAAATCAATTTGTTTGCCTTTTAGAAGGAAATGCGAGGGTAGAAAGACAAAAGGTACAGGAGATCCTCTTGACAGATTGCTCATGCATGAATCACACACTGCTCAGGGCATTCTCTAGTCCCTAGCCTCACATGCCTGATCTCACAACCCCCCTGTGATCACATGCATGTGATCTTCTGTTCTGTGTCTTTACTTGATTACAAATGTTTGCCCATTGTCATTTATAACAAGGGAGCAAGGCATTAGACCAATTCCAGCTTCTTGCACGCTAGAAATGGCAAGCCAAAAATTCCAATCAACCCATGGAGCTCCCCCACTTGAGACATAATAATCTTCCAAAAGCACCAGAGACAATATACAATTCTTCATCCAGATATGACAAAAAATTACTTGTACTTTCTGAGAAGTTATCTTGAAAATTATTATAAGCAAGCAACGTCAACAAGCATTTCCCAACCCATGCAATGTATCCTATTCACTTTCAGTAGATATAACTCAAAATCAATTCCTCATATTTTATTTTATTTTATTGCAGCACCATGAGAATCTTCAGCCACCTCCAATATACAATTTCTGCTTGAGCTTAAAGTCTAGAAGTTTATAACTCACTTATGGCCAAGAACCATACAGGAATCAGATGGGGGAAAATAAACAAGATGTACTAGTAAAAAAATTCAAATTAATTCAATCTTAATAAAAGAGAACCAAATCATGAAAAAAGAGTCCAAGTTCCCTCTTTTATAATCAGTAACATTCAGTAGCCAAAACAAATGAAGGAAAAAGGGTGGTCTGTCGTCTGTGGCCATGTTCAGTTGGTGAGAGTGTAGAAGTTAAGAAGACGATGAAGCAGAGTGCGACAAGTGATACATGAAAGGGAGACAACAGGGAAGATCAAGTAGCTGAAGCAGAGAGACAAAGTGTTAAAAAGGTGATATGTGACCAATAGGGAGTATTTTGGGAAGACATTTTACCAAGATTTTCAAAAAGAGATTACGAAAGCTGAGGTCAAAACCACCAATTTCCCTTTTAATTTTAGGAAGGTATTTTAACTTCCAAACTACATATAAACTTTGTGTAAGACTGTCACTGTGTCCCAGCACTCTGTTTTCTAGCCATACATTTATCATAAGATTCATCTCTTATTGTTTGATTACAATTTACAATTCATCACTTTGTTATAAGGATCCGTTTGGGTGCACCAGTTTAATTGTAATTTGTTTTGTCTTGGAAGAAAGTGATCGGCAAACTATTTTGTCCATGATTTGAAGAAAAATAAGCCACATGTTTATTCGAAGCCAATTATATTCAACACTTCTCTTCAAGTAGGGACAATATATGTATGTGATTTGAACTACTATAGAAAATAAATAATAAAAATCTAAAAATAGGGAAGCGCTACTCATGCTTCCTTAGGCTATCTCCAACTATAATGGGACTAAACTTAAATTTCCAAGTTCTAAAATACAGTTATTAATGTATTTCCCAAACTCAATCGGTTTCACTTGAGCTCTAATAGTTGGTTCTCCTCCCAATAAGCAAGGAGTTTCTCCAATAGACATTCTTCG